ACTCCCCTAATACTATTATTAAATCGTACGGACGTCTTTAAAAAGAAAAGGATTTTTTTTTACGGATTTGTTTGTTAACACTGTTTATCAGGCCTATATGCATATTCCGTTCGCTGTTCCCAACAGTCCTTCGTCAGCCTGTTATCAAACATTATTTTCGTAAAAAATAATATGAACTATATAAGAACTTCTCATCCTTAATTTCCAAAAAAACACACCAACCGACTATTAAAATGTACACCAGGACATGCACCGCATTACACTAGGGACGCTGTTCATGACACCGATGTGCATAGTGCTTCGCTCGTACGGATCCGGGGGGAGTGTTTGGGGGTCAACCCCACCCTAGCTCTATAAAAAAAAACCCCCAAAAACTATTGAAATCCATGCAAAAATTGCGACCCCACCACTGCTCTGACACGGAAAAACTGTTTGCTGGTAATAATGTCCGCTTTGCACAAAAATACGGACATTGGCAGCTTTGTTAGGGGTGTATGCACATTCTGTGATATAGGCCTAGTGTAAATAATCATCGGATTTGAACAGCGCCCCCATTGAAAGTATAGTGCGATCTCCCCCCCCCCCCCTTTTACCACCTTTTGATTTTCGGAGTCCGAGTGTCATTGCACACTACTCGATCATGTGTTGCGCAATATCAACAATGAGGTGCAGGCGCGGATCTGGGGTCCCCCAGCTCCATGGGCGTCGCCAGGACTTTTCTAACGGGGGGCAAAAAATTCTTGTATTTCTCAACAAATTCTCGATTTATCAGTTAAAGGGGGGGGGGGGGGGGGAGGGGCAGGGATTTTTCATAAAAATTGGCCAAAATATGAATTTCTTTTCAATGATATGTCTGACCCTAAATCGAATTGGAATGTGTTCCAGGGTCTTTTACGAGTCTTTCCAGAAAGTTTGGAACATTTTCATTTTTGGAAGAAAATTGACAAAAATTGCAGGAGATTAGCCTTACATTTTTCATAAAATTTAGCTAAAATATGAATTTCTTTTTAATAATATGTAATGTCCCTAAATTGAGTCGAAATGCATTTGAGGGTCGCTTAGGAGTCCTTCCAGGAAGTTTGGAGCAATTTCATTTTTTGACAAAAATTGACAAAAATTGTAAGGGGGTTAGCCTTACATTTTTCATAAAATTTGGCTAAAATATGAATTTCTTTTTAATGATATATCTGTCCTTGAATCGAGTTGGAATGTGTTTGAGGGTCCCTTAGGAGTCTTTCCTGGAAGATTGGAGCAATTTCATTTTTTGACAAAAATTGACAAAAATTGTAAGGGGGTTAGCCTTCCATTTTTTCCATAAAATTAGGCTAAAATATGAATTTCTTTTTAATGATATATCTGTCCTTGAATCGAGTTGGAATGTGTTTGAGGGTCCTTAGGAGTCTTTCCTGGAAGATTGGAGCATTTTCATTTTTTGACCAAAATTAACAAACATTGCAAGGGGTAAGCCTTACATTTTTCATAAAATTAGGCTAAAATATGAATTTCTTTTTAATGATATATCTGTCCCTAAATCGAGTTGGAATGTGTTCCAGGGTACCTAAGGAGTCTTTCCAGGAAGTTTGGAGCATTTTCATTTTTTGACCAAAATTAACAAACATTGCAAGGGGTAAGCCTTACATTTTACATAAAATTAGGCTAAAATATGAATTTCTTTTTAATGATATATCTGTCCTTGAATCGAGTTGGAATGTGTTTGAGGGTCCCTTAGGAGTCTTTCCTGGAAGATTGGAGCAATTTCATTTTTTGACAAAAATTGACAAAAATTGTAAGGGGGTTAGCCTTCCATTTTTTCCATAAAATTAGGCTAAAATATGAATTTCTTTTTAATGATATATCTGTCCTTGAATCGAGTTGGAATGTGTTTGAGGGTCCCTTAGGAGTCTTTCCTGGAAGATTGGAGCATTTTCATTTTTTGACCAAAATTAACAAACATTGCAAGGGGTAAGCCTTACATTTTACATAAAATTAGGCTAAAATATGAATTTCTTTTTAATGATATATCTGTCCCTAAATCGAGTTGGAATGTGTTCCAGGGTACCTTAGGAGTCTTTCCAGAAAGTTTGGGGCATTTTCATTTTTTGACTAAAATTGACAAAAAATGCAACGGGTTAGCCTTACATTTCTCATAAAATTAGGCTAAAATATGAATTTCTTTTTAATGATATATCTGTCCCTGAATCGAGTTGGAATGTGTTCGAGGGTCCCTTAGGAGTCTTTCCAGGAAGTTTGGAGTAATTTCGTGTTTTGGGAATCCCCCACCTCCATGGGCGTCGCCAGGACTTTTTCTAGAGGGAGGCAAAAATTTCCCCCCAAAATTCTTGTATTTCTCAACAAATTCTCGATTTATCAGTCAAAGAGGGTGGCAGGGACATTTTGCACCCCCCCCCAACTCATTAAATTTACACCACTATGACTTCGCGCCTCATTTTCTCTTTTTTTTTCTCATTCTTTAAAAAAAAAATTTTTTTGCTTTTCCGAGGGGGGGGGGGGGGGCAAGCTCCCCCCTCCTTGCCCCCCTTGCAATGCCCATGCCCAGTTCTGTCCCAAACAAAATTCATAGAATTCCGTGAAAAAAATGCGAAACACCCCCTCCCAAGTCAGTAAAAGCCCCATGCAATGGATTTTTTCCAATTCAACCCTTAATGTACATTCCTGTATTCCTCTTGACTTTGTTTTTCATTTTGAATTTCCAGTTTTAAGGGTGATGGACTTTGTTATCTTGCGTTTTCCCCCCTATTTTGCGAATTACTGTATTTGTTGAGAATGTTCACAATCAAAGAAACGTTATTTGAAAGATGTAAATAATGTTTATATTACAATGTACATCTTTATTTTTCCCCGGTATAATATGGCGTTTTTACGTGAATTGGAAATTGCGCCATTAAAATGGTAGTCATATTGATCGAACGAACCTTCGTTTTAATTATAGTCAGTTATGATTCATTGATTCATGACATAGACCTCTGCTTCGTTTTCAAAACTACCGTATATCTGCCGAGCAGATGTAAATATCAAACTAAACCAAAGTATAAAAGATAGAGGATAAAAAAATCGAAAAGTTATGTGCTAGTCAAGCTTTCAGGGATTGGTCTGAGCCATAACAATGCCCCAGCCAATCCCTTAGTTCTCTTCCGGGGTCTCGGCATCCCCGACCAATACACACTTCCTTCCCTGTCCATCCATATAACCCGGAGGGCCAGGCACCATGTAAAAGCAAAGAGCTAAGGGAGGAACAGGGCGGCCCCTAAACCTTGATCCTCCGAGTGGACCAAATGCCCTGAACCTGTACGAAGGCGCCAACCTGGAACTCGCGGACAGTACCAGCAGCAGTGCTTACCGGTTAAGCTAAGGTACTGTTGGTAATTTACGATGGGAAATTAAACATCTTATGTAATGACTGAACGAGTGCGATTAAAACCAAAAAACACCGACGGGATTCGAACCCGTGCCCTGCGCGATGCGTGGACGGCGAATTTAACCACTAGGCCATTCGGCTTTCTTAGAGTTGTTCTAAAAAATAACAGGCTGAGAAACTTGGCACATTGGTGGGTCCATTATTCTGTTTGGGCTCCATGGACGAAAAGAAGTTGCCATTTCGGGCAATAATGAGCCCACTCTTTTCATTTCTTTGGAAAATTGTATACGGCAGCCTCGTTAGTCGTAGGCCTACGTGTGCTAAACGTACCTCTCGTTACGCAACAATGGAACCTATTATTATGCAGGCCTTTTTTGAAAAAGACATCAGGCGTGCAGGGGCCGATCCAGGAATTTTGGCGGGGGTGGGAGGAGGGTTCAGGCCCGTTAAAGATATATGTTTATATTCGATTGTTGCGGACAGGTGGACCTTATTATTATTATAATTGTGATAGATGTACATTTTTTGTGTGCGTCAGAACATGGGTGGGGGGGGGGGGGGGGTTGGCGGAGGGGGGGGGGGTCAAACCTCTTTCAGGGGTTCCGCGCCTGACTTCTACTCTTTGTATTTGGACAGGCACAGATTCTCAACTCCCCTACTACTATTTTAAAATCGTACGGACGTCTTTAAAAAAGAAAAGGATTTTTTTACGGATTTGTTTGTTAACACTGTATATCAGGCCTATATGCATATTCCGTTCGCTGTTCCCAACAGTCCTTCGTCAGCCTGTTATCAAATATTATTTTTGTGAAAAATAATATGGATTGAAAGTTCTCATCCTTAATTTCCAAAAAAAAAAGGCTATTGAAATGTAGACAACATTACACCAGGACATAAACCGCATTACACCAAGGGCGCTGTTCATGTCCATTCCAGCAAATTTCAGGTTCCGGTCTCTCACGGTTGATTTTATATGGAATTCGCTCGTACCCCCGCCCTGCAACATGGGACTAGGACGCTGGGCGGGCTGACGAGCTTCACCAGCCTCGACTCCAGGGGCGCGTGCTCGTTCCTTACACTACGATCGCGCTAGGCATGATGGGAAACAACATGCAAGATCGTACCCACGGGGACGAGGTTGGAGCTTCACAGAATCTTGTGAAGGACGGTGGGGATGGCATTCAGGGTAACTTATCGTGGCCTATATCTAAAGATATAATTGAAGCTTCTGAAGGATGCTTTAGACTCTCATTTACCAACATCCTAGTAAGGTATTTCGTAACAACTTGGTAGTTTTATTTTTCGATGTTTGCCAATGTTGTATTTTCCCTTTAAAGAAAAACTGTCGAGTTTTGTATTCAAAGATGCCAATTGCTTTTCTTTAAAAACAGTTTTATTCCACATATTTTATACTATATTTATAACGTGTAGTACACATATCAAAGATTACAAATACAAATGTCTGAAAATCGAAAATCCCCGTTCAGTTTTGTTCGTTTTTCTCCACTACGGCCTGTGCCCAGTTCCGTCTCATTTTGCCAGAACGCCTCACATTTGTTTTAGTTTTGACACTTCGTAGGGACTGGTACCTAAACAAAACCAATATACTCCACGGCAAGCAGACTGTCTTTGTATAATTTTATTTTATTTTTTGTAATATCTACATTGTTTCTATTAAGCATTAATTGCAGGGAACTTGAATTTAAAAGAAAATATAGTTTTTTACATCAGACAACACACTCTGTGCACAAAACTTTGTGCAGCAACAAAGTATGGTGGGAAATACAATTTAGTTACTGAATAATAAGTACAGAAAACAAAATACAAAAATAATTTCTTCAATAATTTAACATGAATAATTTCTTCTCCCACCAGGACTTGGCACAAAGTCAACCAAGTATAAATTTCAAAACTTACACTTCAATTAATAAAACATTTGTTTTATCCATCCCCCCTTCCCAACATAAAAGCAAAGAAAAAATATAATCATTAAATCAATCCCGCTTTTAAAAAAGTGCCAAAATAAAATTCAACAAAAAAAAAAAATCCTTTCAGGACTACGATATTTCATTAAATACTGACAAACAAAACTTTGTTGGTGTGTGTATAATGTACAAGATGGAACTACATACATGTATGTACAGACACTTTACATGCTTGGGTTTAAGGCACAAAACAGTTTGACATAGATCCCCGTTGAAAAAATCAAAAAGTTATGTTTTGAGAACCAAATTTAGACTGCAACCGATTTCCTTAATTGTTCACATTTTTGAATCCTTTGAAGCCGGACAATAGGTTGGCGTAGCGGTACTTTCCTCACATTTCACCGCGTTGTGACCCGGGTTCGAATCCCGCCTGGGCCAACATGTGAATTGGGTTTTCAGTCCCTGTCTGATTCCGTGGGTTTTCCCCAAAATATTCTGGGGTTTTCCTCCCACCTCTAAAACTGTAATTTCTTCTAATGCCTCCTGTCTACAAGTTTCTTCATGCTTGCGAGCTACAGTGTCTAGGGCACTTTTGAGAAATCCTTGGTTTCATTACCAAAAAGAAATAATAATAATAATTATGGTTTTACTATAATACCGAGGAACAGTGCGTTTCATTTACAAACTTTTTCTTGACATGTCCCATAAGGTTTTGTACACAAAACCTACGGAGGCTTGGTCCCATAAGGTTTGTACACAAAACCAACTGAGGACTTGGTCCCATAAGGTTTGTACACAAAACCTACTGAGGCTTGGTCCCATAAGGTTTGTACACAAAACCAACTGAGGACTTGGTCCCATAAGGTTTGTACACAAAACTTACTGAGGACTTGCGCTCATGTCCTCAGAGTAATTGTTATCACAGGTAACCTTTGCTCCAAGTCCTCAGTAATAAAGGGAAAACCTCTACATCCACACATATTACACAAAGAACATAGATAATTCAATCATTTTCATCAGATAAAACTGCAGCAAATCGTTTCTTATTTTGTTTACAATTCGATTCTCTTCTTAACTGTTACACTAGTATGCGCTCTATAAATTTGACATCATTCCCAATTTTTATTACAACTGGAACTTAGCGATGAACCTTTCCCCTAAATTTCTAGAACAAATCCAAAATATCAACTCAAATTTGTACTTAACCGTTTCATTTTTCTTCGATTTGAATTAGCTGATTTCCATAATAATCAGATTTGTACAATATTGTAATTTAAAATTCACTTGATACCAGTTTGCAGTTCTGTCCATCAAAAGTCCTCACAAGTCCATCACAGTCCTTGTCCTAAGTCAAGTCACAAGCAATTCATATGAACTGTTACAAAGGTGTTCCTTTGTTATTGTTCATCCTCCGTTACATGTGACCGGACTAGTGATAGATTAGATAGTAAGATTGTCACATATTGCTGTTATTGAGATTCGAAGCAGCTGATTGCAAATGGCATGTACACCAATCTATCTGAAGCCTTTATGTACAGATTCTTTCATCACATCATCTGGGAATTTTCATCGTTAATTTCAGCAGACTTTCCTGGGGTTTGGGTGACAAGGATTATTTACAAGATTGCACGATGCCTTGTGTTGCCACAAGTTTGGCAGATTAATCTTTGCTTTGCTCAGGAATTAATGAGATCTTCAATCTAGGAGGGAAAAAGGGAGAAAAAAAAGACAAATAATGTTATTCATGATCATGAATTTGAGAAATGTATTATTAACCAGTTCGCGCGGGATAATACACGCAAAGGTTTTACGGTATTCGGAACGGATGACGGATAAACACGCAGGGAGCGAGGCCAGAAATATCTGTCAGCGCCTCGCTCGCAGCGAGCGAGGCCGGAAATATAAGTGTGCTGCCCGAGGGTGATGGCTTCAACCCGCCTGGCATTGAGGTAGAGTGAAAAGTAATCCCGCGCCTCGTTCCGTTCTTGTCAAAATATTCCCGGCGTGAACTGGTTAAGGACACAGGTAAAGAAAGGAAAACTGGCAATTTTGGAGTTATCAGTCAGCAGGCTAAATTCAAAAAGTCTACCTAGCTTTCCTTAAATTGTATTTTTTTTTGTGGTTTTATTGAAGCTAAATTCTTCAACAATTTCTTGTATACCTTGAAAATGGAAAAATTTCTGAAAATCTTGTCCTTAACAATTTTTACCTTCCCTAGAAAATGTTACCCTCCAATTTCCCCAACCTCCTGAAAATGTTTTCGATCAAATGATGTTTAATAATTTTGGGTTGATCTTGACTTCTCTCACCTGTTGTCTGTACATCTCTTTGACGTCCTGGAGGTCCAGCTTCAGTTCTTGTACCTCCTCAGCTTTCTCCCCGTACATCTGCAGGACGGCGTTGTAGCGAGTCTCTGTCTCCTGTGGGCCAGGAACATAACATGAGCATTTAATAAACCAACAACCTTAAGCCTGGTTTATACTTGAACAGATTAACATGATCAGTATAACCGCCATATTAGCTTTTGCTGCCTTTATTTTAATATTTGGTTTTGACCATCACCAACGCATTTTATAAACACTGTATACTATGTGTCATCCCGAGTGATTGTGAGCAAAAATCTCTCAGGTGGGACTTGAACCCACAACCTCCTGCTTACTAGTGCAGACGTCTTACCACTCAACCACAAAGCTTGTCGAGATCGGCTGGCTGGTTTGAATCTGAAATACAGCAGCGGGTACTGCAACCAAACTATTCATAAGATAGAATTCGCGTCGAGATGATGTAAATTCAATATTTGGTTTTGCCCTTCAATGACGTATTTTATAAACACTGTATACTCAGTGCAAATTTCGCCATCGGACTGAAGAAGTATACTCAGTACCTTTATTCGAATCTTTTTAATAGTGATGATATTGAGACCACCCCAATTTTCCAGAAAGTTAACTATCCATTTTGTATGAACACAGAATCAATAAAGGCCAGCAGACAGACTCACCATTAGTTTCCTCTTATACTCTGGCACCAGCGTGGCCTGTTCATCCAGCGTCTCATTCAGGTTGGACAGTTTGACGATCTCCTCTGCCATTGAGGCCCGGGTACGCTCAAGCTGGACAATCTCTCCCTGAAAACAAACCAGTTAAAAGAGAATTTCTTTGACTTTGTTTTCATGGTTTATTGATGTAGACCAGTACAGCATTCTCTTGACTCGGTCAGAGGCTATGGCCTTTTCCAAACCACGATTCTGCCTCCAGCTTGGCTTACCCCCCCCCCCAAAAAAATATTTAGAGGCCCTCATTATCCACATGAAGTGGAACTACTCTAAACTTTAACCTGATATTAAAAGAATTTAAAACCCATAACAAAAATTTGATATTATTTTGAGTCAAAGTTCCCTCAAGTCAGTGGTCTAAAACATCTTGAATCTAAAGCCACAGATGAAGCCGCGTTTTGGTAAACCCACAAGGTCGAAACCTTTAGATCAAAACTTCAAATTCGCAGGTAGCCATAGTCGGAAGCCGAAGGATTGAGGTAATGACTGTGTCTCACCTGTAGTTGTACGATCTCCCCCTCTCTCTGTTTGAGCTGTGACTGTAACCCTTCAATGACGGATGAGGCTGACCCTCCAGCGATGCTGTCATACAGGGATCCTGAGGTGGACCAGGACATGGTCCGCTCCAAAATATCAACCTGAATACAGAGTTTTAAAACTTTAGTTTACCTTTAAACAAATGGTCACTGTAGATTAAAGTGAAATTTAATGAGACTCCAGAAGGGTAAAGTTATAAGTTTTGGCCAAAAAAAAAGTTTGGCTAGGATCTGCAATGTGTCATGGGTATGTGCATAAATGTAACCATAATGGGAACTTAACAAACATACGAGTGCATTCCCCATACCATGGAAAGACAGAAAAAACTGTGTTAAAAATAGTTCAAAATTGTATAATGAAGTCGTATTACCATACGATAAAAAGAGTATGCAATGTAACAGAAACATTGTTCCTGACCTGACTTGGGGTATGGAATGGGCCGGGAGTGCTGGGCAGATTCTTTACAGGGGTGCTGGCTCCGGAATGGTTGCCGTGGGAACTGTTGCTGTCCTCCGTCTGCTGCATCAACCTCCGCTCCTGTAGAGGAGAACAGTTTGATTTACAAAAGTGACCCACTATTCCGAAACTTGGCTGAAGTCACAAATAAGCTTTGGACAACTCAAAAGTTTACCTCTGGTTAAGGTTCTGGGTGTTAAGGGTTGTTGGGTTCTGGGTGTGTAGGGTTGTTGGGTTCTGGGTGTTTAGGGTTGTTGGGTTCTGGGTGTTTAGGGTTGTTGGGTTCTGGGTGTTTAGGGTTGTTAGGTTCTGGGTGTTTAGGGTTGTTAGGTTCTGGACATTAGGGTTGTTGGGTTCTGGGTGTTTAGGGTTGTTGGGTTCTGGGTGTTTAGGGTTGTTGGGTTCTGGGTGTTTAGGGTTGTTGGGTTCTGGGTGTTTAGGGTTGTTGGGTTCTGGGTGTTTAGGCTTGTTGGGTTCTGGGTGTTTAGGGTTGTTGGGTTCTGGGTGTTTAGAGTTGTTGGGTTCCTGGTGTTTAGGGTTGTTGGCTTCCGGGTGTTAAGGGTTGTTGGGTTTTGGGCATCTAGGGTTGTTGGGTTCTGGGTGTTTAGGGTTGTTGGGTACACAAAATGGCCAGTCCTTAATCTGGGGCTTGGTCGGTACGTTCCACTTTTGGCTATAAGCCCCGCCCACCTTTGATTTGTGTACATTTCTCACAGTGGTTGCGAACACATTTAGCAGAGCTACCACGACCACCTGACCAAAAGTGTGACCCAAGTGGGTTATGTCCAGTATTTAATTGACAGGGAGGATGGGTTTGAAGGAAAGTTTGCTACATTTTTAACCCTCCCCCCTTCACCTCACACCCCCGCGGGACCCACTATTGCCCCCACTTCAGTCTATCCACAAAGCCTTACCTTCTCATTCAAGGCGTCCTGAGCCAGCAGCAGCTTGCGCCGTTCCGCCTCCACCCTCATCTTCTCCACCGCCAGCTGTTTCTCCAAGTGAGCTTTCTCCCTCTGGGCTTCTTCTAGGGCCTTGGTGTACGTGCTTATCTGGGCTTCCGTGTGGACCATCTCTCTGCAATGCCAAAAATATATGATATTTTAAAAAGTCAAACATTAGATTTATTGTACCAAGTAACAAATACTGTTTAGAAAATTCTTGCACTTAGCAGGAGATAATATAAATTTATATTAACTGTTTTTTTGCTTAACAAATATTTTCTGTGTTTAGTAGAATTCTGTGCTCTGTGATATTGGCCTAAGATTTTTTTCCCATTTTTTTTAACCATTCATAAATACCTGAGACAGTTTACCCATTCCTACTGGTTGAGAGCCCATCACGTGGGTGATTTTAAACCGCTGACTAAACACCGATAAAATTATTAATATATCGCTTAAAATCAAACAGAATCTGTGAGAGAGGTGTTATTAAACAAATACTGACTGCTTTATTTCGTGGTGTAGTAAATATAGCCTCCCTCAGTGGTTCATGGAGCAGTCTACATGTATTTTCCCTTGGCTTCACCTCGGGACAAACAGAATGCTTCATGGATCACCTCGGGAGGCTTGTTTTACTACACCACTCGAAGCAGTCAATATTTGTATACTGTTCATGCACGTAGTCCATTAAAATACATAATTATGACTTGAAAGATGTCAAGATAATTACACATGTAACTTCACCTATTATATAAACTTTTGACACCCCCACCCCCCTCCCCCCATAGATGTGAAACCCCGCCTACCTCTCCTTTCCTTCCTCCAGGGTTTCCAGTTTGGCCCGTTCCATCTCCAGCCCGGCCTGCAGCCGCGACTTGTCCTGCCGCAGCAGGGCAAGCTGCGACTCCAGTGAGGACAGCTTGGACTCGGCAATGAGGGCGCACTCCGTGGCGTTGCGCTCCTTCTCGGTGGAAGAGGCCAGCTGGGCTTGGCTCTCTGCCAGGCGTTCCGTCAGGCTGCGCTCTACCTGTTCCCAATTGCCTGACTGGGCGTTGAAGGTGGTGTTCAGGTTTTCGATCTGACGCAGCAAGGGGCGAGTGGCTATATTTGGGGAAAAATGGTAATCATCAGATGCTTTTGAAAGATTGAAGACCAACATTTTCAGCTCAAGTATGATATGGGGTATACATCGCAAACGGGTACCTGAGTACCCAACCGCTGATGTCGGGAATCGGTTGCAGATTATGGGATCGGGTACCCTTAACCAACTTTACAAATTACTTAGAAACCTCTCAGACAATGAAAACCAGACTACATGGAAAACCAAAACAGATCTCACGTTTATGTGCATTTTAACGTGCAACAGATGACGCTTGCACTGTACACGCCTGTATCTTGCTGCTTGACACACCGATGTGGCAGTGTTATTGTGCCCACCTTATGAACAATCTGAATAGCAACTTCCGCGATTTGAATTTTGGGGTTGGATTTCTTTTAAGGGTAAACAGGTACCCATGCTTTACTTCAATAGGGTAACTGGTTCACATCCTACCCATAAATGCACACCAAGTATGATAGCGGAACTGATAACTGTGCACAAAAGCACAGCGCATAGCGTTATGTTCACTACACCAGCTGAGTTGGACCCAACATTTTGTTCATACCTGCACTGACGCTTTGGCTGAGTTCTTGGTTACGTGCCTCCGCTTCCTGTAGTCTCATCTGCAGGTCTGATATCTCCTGTCTCAGGTGGCCTTCCTTGCGAGCCTGATGCTGCTCCTGTCTGCTCATAGACATCTGAAGATCACTCACCTAGGAGAAGAAGAAAGATACCAAGTGACCCTTTAGAAATAATAGTTTTAAAATAATCTCTTGTACCACAATATACCAGAGATGTTGTGAACTGTGCTGTTGAAATTATTTTGATGGTGCAGACAAATACTGCAGAACATTGCTAATACTTTGGAGAAAATTTGGACTGGAGTCTGAGTCACGAGGCATACAACTCAAGATGGACTCCAATCTGCGAGTCATACAACATAAATTAGACTCAAGTCTGAGTCACTAGGCATGCAACTTGAGCTGGCCTTGAGTCTGAGTCACAAGGCATACAACTCAAGTCAGACTTAAGTCTGCTTCATGAGGTACACAAAACAAAGTGAACCGAGTCTGAGTCACTAGACATGCAACTTGAGCTGGCCTTGAGTCTGAGTCACAAGGCATACAACTCAAGTCAGTCTGCTTCATGAGGTATACAACTCAAAGTGAACTAGAGTCTGAGTCATGAGGCATGCAACTCGAGCTGGTCTTGAGTCTGAGTCACAAGGCATACAACTCAAGTCAGTCTGCTTCATGAGGTATACAACTCAAAGTGAACTTGAGTCTGAGTCATGAGACATGTAACTCATTTTTCTCGCCTTCCACTTCAGCAATCTACAAGGCCGACATGTGGATTGGGGTTCCAATCCCTACCTGATTCCATGGGTTTTCACCAATGTAATTTACATAGGATTTTATGCCTACCTGTAAACTGAATCAAATAAAATCATTGTTTTCACTCAACAGTTTTCTTCAGCCTTTTGAGCTATAATGCCATGGGTAGTTTCATTACCAGAAATAAGTAAGATTGACAACACAAGTTGGACTTAATCTACTCCACGAGGCATGCAGACCTTACCTGCAGCAGCAGTGACTCGTGATCCCTTCTTGCTTCTTGCTGGCTGCGCTCCAGGGCTAATCTCAGCTCCTCCTTAGCGTTCATCTCAGCACTCAGCTGGGTCTCCTGGACCTGACTGTCTTTGGTGGCAATGTTCTTGTGCAACTCGGCCAGGTCTCTGCAACGTATGGGACAATGAGCTTTTTAGAAATGGAAGAAATGCTGGAAAGAACAGCCGATCCAATGTGAGGCGTTCTGGCAAAATGAGATAGAACTGGGCAGAGGTCGTAATGAGGGCTTATTCCTTCCCTGCAGCATCCTTACAGCACGCTCCGCAATTTCTTTGCGACCAGGGTAAACTGTCTCTTTGTTGACACAGTGTCAAATATAAACTTCTCCTAAACAATTTTTAGCCAGTAATTGAGCCATTGATGGTCAGAAATGCTGACTTACTTGTAAGAAGCGTCCAGCGCTGCCTGGGTGCTTCGTGTCTTCTCCTTGGAGTCCTCCAGCTCAGTGCGCAGGTTGCTGATCTCTTTCTCCTGACGCTCCACCACGCTGTTCATCTTCTTGATGATATCTGCCAAAAGCAACGAGTAAGTTTGATTTTTGCATGAACCCGTGCTGGTTGGACTAGTCTAGTCAATTTTTTGGGGCCAGCCTAAAAAGGTTCCTCGTAGTGTTGTAGTTGAGTAATTTCAATGAGTATAAGTACGAGTACTTTGCCATGAGTATGAGTACGAGTACTTTATGAGTATAAGTACTTTGCCATAAGCCTGAGTTCGAGTACTTTGCCATGAGTACAAGTATGAGTACGAGTACTTTACCATGAGTATGAGTACGAGTACTTTGTTGAGTATGAGTATGAGCATGAATACTTTGCCATGAGCCTGATTATGAGTACTTTGCCATGAGTAAGAGTACAATCACTTTGCCATGAGTACAAGTATGAGTACGAGTACTTTGCCATAAGTATTAGTACTATGAGTACGAGTACTTTGCTGTATGAGTACTCTGCCATGAGTATGAGTACGAGTACTTTGCCATAAGTACGAGTATGAGTACGAGTACCTTGTTATGATTACGAGTATGAGTATCAGTACTTTGCCATGAGTATGAGTATGAGTACGAGTACGAGTACTTTGTTATGAGTATGAGTATGAGTACTTTGCCATGAGCCTGAGTACAAGTACTTTGCCATGAGTGCAATAAAAGTACTTTTCCATGTGTACAAGTATGAGTACGAATACTTTGCCATGAGTGTGAGTATGAGTACGAGTACTTTGCCATGAGTACGAGTACAAATAGAAAACATTTTGTTCCATGAATACGAATATGAGTAAGAGTACCAAAAAAAGCAAGATGCCTGGACCAAGAAGTTTCATTATGACGTTTCACCATCTTTCAATGAGAGATGTTTGAAAATTGCTATTAGTGTGAAGCCATAAGTTTAATGACACATCAAGGAATCGTCACCCGGTTGTCTGTAAGTGAACTTGCTCCGAGTTTATCTGTGAGTATGTGAAGTAGGTGAAAGCAACCAGGAATGCCAGTCAGTGTTCAAGCTCACCTTTTTGTTGTTTCTCCAGCTCTTCCTTGCCGTCCAATACCTCTTCAAGGTGACTCACTCTCGTTGTGGCTTCATCCAGTTGCTCTCTGCCAAAATAAAAGAAACAAAAAAGTTACATTTTTGAGAGAGGATGAAAGTGAAAATAACTGCTGCAAACTGCTTACTGACTGAATTGACCTGAAATATACAAATCAACAAAATTAGGGGCCCTATTGTTTTGATCCTAAGCAGGATGTTTCTCAAAGGCAAAAACAAGAGAAAGGTCCAACTTAAGGATAAAAACATTAGGCTTTCTAATTTTATTAATTTTTATGGAGGAGTTCAAAGATTGGGTCTCCTTAATGCCACAACTTAGTGCAGCCCAACATCTTGGCCAAATCTACGTACTTCTGTGTCTGGATCAGTGTCTCGTTGTCTTTCTCCTTGCTGCGTAGTTTCTTGATGATGTTGGAGTTTTGCAGCTGCTGTTTGGAGAGTTTCTCACCCTCGGCCATCAGGTCTCGTATCGTCTCGTCTTTCTCCTTCAAGATGCCTTCTGTCTGATTGTTGCCATCTCTGGAAAATGGATGGAAAAAGTAAAAATCATGAACTGATGTAATTACAAATGCATCTATCACAGTGGCTCATACCATTTCCCATACACAAATGTGCTACTGCCAGCCATAGCCGTAAACTGATCTTCCTCTGCTGACCTGCTGGCTATTTCCTTGTTGAGTTTCTGGACGTCTTTCTTCAGATTGTCTCGTTCTTTCTGCGAGACCTGTAGCTTCTTCTCCATGGAAGAGATGCGCTGAGTGAACTCCTCCGTCAGTTGGTTCAGGTCGGTCATTTCGGTCTCTCTTGCTTCCTCTGATTGCTGCAGTTGACTGAGGGAAAAACGGGGAAACAGAAATAAGTCATGATGAACACGGATATCCAAATCAGCTTATCCTTTTCTGTCCAAAACCAAATCTTGGGGAGTGAAATTTGTCAAATTAACAATTGTTCAAAGCAATTTAAGATGCGGCCAAGGTGCATTTTGACAGTCGTAACCCCAAACTGGTCAAGTTATTCTCATTGGTATAACATTTTCTGCGACTTGAGTTGTTAAGTAATTTCACACTGTCCAAGTCATCAAAATGCTCAACTCTTCTGTACTGCAACATTTTTCCAAGATCTTAATGACCTGCATGTACAATCTCACACACAAGTACCGTGCAACATAGAAAGCCCTTTTTTTCATGCTCAATTTCACAATGTTTAATTGTTTAACTTTGGGGGGGGGGGGGGGGGGGGGGGTTGAGGGGGGCGGGGTCATTCTCATTTTGGGAGCAAGTCCAAATGTCAATTTTCCATATTTATTTTTTTTGGGGGGGGGGGGGAGGGGGAAGGGGGTTGCAACTTTGCCAGTGTCAAACTAAAGAGGGGGCTCTTCATACCTCTTCAAGATGTTGACAGCTTCTTGTAGGTCAGCATTCTTGTTGCTGAGTGTCAGGGTTTGAGCCTCCCTGGCCTGCAGGACCTGAGCCATGTCAGCCAGTTTCTGAAAGGAAAGGTTAAGATGTTCAAAACAAAACTAGGCTTTTCTGGTCTAGCCCTATAAATGTGGCTCAAATACTGAACTTCGTCCGTATTGTGAGTGAGACTCCTGACCAATGCATGCTGAATTTCCTGAAAAAGTTGGATTTTCCTGAATATGAAATCTAGACTGTTGTTTTTTCACTTGATTTTCACTATGGAAACTACTTACCCTTAATACATGTGTTGCCCTTCGACATTTGACAAGGTACTATTCTCAATCTTCCAAAATTCAACACAACACGGTTCAATAGTCGGCATTCTTTAACAACTGAAACATATATGAAAAACCCATACAATCTGCAATGCTATATTATTAAAAATAAAGCAAAACAACTCACTTTTCCAAAAATTTTAAACTTAAAACGTAAAACCCACACAGAAACAAATTATAATCTTTCAACACTGACAAAATTGTATTAATTGAACAAAACAAATGCAGGAACAATTACATGAAAATCTAAAAATAGACGATATGTATTTAATTTGTGCGTCTGTACATGTAGTTCTCCTGTTTTGGTACAGGTTGGCAAAACATGGCCATACACACATTTCATACACTCAAAGAGTGAAATGTCATTACCCCTTCTGTATTGATGCATCAACGATTTGGTGGGCAATTTGCAGTCATCCAAAAAGTAACCGTCCAAATCATTGGGCCAAAAAAAAAAATAGTTCTGCTTCCAGTTTCCCTACCTACCCTATTCTGAGAGCCCCTACCCTCATTTTTTTATGGGAAAATGAGAGAAAAAAAACACCCAAAACCATCAATTTGTACCTTTTACCCTTGACTGCACGCAGACGCCTCCATGTGATCGTACACAAAAAAATTGGCAAAAAAAAAAAATTCCCTACCTACCTACATTGTACCTACCCTATTTTCGAATGCCTTGTAATCGGAAGCAGAACTATTTTTTTTTGGCCTTGTTGAAAAAGTTACATGCACTTGTTTTAAAGATACCATGTGTATTAACCCTAACCCTCCTCAATCCTCCAAAATCCTCCAGGCAGTTTTGGAGGATTTGGAAGGATTAAGGCTGAATGGCAAAAAAGTGTCTGTTGATTACGGAGGATGCATTGTGTCGAGTTTGTAGGCTGTACCCAGCATTATTTATGTTCAGTCATGCATTATTGAGCCGTGCATAATGCACGATATTATCCGCACTGCTTCTGAATGTCATCGGCACTGCCTCAACGCATTCACAGTATTGACCTATCCCCGTTTGCGAGTTAGCCATGCCCCTTAGACAACCTTATGGAGTTTTTGTACACCAGGTTTTGTTTATCTCATGTTTTGCGTGTTCCGCGTCCGTTTGTATATCATGTACTTAAGGTAATTGGACAACATTTCACAAGCTGCGTTGACGCGGTTCTAACATGATAGGTCAATTGTCATGATTGTTGGGAGGATTTTGAAGGACGGCAATGGTCAACCCTCCACTTAACAAATTCAAGAAATAATGGATGATTTTGGAGAATTGAGGCTGAATCCAAATTTTACATGGCGGCAATTGGAGGATTTTGGAGGATTGAGGATGGTTCCTAGCCAAAATCGCCTAGAGGGTTAGGATTAACGACACTAAACTCCCTGTGAAACTATTCCTTCTGGCAAGCTGTCATTTTGACGAAAGCAATCAAAGAAGATCATTTCCAAAGATGTGTCAAGTGACACGTTTTTGGAAATTTCCATTAGTAGTTGGTTTGTAATTAGGCGAATCTGCAAGCGTTAATACAACTAACACGACGCACGCACGCCCGAGGTTGATATTATTAATTGGTTCAGTGCATGACATGGCGTAGCTGCAATTGGTGGCACAAGAACTGTCAAGGATGCTGATTTCGGGAGCAATTCAAAATATGACTCTGCAACTTTTGAATTTAAATCGAGATCCTAGAATATTGTTTTCTCGGAATATACAGCATTCGGAGTTAAAACATAAGGTTTGTTGTAAAAAGCACCTGTCTTTAGATTTTCAGCACTTTTGCTCCTTCAAAAAAATGCACAAATGACAAATGGCCTACTCCGCCTTTAACCAAACAAAATAGGAAAGTAACACATTGGTTATCATTATATAACCGACATACAGATCCTTGTCATTTGATTGGTGAAACTCACATCACGTGGCATTCGTTATTGCTTCCATTCATGCCGCGGCTCAAAAAGTACTATCCGCCCATGGGGAATGGGAAATACTATTCAACAGTTAGGATCATGACGCGGTATTTGTGTGCAAATGCATGCTGGTGTGCGCGTTCAGCGTTGCGCGTAGCGCGTATTGTTCCAAAGAGCCAGCGCTACAGCGTTGGGTTCAAACATTTTTGGTTTGGAAGAGACAAATACATTTTCCTCCAGTTTTGTGTTGAAAAAAAGTTCAAATATATCAAATGACAAGGATCTATATGTCAGTTATATAAAACAAATATTGAGTGGCTTTAAATTGTGAAATGGGAGGAATATTATCGCTCGGTAAAATCTGGACTTTTCCAGTTCACTCGGCTTCGCCTCGTGAAATGGAAAAGTCCAGATTTTACCTTGCGATAATATTCCTCCCATTCCACGCTGAGCCACTCAATATTTGTATACCATTGTTTTTATGTATAATCTGAAGAGCAGAAAAACAATTTTGATCCACACAACTGTATTTTTAAAACCTTGTCAGTCGTTTCATCAGCGCCACACTCTCTTTCGTTTTGCAGAGAAAAACCAATTACCGTTATCGATCAAAACAACCATCTAAAAGATCCAATTAAAAAACACCATTTTACCAAACAAACACCCTCCCGGAACAGGACACAGCTGTTTTGCCAATACCTGTATATATTTTCATCTTCATGCTGATTTATGCAACTCGTTATTATTCTTACATTTTGAATGAGATGCAAGCCATCTGTGGTTGTCTCTCTAAACTACAGTATGTGAATGTCGTAAAACTTTTTTTTAAAAGTTATTGATTATATAAAATATCAAATACCATGCATTTACATGTACAAAATTGATGTACATGTATATGTACAAAATTCCATTCAAAGCCTTTATGAACAGTTTGGGCTTTTTGTACAAATTGCTTTTTGTGAGAGGCCAAAAAGAAGAAGAAATTCTGCTTACGATTACATGGCATTTGAAAATAGGGTAGGTAGGTCGAGAATGTTTTTTTTTTGCAATTTGTTTGTGTACGATCATATGGACGCGTCTGCGTGTAGTCAAGGGTAAAAGGTAGAAATTGAGGGTTTTGGGTGTTATTTTCTCATTTTTCCAATAGAAAAATTAGGGTTAGGGCTGTCAGAATCGGGTAGGTAGGGAAACCGGAAGCAGCAATATTTTTTTTACCTGAGTCTACTACATGTACATGTACAAGTACATTTGAGAAAAAACAGCTGTTACAATGTGCATACGAAAGAGAACGCATACATGTTACTTTGTACCGGTACAAATGCAGCTCTGTTCGCTTTCATGGCATTAACCCTAACTCCTATTGAGTTTTACTAATTAGAAGACCACGTCTGTCAAAATCCATCACTCACTCTGCCTCACATAATGCTTCAGGACCAAATCTTTTGAAATCCAATCCACCACAAATCCACCACTGCTATTGGTGGATTTTGATGGACTTGGTACTCATGGCTTACATGTATCTGCCAAAATCCCCCCAATCGGAGGATGGATTTGGATGGAGTTTGGAAGGTTGGGGTTAAGTAGAAAGAATCCTGAATTCGCCAAAATTTATTGTGTCATGCACACAAATTTTGGTGTTGGTGGCGGCTCAGTATGGAGGTATCCTGAATCCATCAAAATGCTGCAGTACCGCTAGGCTTACAATCCTGAATCCATCAAAATCCCCGTTTTCAATATGGAGGTAACCTGAATCCGCCAAAACACTCCAAATATGAGTATGGATTTTGATGGATTCAGGTACGTTAGGGTTAATTCAAAGCAACATATCAAACACAGCTTAAACAAATACATGCATTGGGCTGTTCATTCTTTTAATTTATGAACTGGAATCTTCATTTTTGACTCAAAAACTTGAAGACAGGGGAGATGCAGGCAGACAGAAAATCTACCTTGGAATTTGTCCAAAACATTGTTATGCACCTGGATCAAAACAACACTAAAAGCTACACACAAGTCGACTTTTGTCCCTCCTTGAATAAAATAGGAAATAATCAATCCAAAACATACGGCACAAACAACAGGTGATAGTCCAGGGTTCAAATGTGTAAAATTCTTTTCTGCATGAAATTTACAGGCAACACAATCAATATTCTAGACACGCACCTTGAGTAATGTTTCTGTTTGCAAAGGATTCTGGGACTGCTCCGGGTTGTCCGTGCCAGCTGGATTTGTGTTTGTTGAGTCAGCTGTTGCTGTAGGGGGAAAATATCGACAAAAGTTATACTTGGTACAATGCACATGTAGGAAAGAAAAAGACAAAAAAAATGACCCCCCCCAAAAAAAAATCCAGGGTGACGTTTTTGCACTTTTGTAGATCCAACTAGCTTCAGGTTACTCTAGCAAAAATATTGACAAAAATATTCTTCCCCCCCCCCCCAAGAACCCCTAAAAAAAAAAAAAAGAAAGAAAGAAAAAAACAATCCTCGGTGACCTCTTTTCTGCAATTTATGTTTATCAGGCTTACTTCAGATTACTCAGACAAATGAAGTTATTTGTGATTTAAAAAAAAAACATATTCATCATGTCCAACCGGACTTTCCTATGATTAAATCATCAAGTACATTGCATCTCCAATTGCTCAATCCAAAATTATTAAAACCAATTTGACCAGGAAACAGGTTCCAACCATACCACTTATCACATATTATTTCATTAGAAAAAACCCCAATGTTCTTTAGATGTTCATCAAGCCTGATCAATCCTTGCTTTTGTCAGATCTGTGGTAAAAAAAATTGTTTTATTTTCCCTCTTTGGGAGAGAACAACATTTCATATGCCTTTTCACCCTTTCTTAATGTTGTATAAAGTGTTTATCTCAAACCTTATATGAAAAAGAAAAATCTGGTCTACTTCTGAATTCAGAAGTAGAAAGCTGTACGTTTTCACACGTATACATGTACATTGTACAGTTGGCATTTCTGAACACAGTGGCATTTCGCATGCATGGATTCCGTGCTAAAAATCTTAAGTAGGGTACACAACAACTAACAGATGAACGTTTTAGCTCAAAATCATTGGCAACTATACATTTTGAGAAAACAGAGAAAACATTTGCACACTTTTTCAGGTCTTTTTCAGGTCTCGTAACTGGATTCCCTTGCTTAAAAAAAAAAGCACATAAAAAGTGTGCCTATATTTAAACCACCTTCAATTTATTCTTTTCTTCCAAAAGATACCATTTCAGGCGGAATACTTTCACAGGGTATTTGGTACCAGTCCTATCCTCACTGTGAGCAAGGATTTTCTTGTTAAATTATCCTAAGTGCCCTTGAAATTATGCCTATAATTGGTTGGAGTGCATGTTCGAAACCATCATGCATGATTACATTTGTGTACTACATGACAATACCAATTGTACATGGGGCTGTCTCTGAGCACAGAATGTACTGAAATCCCCACTCCCCACCCACTGTTTATTTGCAATATGTACTTACAGTATCACCTTTCATGGTCTACTGAGCATCTATACAAGGTGGACAAAAGAACTTTGGAGGACTCTGAAAATTCAGGCTGACAGTGACATGGCCAAATGCACATTGCCCATTCACCTGTAATTATACAGCCTACAGGTCCTCAGTTAAAAAAAAAAAAAAATTCCTTTCAACATGTTGTTCAATTATGCAAAATCTCTATTAAACAAGTCAGGTGTGTTTACAAACACAAATGCCCGCAACCGTGACTGTTCCCATGACACAACACCACTCTTTTAACATCAACTTACATGTACCTTGGTCACATGGAACGTTCATTAATTGACAGCATTAGTGTCTTCTGTAGGTTTTATATGAATTAATCCCTGATCCCTATGATCTCAGAATAAATACAAGATTTCTATTGTTTTAGCCACTGTGACCTTGACCCTTGACCTTTTGGCCCCAAATGCAAAAGGCTTCTTAGGATTACCAAGGACAATCCACAAACCAAATTTGAAGTTCATATGTAAAGTATTTCTCAAGTTATCGCGCTGACAAAATTTCTTTTGTTTCAGCCACTGTGACCTTGACCTTTCGGCCCCAAATGCAATAGGCTTCTTAGGATTACCAAGAACAATACACAAACCAAATTTGAAATTCATATGTAAAGTATTTCTCAAGTTATCGCGCTGACAAAATTTCTTTTGTTTTAGCCACTGTGACCTTGACCCTTGACCTTTCGGCCCCAAATGCAATAGGCTTCTTAGGATTGCCAAGGACAATCCACAAACCAAATTTGAAGTTCATATGTAAAGTATATCTCAAGTTATCACGCTGACAAAATTTCTTTTGTTTTAGCCACTGTGACCTTGACCCTTGACCTTTCGGCCCCAAATGCAAAAGGCTTCTCAGGATTGCCAAGGACAATCCACAAACCAAATTTGAAGTTCATATGTAAAGTATTTCTCAAGTTATCGCGCTGACAAAATTTCTATTGTTTCAGCCACTGTGACCTTGACCCTTGACCTTTCGGCCCCAAATGCAAAAGGCTTCTCAGGATTGCCAAGGACAATCCACAAACCAAATTTGAAGTTCATATGTAAAGTATTTCTCAAGTTATCGCGCTGACAAAATTTCTATTGTTTCAGCCACTGTGACCTTGACCCTTGACCTTTCGGCCCCAAATGCAATAGGCCTCTTAGGATTACCAAGAACAATACACAGACCAAATTTGAAGTTCATATGTTAAGTATTTCTCAAGTTATCGTGCTGACAAGATTTGTCCGGACACACACACCCACACACCCACCCACACTTGTTTCACATGACTAGTGTGGACTTTCCATCGCTTTCGTGTAGTTAAGAAAAACCAGTGAAAAAACTCATTTTTCTCAAACTGTGAAAACTCTTTCAACCCAATTTTTTTTCTATGATTCCCTTTAGTGTTTCTCTTCATTCTGCTACAGATAAACCTAACCCAAAAATGCCTCTAAACCTGTTTTCCAGAAATGGGGAAACACTGTGTGGACGTGGGCAAGTCCACACAACGTCGGTGCTACCTACATTATGTGGACGTCTTTTGTTCGGAAGTCCACACTGCGTATGTAAGACAAGCTCACCCACACACACACCCACCCACCCACCCACCCACCCACGGAAGGACAAGGCGGAAACAGTATGCCCCTTCGGCTTCGCCGCGGGGCATAAAAATGGTTGTTCACAAACAGGTACACAATACAAGTTAAACCACTGTACCTTTCAGTATGGAATATAACGCACACTTAAAATGCACATACACAATTTGCAAACATCTTGTAGAGTCTGTTGTGCATAGAGAAAGGTTTAGGCCTATATTAAAGAAAAAGGTCAAGGTCATTCACACCTTAATCTGGGAAAAATACTCTTGGAAAATGTACAAAAACTGACCTTGGCAATTTGGAAGGAATAGTTCAGAACCACATAAGTGCTAAATTATGCTGAAAAACATGCATTTATTGTATTTTCCCCCAGACTTTTTGAGGAGAATTTACAATATATGTGGGAAAATGTTTTTATAAAAATATACTCTGGAACTTGGGGGTATTCTGTGGTTGCATAGGTCCTGCTTGTGACGGTAATGTCCGAGTTATTCAAAGAAAGCCGGACGTTCCTCCAACTATGGTAAATTGCATGTCTTACTATGTAAATTTTCTACTGCCATCCCGAGCTATGGGTTTGCCCTTTGGAAGAAAACTTATTTGACAACTTCCAAATCAGAAACTTCTTGGAATGTTACCATTCTCCTGTATACATACCCTTCTTGACAGCCAAGAGTCTTGGTGTGTTCTCATCATGATGTTCTTCCTCTTTAGCCACTGTCAGATCCAAGTTTTGCCTCTCCTCTTGAGTTGGGGTTCTGCTTCCCTCTCGAAACTCGTCGCTCCCTCCCAGTGACTTAAAGGACGTGTCGAAAGCTGACACTTCCCTCTCGTCTTGGTCCTCTGATTCGACATCAGCCGAGTAAGTAGCAGAGTCCCGACGATGGTGCAAAGCATCCAAAAGGGAAGGGATTTGATGGCTGCTGTCTGACACATCATGAAACCGTCCCTCAGAGATGATGCTGAAATCACTGTCCGGGCTTCTCTTCCCGTTGGAGGAGGACGAGAAATGCTTTGGGGATTGATTATCCGGAGATTCCCTAGTGTCGTAGTTGCTGAGTGATGACTGCTCGCTGCCGGCACTCTCGTTGATGATGACGAAATCGCTGCTGCTGCTGGACGTGGCGTGACTCTCTGGGTTCGTTTCCACCGAGTGTTCTGATTTGGCATCCGTGGGCGAACCGTCTCGGGTCTTGACAGCAAAGTCTTTTTTGGCTTCCGTCTCCGGTTCATCGCTGGGTTCCTTCTTGTCTGGTTCCTGACTGTCAGAGTCCCGGCAAAGTCCGACCTGTGAAATGCTCATGAGGTCATCAACAGAGTGCGGGGAAATAGAAGCCTGCTGGCAGTCCTCAACATCCTCCTTGGAAATTGGTACGAACGAAGACGTGGAACCCGTCATGGATCCTGCATCTGTGATGGAGATTTCCAAAGGATTCAGCGACTGGTTAGAGAAATCCGCAGACTCCTGCTCCTTCAGTTTCTCATCAACAAGGTCTGTTGGGGATCTGGTCTCCTCCCCTTGCACTGTTGCATCTGTCTCACAAGGAACCAGGCTAACGGAAACGTCCTCAGACAAAATTTTTCGTCCTACATGTAGTTGTTTCTCCACTTCTCTGTCGTCGTTCTTGCATGCCTCTTGTTTCTCAAGCATTTTCACATCCTCATCCGGTTTCTGCCTCTGGGATGTCTTGGTAGGCGAGTCCACTGCTGCCACCCTGCCTGGTGTTCTGTTTGTCTTGGTCCTGGTAGGGGATGGCTTGGATGGGGTGGGATCATTCAAGAAAGCGCTGAAGAAGCTGTCGTCACTGTTGATGTTGGATTTTGATGATGATGGCGACAAAGTATCTGAACCAGCAGAGTTCAAAAGACAAGGAATGAAAATTGTTTGATCCATTGAACGTTTTCATGTACAAAATAGTTTCAGTGTGAATAAAATGCATACAATTACAATCATGATGTAGACAGCAGATGTACCCTACAATCCCGGGGGTAAATTATCGGGGCATTTTGTTGGGTATCTAGACAATTTTTTCAATGTTTATGCCTTACAATAGACCATTGCAGCATGTTCAGCAGTTGTGTACAAAGTCTATAGGCCTAGAGCAGTACGGGCGCACGTGAAAAATCGCGGAATGTCCCCCGATCCGCGGAAGTCCCCATATTCGCGGACAAATTCTGTCCCTCGATCGAGGTAATGTCTCCCCATTCGGGGACAAAAAAAATTTCACAAAAAGCTATGCGGCCTCAGGGGGTGCTCTGCGGTCTCTGAAACCGTCAAAAATTGATTCTACGTGAAAAGGCCCCCTAAGTTACTGTCCAACTAACGCTGGTTTACTGTCTACTTTTTGCGCTACGGACCGATTTATGTTCAGACAGAGTTGTAACGAGTCACTGATTTTTGTGACTCGAGTCGAGTCGAGTCATTTTAAAGAAGTGACTCGAGTCGAGTCGAGTCATTAGGTCAACAAGGTCGAGTCGAGTCGAGTCGAGTCACAGAGTGTGGTCGAGTCGAGTCGAGTCGAGTCGAGTCAAGTATTTAGCTCGAGTCAATTCGAGTCACAAATATTTGAACACTTAATTACAATAAAAAGCAACAAACACAAGAGAGAGAATACAAGGCACCAGTCTATTACGGAAATCCAAAGACATAAAGTATGCTGTATGGTACCCAACCAACAGTTTCCATTGCTAGCTCACGTCACAGATAAGAAGATGTGAAACTTCGGTCTTATAACTGGTTTAGCTTCGGGTCTAGATTTTGTTGTTCGCTGATCGCTGACAACGTTAAAACCTAATTGCATACAAAACTGTTTCTGATTATTTAAAGGTGGGCCCGTCCGTATCCATTTTTGTGTGTGAAATCGGGACATGAATTTAGCCAGCGTTCCACCAAGAACTTCAAAATCGCCCGAAACCAATGATGAAACCACGGATTGAGAAATGCGTTTTAAGTCTGGTTCCGGGTTTAGCATTACATGCTATAGAACCACAAGGTGGGAGTCCGCGACACAGTGTATGTTTGTTGTTTCATTATGGAGGAAGGAAACAGACTGCCGCTGTATATAAACGTACATTATTCGCGAACATTAACATGACGTGAACAAAAACTGGCAACGCGAACGGCGCAGCGTAAGTCATTGCAAATATTTTTCGCAAGTAAGTTTTGCTTTTATTTTGGGACTCGAGTCTTATTAGCCTTCCTCGAGTCGAGTCGAGTCATTCTGATGAGGGACTCGAGTCGAGTCGAGTCATTTGCTCGCAGTGACTCGAGTCGAGTCAAGTCATTTACCCGTCGGGACTCAAGTCGAGTCGAGTCGCCAAAAAATGTGACTCGAGTCGGACTCGAGTCGAGTCATTGACTCGAGTCATTACAACTCTGTGTTCAGAATACCAGTCGATCAAGATGCGATGCCGTTCGAGCGACAGTATCGATACCAAGTAACCAACTAATATATCGATACTAAAATTGTACATGTAAGGCATAGGCTTATATATTCGATACCATAATTACGATACCTACATGTACCTTGGCAAAGCAATATTGATGGCAGACGATTGCTCGAGTTTGTTAAACTTTTCGAGCATGTTTGCGAGTGAAATCGGTCCTCAACTCGCAGATCCTTCCACATCATCATGATGGATGGATCAAAGCTACTGTTTGTAAATTATATTAGTTTTAACAACTTTTCTCTCATTTTTAAGAGCAAAACTCAAACTGTACATGCACATTTTGGCTTTCATCATGGAGTCAGAGGGTGATCATCGTGCCGCGCCGGTAAGACCATGGACGTACGTAAACTGAATTTATGTAAAAGTGTTTTAATTTTGATTATAATTAACCACGTATGCTGTATAAAGCCGCCAAACCATATTTGTTTTTCTAAATTACTTTGGCCCATTACATGTATTTTTTGGGTACATTTTCTGAACTGTTTTTTTTTCTGTATTTTTTTCAGGTACGTGTTGGGAAGACCGTTGATTGAAGAAAGGAAGAACCATACTGATCATGCTGATTAGATAGTAGATTGCAGAAGGCATTTGATTGGATTTTTTTTTAATATGGGAAATACAAGAAATAAACGACTTTTTGGTACCTTTTAAAACAAATTTGGTCAGAAAAAAAAAAGGAAAAAAAAGAAAAAAGTAGCAACTAGATGAATGTTGTTTTTGTTATTGAAAGAAAGATGCTGGACGACAGCTTCCCGGCAATATTTTCTGCTAACTTTATTCCATACCTACCTTGGCCAATCGTCCGATAGAACCAAGGAAACAAAGCATTTCTAGATGTCTCTTTCCATTATCACTTTACGAAATCTCTGTTGGCGACTTCAGACCAGTGTCTCTCGGAGGATTTACCTGCCCCGGCCTGGATTCAGCTCAGATGACAATTATGTTGGCTGCCACATTATTTCATGATGTCAATCGCCAAAAAACGGTTCATATGACATCAGCGTCTATCATATTTACGATATGGATTTGTATACAAGTTATATATTTTTCATACATTTAAACATATAAAAGCTGTGATGCCCTTTGTAATCAATACAATTCCTGTCATTCAACCTTTTGTGTAAATTTCTTTTTGGTATTTACTCTTACCTTGATTTTAACTGAAAGGCTAGGATTGTTTAACTTTTGAAATTATGATAATGTTAATGTCCAAATATAATGACTGCCACTTCTCATGTAATATTTTCTCATGTAAAAGATTGTTTGGATAAAGTAGTTTGTATTAAAAGCATTTTGGAGCCGTTTATGGATTTAATTCTACAAAACTACTGCTAATAATTATTGGTCACTTAAAATTTAAGTTAAATTCAATTCTTAAATTGACACTGTCCTCATCAGCAAATTAAAATGGGTATTTTCTCTGAAGACCAAACACTGGCTAGAAGCTTAAACGTTGATGTCAAATTTACTGGCATCAAGGGAGAACCAGAACTGAGGAAGGGTTGCAGTCCTAAAATAGAAAAGACAAAAGGTAAGTCGTGACAAAGGATATATTATTACATTTTACAAATCTCAGAGAGAAATAAAAAAAAGTTTATTCAACTTGAACACCTACCAGCGATGACCATCACCAGGAAGCTATATTTCGATCGAGTTTCCATTTTATGAAGTTGCCAGAATATTTTTTTGTGGTGCCACTGGCCTTACTTTCCTTTTTTTTCCTTAATGCGGTTGAAAACATTAGGGTATTTTAATAACTTTTATATTAAATTAATATGACCAACTCGTGAATAAACTAAAGCCTTTGATCATTCACCTAGAAATTTCTTGAATTAAAAATAAAAAAGAAATAAGGCCCGAAAACCCCAAGCCATTCGCATCGAGTCCTGAAAATTGTCCATGCAAAATTCTTTATCCAAATGAATTCCAGAAATGTATTTCACTATTTGTTAATGTTATACTAAAGCCAATCATGTACTTACCACTGCCAATACCAGAGATCGCTACCAAAACACAAGCATCAGAAAAGAAATATCCAAAACTGTAAGATCATTAAAAAAATGATTAAACTTTGATTAAACAATGATAAAAAAAATATACTAGAACACGGAACACGGCACGTACATGTACTTGCAACGTATACAACACAGGAAAACAACACAAACAAACATGCAGTATTAGTAAGTAGTTCTCCTGACTCTAAATTGAGCCCATGTGAAAATCATGTAATGAGTCAGGCAGCCAGACTCAAAAGGTTTGTCCCCCGATCGGGGGACAGTACCCGATTTGGGAGACAGCGCTGCTGAAAAAAAAAATCTGTGGGCCGGCTGTCTCCGAATACGGGGACAGTCTCCAGGAACGGGGATTGTCCGCGATTTTTCATGTGCGCCCGTACTGTAGAGAGTCAAGAATATTTCCTATAGGCCTAGGCCCTAATGTTTTTCCTTACAAAATTAGAAATGTTTCTCAGTCCCAAATTTGTCTGTTCAACATATTGGCATTGAGATGAAATATTTATGAAAAAGTGGCATCAGAATGCAACATTCTTTCCCCCTTCTTCTTTGAACTTGAAGTGCCCTGCCCACTTTTGAAAACCCTCCTCTCTCTCCCAACCCCCTCCCCCCCCCCAAGAACAATTCTTTCAACCATGTTCATATTTCTTTGTTTATAATTTCCTTAGCACATAATATACAGTTACAATTCCTTGTGCAACTATAGACAACACATAAGTTACCATTTTTTGAGCGTGTGTTGCGGGTTGTCTTGGCGGGATCTGTCGACGTGCCAGCCCGCGATGTCGATGTTCGCGACCCCCCCTGCCGCCCTCCTCCAGAGTCGCCATCGTTCGCCGTTTCTGCATCATCACCTTGAATGTCCAACACCCGATCTATGGACTTCTGAGCGCTCGATAGGGCTGTCTTGGCAAAGCTACTTAGCCCCCCTGTTTCAAACCAACTCATTTTGAAAAATTCTCACCATTTGTAGTTTTCTTTCGAGTGGAAAACACTGTTTACTTTTGGTCGACGAACATAATGCGTATTTCACGATCTATATTGTACACACGAATCCATATGACAAGCTCAGAGTACACGTCACGTCCTCAGAGGTAGGTCTACAAAATGGTATCGCCCATCTAGACTTTGCATTTCATCTAGAAATGTATTAGCGTTTATCATAACATACCAAAATATTTAAAACGTTTTAGTAAAAAACACCGTAGACAGCAAATTAACTTTATTTATGTATTTCTCTGGTTAAATTTGTTCTCAATACACATATTATTTTCGCGCCTCCCTGAAAACACATGGTCCATCCAATTTTGTTCCCAAGTCTTGTACCTGAACTCCTTCGACAGTAACGGAAATAAGTCCCATTAATTAGTCAGCAACGTAATTTTGATGTAGAAAATATGAAAAATTGGCCGTTATTACGCCTTTACAGCAACCAAATAACATAAATATAAATCATAGACCCATTCTTTGATTTGTTATATAAATATCATCTCTCAAAAATGCTGAAATTTCTGAAAATGCCTTAAAATTATCATATTATTTAGACTCCACTCCCTTCCCGGCCGTCCCCAGTAGCACAATCGGTTAGCGCGTTGTACTTATAAGACAGTAACCACACGCGTCGTTGCTGCGGAGATATGCAAAGGTTGTGAGTTCGAGCCTCACCTGGGGAATTATCTGGCATTTTTTGCTCCTTAAAAACAAGTTTCATTTTTAAGCATGATATACATATATTTAATACTTAAAATAACAAACAAAAAGTATTTTTTTCCCCAAGGCTGCATTACCAAAACCTAACATGCACAGAATCACAACTTATATTTCTGCACAAAAGTTCCTTAATTGCCCAAAAAAACTTGCGCCCCAAATATATTTCTTTTCTATCCTTGACACAGACACAGGAAAACTCTTCCTTTTCCCCCTTAATAGCTATTTAATATTTGATATTTTGCTTTTGATGGAAATCAATATGAATGAATTGGATTGAAAACTATATAAATGGCACTATATAAATGGCACAAACACTCACTACTGATCACATTAGTGTCTAGTTTGCAGTAAGGGAGGAGATCAAAAGGATTTTTCCCCGTTCCGACCCGAGCGCACGGGAGGAACGGGCCTATTGTTCCTAATCCCCCGGGCGCCTGCGTTCGCCTGGGCCCCGTTCTGACCGCGGGATCACGCTCAAAATTGCCTAACAATAGCACAATGAAATGGTCACGCTGGGTGCCCACAGCACGGTAGTACAATAGACCTGTGCGGTGACGACGGTGGATAGTGGCAACTGCTCAAATAATATCCGAAGAAACATCGGCCACACTGAAATTTACCAGGAGACTTTGGAAATGTTGCGATAAAATAATGTTTGTTGTTTTCTCATCTCTTGCAGGCGATGTACAGGGGAGCATCCTAGCAACAGTATTTCTAAGCAACCACGTTGGAATGTGATGGGCATGCAGCCATGCACCTGTGGCTCAGATAGCTAATCACTCCAGTTGCGCGTGGAAGGAAGTCATATTCATGAAAGCAGACGGTCCGTGATGAAAGCATCCAATGGCATATTTATTTGCCGGGAACCGGCTCATTTCATTGGCTGAGATACTATGATCACTGTTTATCATCTAAGAATCTTCCCATTACTGGCGGCAAGTTCTCAAAGGCCTTAAAGTTCGGTGGCCTACAGCTGAACCCAAATGTATATGCTTTGTAACGAACAAGAGTGGCATTGTATCAATTTGAACAATGCGGCTATCAATCATTCTCTGGAAAGGCTTTTCGGAGCTGAGATTTTATTCTTCATTTATTAAAAAAAACCCACATGGCCTACATTATTTCGTGTACCGGTACATGTTCTACTCTAGAATATATTTTGGAATATATTTTGACATGAAGCATTAAATGCAAGTGCTGTATTAAATGTGCCCCCTATTCCAGCCGGGAAATAGAAAAGTGTCTTATAAAAATATATTCTTGCTTTGAAAGAAATTTTGAGACAATGATTGACAGGCGACCTTCAAAACTTATACATTGTATATTTTTGTTGATAAGTATGTATGATAGTTATGTTCAAAGCGATTGATTTGATGACCGCCCGACCGCCCGCTATAATGACTCCTCAAAAACGAAAAAGATAGCCATGTTCTCAAAGGGATGTATTTAATGGCCGCCCGCCCTAAGACGACTCGTAAATTAAAAAAAAAAAAAAAAAACAGTTGCGAAAAGGGGGGGGGGGGCACGGGCCGGGTGTGCCCCCATCTGGATCCGCGCGTGAACATTACGTACAATTGATGGTTTTGGTTCTGGGAAAAATCCAAGAAATAATTAATATCAGATTTACTAGTCCCGAGAGTTAATTGAAAACTGAAGGAAATATTCCTGAATCTACGACCCCAGCTGGACCCACCATGCCAACAAACCCATGGACTAAATTAATGCCCCCACCACGTGGTTGATCTCAGGAAAGACGCACTGCTAAACTATGTCACGCACAGCTGGCCACTGGTTATCTACTGTCAGATCAGCGAGGCTGACTACATTTATATACAATTGTAACAATCGTGAATTGGTGGTGGGCATTTTTTCGTTGGATGTCTCGTAACTAAAACCATTTTTCGGTGTGAATCTTGAAACGCGTGAGCAGGTATAAACCAATAGCACCAACAGTAAAATTATCGACTACCCAACAAAGAAGTTAATAATTCTTCACATTAATTTTGTTTGCATTCTTTTGAGCCTTTATTATTGGGCCATCTAAAATATTGTTTCGACGTACATCCGCCGCGAAGAATTACTCCATCATCCTTCTTTCACTTCCCTGTAACTGAAAACAACAACAATCATATTAAAATTGAATTCATAAAAAAGAAAACGAATCCGTGGAAAGGTTTTGCGTGGTGGCAATGGAGTTTCATCGAGATGAATATTACAGCCCCATTTCCCTCATATTTCCTTTAATACTTGTTTTCTTTTCATGTGTTTACGTCGCCGTATTTCACATACCTCTGCTGTTGCTGGCGGCCGTGCATAGGGGAGAACGGAACATTAACATGACAAAGGACGCACACAATGAGACTTTTAATGAGCTCGGGTACTTCGCTGGGCGCCTGGTAAGCCGGGCGTTCTACCCCGGGAGAACGGGCCTATTGTTGGGTTTAGTTAATCCCCGTTCAGAACGGGAGGAACGTGGGCGCTCGCGTCGGAACGGGAAGAATCCTTTTGATCTTCTCCCTTACCGAAAACTATTATGCACAGAATCACAACTTTTATTTTTGCACAAAAGTTCCTTAATTGCAAAAAAAAATTACGCCCCAAATATATTTCTTTTCTATCCTTGACACAGACACAGGAACACTCTTCCTTTTCCCCCTTAATAGCTAATTAATATTTGATATTTTGCTTTTGATGGAAATCAATATGAATGAATTGGATTGAAAACTATATAAATGGCACACACACTCACTACTGATCACATTAGTGCCTGTTTGCAGTAAACTGAATATCAATTTAAGACATATTTCAATTAAAATTCAGAATAGCTTATTGGTACTTTTTTTTTCATCCAAAACACAGAAATTTCAAAATGCAAATCAAACGAAGACTCCACGTGACATTACAAACAACTCGTGAAACAGTGGAAAATGACAATTTAGTTTGAGTTACATTAATGATACAAAATTTATTGTAAAATGTTAGATATGAACATGAATGTACAATGATTTAGTTCGTTAATAAAAAACAACACTGAATGCATATATTTGTAGTCTATTCAGTTCTTTCACTTTCATGTTAAATGTATTTAGACAGTTGGTAAGGTATGAATTTGCCGGACATCAAAAATCTGTATGATGTTAATACTCTGAATGTCATTTGGTTAATAATGATTAAAAAACAAAAACATGCTTTGATCAGAAAACAACCGAGTGGTGGATTGAGATTTGCGAAGGAGAGGCGACAGAATGAAAAGGGGGAATGTAACCCCAAAAAGTTTCTCCATGCATTACTAGCTTAGTGTAAACTTCTCCCCCCCCCCCAACCACTTTTGCCTCGACATTCAACCCGAGCAAAAAATCAAATCAAATTTTCTGCCAAGCCTGAAAAATTGACGGATTTTGACTTTATAAGGCCCGAGACCCTAAGACATGGGAGGACAGAGGCGGTTTTTGGTAAATTTTGCATTTGAATAATTTGTCATGAGTTTGAGTACAGAAAATTTGCCTGACTCTTTGCGTATAAGAAAGAAATCATGCTGTTACGGGGTGTCTGTTTGTTTAAGGTAGAGTATATCATTTGCAGCTATCCAAAAAGTAACTGACAAAATTATTGTAGTCAAGCATACTTGGTTTAACTCCCTGTGAAATGATCCTTTCTGCCAAATGATCCTTTCTGCCATGCTGTCATTTTGAAGAAAACAAAAGAAGGCCATTTCCAAAGAGTGAGTTTAAAGACTCATTTTTGGAAATTTTCGTTAGTAGTTCGTTTTTAAATCGTCAGTTCAGCGCGTGACATCGCGTAGCTGCAATCGGCTGAATGAGAACGCAGCATGCTGATTTCGGGTGCAATTCAAAACATGACTCGGCAACTTTTGAATTGAAATCAAGATCCTAGAATATTGTTTTCTCGAAATATACAGCATTTACCGAGCTAAAACTTCATCAGGTTAGTTGTTAAGCACCCTTCTTTAGATATTTTGAGCACTTTTGTTGCTTCAAACGAAAAAAAAAAATATGCAAAAATGACAAATGATATACTCTACCTTTAAGTCAGTAATTACATCAGTTGGGTACATTTCGATGAGTGTGACCATGACTCAAACAAAAACACACTATGAATGTGACCACTATGTTACGGGTATCATGATCAACAGCACCTATCAAGTCTAAATTCTAACTGTAAAAGGTAAAGCGACTGATGTTTTGATCGCGGCCAATTTTTTTTTTTTTCCCCCAAAGGCAAAAATGTTTACATTTATAGACACATGAGAAGAACGGCATACAGTATTGATATTTTCAGCACCAATATATTATTTCTATTCAGCAATATCTTATCATAATTATAACCCATCACATAGCTGTGGGATGTTCTGGCTGTAAGACTACGCATGGCGGAGGTACGTCTTGCACGTGTGTGATGCGAAGTTGGTTGGATATTACGCACACTTGAGGCAGGGAGAGTTTCGTTCACTTCATTGGGCAACCACGCTTTGTGTGACCTAGAACATGGGAGAAATAGAAATCACAGATCAAAAACTTGACTAAAATGACTTAAGTTCATTATCAAACTAAGAAAAGCACCAGAAACAAGCACAAGACGGTACTTAAATACAAACAAACCCAAAAAACTTAAGAGGATCGTTTTGAAAACAAAATTTGTCTCCCCACAGCATTTTAAGAAGTTGCACCTGTTGTCAGGCATGCAACTGGAAATTTAGAAGAAAAAAAAAGGAAATTCCAAACCACAAAGACTTTGTACAGTGTTTTTCAATTTGTAATGGCATTCATGAGAAGTAAAAAATGAGGGAATCAGCAGATCCGAGGTAAAGTTGCATGCCTGGTTGTCAAGAAACCAAAAATCTGAAAAAAAACTTCTGAAATTAGAAAGAAGATACAAACTGCTGATGAAGCAAACACACAGAGGAATGGGGGAGGACAAAAAATATTTCTAATATCTTAGCTAAACATGTCTGAGATGTCTGTACCTTCTTGATTGCAGATGCTACACTTTGGTTTCTTCCTCTTCCTGTTGTCATCCCCGCCCCCTCCAAAGCCCGAGCTGGCTCCGCCCCTTTTACTGAACCCTCCTCGCTTGCTGCCCCCACTACCGCCTGGGTTTAGAAGAAAAAATTGCAAGAATTCACTCAGTTATAATTAAATACAATCAAATCTTTCAAATATCCAACCTGTGCAATTATTAAACCTCCTCAACTAGATCACAGGTGAATTTGCAGCTGTTAAAAAAAAACACACACAAACTTGGTGAGCATAAATATTTGCTTACGATAAAACAGCTTACCCGTCTTAAAATTGCATACCCTGTGCTCTTCAAACAACTGATTTTTTGTTTTTCTCCTAAGGAATTTTGAATTGGTATGTTTTGTTTTAACCGAAAAACCCCTGATTTTATCCCGAGTTTGGGCACTGCAACCCTCTGAAAAATGGCGTTCATTTTGCGCACAAATGAACCCGTCCTGCGATAGCTAACTTATTGTCTGGCAGCCAATAATTTAAATTTTGTGAAACAGTGATTCAATAACTAAAGGTTCGATGTCTCATTCAACAGTGAATAACTTTTATATTTCTATGAAAATAGCGATTGAAAAAACAAATCTATTTTTTCGAGGTGAAACTCGAAAATAGCACGGGGAACCCATCTTTAAGGTACAGTGATATGCATTGTGTGCGACTGACTGCCAGTTGTTTTTGCATGAACAGAAATTACTGTATGTTTTTAATATTGTGCTTGGACCTTCATTGACCCAACTTTACAAGCAAGCACTGTATACTCAGTACAATAGTGTATACTCGGTGCAATAGCATGCGAGACAATTTTTTCTTCAAACCCACAACCTCCTGAATACAGAGCCACAACTGTCTGCTTGTGCAGACGTATTACCACACATCCACCAAACTTGCTAGGGTCATCCCGCGGATACCCATCTGAAATGACAGTGGGTACCGTGAAGTCAGGAATGCCTGAATGAAATATGTGATGCGATCAAGCTACACGAGTCGTTTGTCGGGAATTTTCATTTGGAGATACAGGCCAAAATAGGGCCACTTCATCACATCACATTTCTTGGTGTTCCGACTTCCATAATTTTTGAACTAAAGATGGTATCAGGATGCAGTTTTCACAGCAGTAATGCTGAGATTGTGCTCTTTTTAAATCTGTATAAACCAAATTTTGACCAGCATCACATATATTAAAACTCACCCCACGTGGATTGATTTCGAGCCCCACCGCCTCCGGTACCACCCAATCCACTGTTGCCGTCAGTCCATTCAAAAAACTTGCACTGTTTGCCCTGTGGTTTGCCACAGCAGTGAAAATCCTTGCCTTTGTTGGGACCTTCCTTCTGTACGGTGCGTCTGAAATAAAAATTAAATTTCAGAGGGTCAGGATTTTCCGACTTAAATACAGAGCTTTGTGGCAGGGTTCGACCCTAATTTTTATTTTCACTTGCCAGCCGGGCTACTGAAACAGACTAGCCCGCGGGCATTTTCACTAGCCCGCTTGTTTTTCTTTTATACAGTGTCTCATAAACAAAAATGTGCATACATGTAAAACGTGTATCCTGAGGTAATCTTGTCAGTGTTTTTAATAAACAGATCTAATAATTTAACCCTAAACAGTTAATAAAATTAGATACAAATTGATACAGGTTTGCTTTCTGAATTTAATGATTTGTTTCTTCCTGTCCTTTCATCTTAGCCGCAGCCCAATAATTTTTGACTCGCCAGCCGGGCTACTTAAGGAATAGTTTGACTAGCCCGCCGCTATTTTGACTCGCATTTGGCTAGCGGGCTAATGCTAAAGTCGAACCCTGTTTGTGGTCTCAAACGTAAAAGAGAGGTAGTATATTTGAAGACACCTTCGAAGGATTTGGGGCTTAAAAATTCAAGTACAAGTACATGTATTACTCAATTTTAGTATAGCATTGGAATTGTGTGACTTTTTGAAGAAAAAAATAACCTGAGGCCAAAAAAAAAATAAGTCGGTCTCTGGTCAGCGTGCGCATCGATTTTAATCATGCGCGTCGATCTTTTTTTTTCTTCAAAATGTTTCGCGGTAGCTCCAACAGCGCCCTCTATTTCCGCACCTCCTCAATTTTTTTTACCAAAGAGCACCAAGGAATGGGAAATTGCACCAAGGCAAATAATCGAAAGCACCAAGGCAAATTATGGAGGACACCAATGTACATGAGGACACCAAAAAAGCAAAATAGTACCCACCTTGTCTGTACAATCCAAGCTTGAAGAAAAAAAAAAAAGCCGCGTGGCCGCGTCAATTCCGGAACTTTGGTCTGACCAGTACTGAATATTTTTTTTTTTTTTGGCCTTATATACATCACTGTTGGGTTGGAACACAGCTCACTTGTATGTTAGTGTCCAAATTCTTTCTATCCAGACAGCCCATCTTCAACATTTATTTTCAATTTTTGGAAGACAGAACCAATTAATCCCTGTACTGCTGCAACCGCCCTGCCAGTAACTCTTTGTACCGCCCACAACTGACCCAGCACTGTATAATAGTATGGAGTCATTAGGGAATAAACACAATGTAATAAAGGGTGAGTAAAAAAAAACGAAACCCAAATGTCAGGACCATTGTTTTAGAGAAGTTCTGCATGTAGCACTTTCAAAATCTAGGATATGAAAGCCCAATTCTCTGTACAAGAATCATTCACTCATGTACTTTTCAAGTTACGGAGTTTTAAACACAACCGCTGTTTTAAGGTTCTGTCCACGGATCACAAAAAAAGTCCAGTGTTCTTTCAGCAAAACGAAAACAAATCATATAAGGATGTGTGTGAATTGTTTTCGTTTTTGCTGAAAGAACACACACCTTTTTTGTGATCCGTGGACAGAACTTTAAAACGGTGGTTGTGTTTAAAACGCCGTAACTTGAAAAGTACATGAGTGATTTGAATGATTCTTGTGCTGACAGAAAGCTTACGAATTGGGCTTTCATATCTTAGATTTTTAAAAGTGCTACATGCAGAACTTCATTAAAACAATGGTCCCGACATTTTTTTACTCACTCTGTACAATGTAATACAGGTGCTAATGAGTTTTAAAAAGTTACTGTCATGAAAAATGTATTTCTTGGACTTACAATACTGCAGCCTGTCCACACTGACACATGACCTCTCCCCAGTTGTTGGTTCTCGGTCCGGATGAGGAATCCTTCCCAGACTCGTACCCGCTGCTTCCACTGCTCCAGGAATTTCCGGAGGAATTTCCAGAGGAATTTTGGGTTTTCCACGAGTTTCCACCGGCATTCCAACTTGAGACGCTCTGGTTAGTGGAGGGGTTGGTGGGCGTTGCGTTCTCGTCAGCCCAGAGGAAGAAATTGCAATCTCCACTATTGCACTTGTAAAACTGTCGGCCTAGAAAAATAAAAGTTTTATTGGTGCGAGTTTGAAATTGAAACTTGAAATTGCAAATCGCCACTACTACACTTCTTAAATTGTCAGCCTACAGGGCGACTAACAAAATACAAAACCCAAATGTCGGGACAATTTTTTTTAGTGAAGTTCTGCATGTAGCACTTTCAAAATCTAGTATGTGAAAGTCCAATTCATAAGCTTTCTTTCAGTACAAGAATCATTCAAATCACTAATGTACTTTTCAAGTTACGGAATTTTAAACACAAACACCGTTTTAAACTTCTGTCCACCGATCACCAAAAAGGCAAGTGTTCTTTCAGCAAAACGACAAAATTCACATACATCTCTATGTGAATTGTTTTCGCTAAGAACCACTCACAGGCAACCTGCTGGTAAGCATAAAACTGTTTTGTGTTAAGCAGCTCTCTGAAACTGGCCCCTAGGTAAGGGCCCATCTCAACTCATATCCGGGATGAGTTCCGGACAAGTTGCCAGTAGTATACTTCACTTTGTCCGGAAGAAGCTCTGCATTTGCTCAGGACGTGTTCGGGGAAAGTTTTCATTTATAGCAACTGCTTGACTCACCACTACTGACAGCTTCACTGCGGGAAGATTACAGGGAAGTTATGCTTAACCTTGCAACTTATACCTGATACAATGTCCGCAACTTGTCCGGAACTCATCTCGGATAGGAATTCAGGCGCGCCCTAATATGTTTTAAAGTGCAAGACTGTCTTCAACATTTGCCCAAAAATATCTGAAGCCAGCTTCACAGACCAGTTTAGCACAAAAAAAAAAATCTTAAGCAGATATGCATACCAGCCAAAAAACATGTCATACATACACTGCTTGTAATACGCTGGAATTGTGTTCAAGTGCATTCCATAGCGAACAATTTCATGTACGTTTAACACACAGGCGGCAATTTTACATCATACAATTCGTCACCCACACCACGAACTGACACCCTCTGCATCACATGTGTACAAAATTTTTTTAAAAATTCAAATTTTCTTTTTTTGAAGATATTAGCAGATTGTATCATGAAGTTTAACATGACGAAGTTAAAATTGCTGAAATCATCTAAAATAAGCACATTTTACTAATGAATTTTCAAGAAATTGGTCAATTCTGGTGTTTTTTTGTTACCACAAGTGACACTGCACAGGGTGTTAGTTCGTGAAAACAAAAATTTACGTAAGTTTTTGGAGAGTGCGCGCATGCAATAGCGTTAGGGAGTGTCAGTTCGTGAAAACGAAAATTGACGTGTTTTTTTGAGTGCGCGCACGCATGCGCAATGTGTGCGCGCACTCTCCCAAAACACGTCAATTTTTGTTTTCACGAACTGACTCTCACTAACGCTATTGCATGCGTGCACTCTCCAAAAACACATAAATTTTCGTTTTCACGAACTGACATCCGTCTTAATCATTTAATTGCTAATTAACTAAGCATATTTTCACAATATAACGTTTATTAGTTAAAGCATTTTCACGTTAAGTGATACTAAAACCTCTAAGATAGATGGATTATTTTACTGAGTAAATTCGTGTCAAACCTTTAAAAGCGTTTTTCTCCGATTTGTATTTCTGCAACGCTGACCACCGGGTGTCAGTTCGTGGTGTCGGTGACGAATTATGGAACATTTACGCAAGTTAGTACCTGAAAATGGTTCACTGCCTTTCAGCAGATTGTCACCACACCAGTTACAACCACAGCTGTGCTTATTTTCATTTCAAAGATGAGAATCAAGCCCATTATGAAACAACGGCCATAGCGCAACCAGTGTTCACTGGGCCGTTGCAGTGCGCACAAACCAGTAACCATGGTTGGTCCGAGTTCACCTATGCCTGACACCACTATTCCAGTGAATTGTTTCTAAACTGGTATATGCTAAGCAAATTTGCTTTCCAGTTGTTTATCCAAAAGCCATTTTTGCTAATTCCTGATTTGGTAACATTTACCATTATTAGGGCCCTCCTTCTTGACAGTGAGTCGCAGAGCGTCACTGCCACAGTTGCACACCACTGCATTCTCGCCACCATTGCTGTTGGAACCAGCAAAGAACGACTGCCCGCTGGACAACGAAAAAAAAGCATAAATAGCTCGCAAGTTACATTACCAGTAATCATTTGTTGTTAAAGGGAATATAAAACATTTGCTTTTGGTGTAATTTTCAGAAATGGATGGATTTGGGGATCAGTATTTTATAGCAATATTGTTGCACTGACTTGTTTGAAGTTTTGAGCTCGTAGATGCTGGAGAAACTAAGAAAAACAATCATGTTCCTGAAGTCTGGTTCCTTGACCCCACTTAGGAGCAATTTGTGGACGTCAGGAATTGTAAGATCCGGGAACCAGTCTAGCTGGCTGGATGTGTAATCGATTGCAAACAAAATCTGGACCCACTATTAAATATGGTAAGTTGGGGGCAGTATACAAAAATACCACTTTTCTTGAAAATGCAAGCACACCAGGTGCCACGATCTTACAGGATACTTTAGACTGTCAGTCTCTAACAGTCCAGTAACTTCATAATAATTTGGTCGTCTTGTTTTTTGATGTTTGCAAATGTTGTATATTCCCTTTAAGTTTCAAAAGGAATGGCTACATTGTCACTCATTCCTTGTTGCTTGTCTGCTCCAGTTCAAGGAACACATCGATACAGTATCATTGAAATTTGGTTGGTATCCGATGTTCATTTTTCTTGTGATGTTCTTCACCATTGCCAAGTTAAAGGGAAAATACAACATTTGCAAACATCAAAAAATAAAACTACCAAATCATTTTGAAATACCTTGCTGGACTGTGAGTGAATGACAGTGTAAAGCATCCTGTAAAATCATGGCACCTGGTATACTGTCATTTTCAAGAAAAGTGGTATTTTTGTATCAATTTCCAACGCTGATCGGCCGATCAGCGTTGGAAAAAACTGGCTTTTTTTTCAAATACTGGCCCCAATTGACCATCGCACTTGTTTGCAATCGATTTCAAACCTATGAACGGGTACGAGCCAGCTAGACTGGTTCCCTGACCTTACAATTCCCCAATGTATGTAAACTGCTCTGTTTCTTCTTATATGGAGTCAGGGAACCAGACTACAGGAAAATGATCGTTTTTCTTGGTTTTTATAGCATTTTCGAACCCAAAACCTCAAAAAAGTCAGTGTAACTATATTTGCTATATATTTCCAACCCCCCAATTCCATCCATTTCTGAAAATTACAGCAAAAGCAAAAGACAGTCACTGCACAAAAACCAGCACTGTGGAGAGCAGTAAATCGTGACCGAATCTGCCTGCTTGCCCTGAGCTTAACCACACAAACAAACTGTGTAGGGATTTGAAATGTTATCCGTACTCCACAAAATATTTAATACCTCAAAGAATATTTAAAGTGTGGGTGCTAACTCTATGGACAAAAGTGGTTTTGCAAAACTTCAAGGATTGTGATGTATAGAAGACTTGGAGGGTTCATTGCTGTTTTACTCCTGTTAATTCCAAAACTGCAGAAAATCACAAGAACAATATCTACGAAGTGAGGAAATGTTTCCAAGGGACTTAAAAGATTATATTACCGAGTATCTCTTGCAAATCCTAGTTTGTTTCTACATCTATTGGTGTTTCCCTTGTTGCATTAATGCCCACAAATAGGGAACTAAACCAATCCCACTCTGCGATGGTATCATAAAAACACACACTTTTTTATAAATTAAAAAGTTACAAAGTTGACACAAAGTTCTTACCCAGCAGGCACTTGATTTAGTGGTGGCCTTGACTGTGGAACATTTGAAGAGAAACCGCTGCTGCCACCTCCTCTAGCTCCACCTCCTCCTCTAAACCCTCCCCCTCCATTTGCCCCACCCCCTCTTCCAAATCCTCCCCCTCGATTTGCCCCACCTCCTCCAAACCCTCCACCTCCATTTGCCCCTCCCCCTCCTCCAAACCTTCCCCCATTTGTCCCGCCCCCTCCTCCCAAACCTCCACCTCCATTTGCCCCTCCCCCTCCTCCATTTGCCCCTCCCCCTCCTCCAAACCCTCCCCCATTTGTCCAACCCCCTCCACCATTTGCCCCTCCCCCTCCTCCAGCCCCATATGCCCCGCCCCCTCCATTTCCTCCTCCTCTTCTGTTGTTTCCGCCTCCTCTGCCGTTTGCTCCTCCCCCTCCCCTCTGTGCCCCGCCCCTTCCCCTGTTACTCCTCGCATTTGTTGTTGGCACTGGTGGTTAGAAAACAAAGCAAAAAGTCTTTAAGCACATTGGGTATTAAAAACTCTAAAAAAGAAGGTTCCAAACTCCGACTGCAAACTCATGAAATACTGAAGCACATTCAAACCTGTGCATGAAATTCTTTAGAACAAATCGACTTCTACAAGCAAAATTAAAGTAATGCTATCCAGGCATATTTGATCCTCAGGAAAAAATTGGAAAGAGTGTCCTGCAGACTCCCAAAAGTACAATATCTACTGTACAAAATGCTGAAAATGGAGGAAATAATAGAAAATGAAAGGAGAATAAGTTGGAAGGCTTATAAAAATAGGGAAACTATCATGCCTGTATTATAAACCAAACATAATAAAGCTCAGATGCATAATTCTTCTCAAATTGACCAACCTTGTGGCTGAGTTGCTGGTCTTAGGTATGACAGGTTCAGATCAAGAGCTTCCTTCAACATTGTATCGCATCCCCCAACACAGCCGATATAACTACAGACAATGACATTACAGTATGACATACAGACACTTACTGGCCATTTACCATATGAGTCTAAACAAGTGTGATCTGGTACACAGCACCCTGTGGAGACATGTGTATAATATCAAATTAGGTTTTTGCCCTTCACCGACGTTTAAACACTGTATACTCAGTGTGTTATATACAGTGTTTAAACGTCGGTGAAGGGCAAAAACCTAATTTGATTTATATCATCCCGACGCAAAATTTTATCTTATATGTGTATAATAGGTAACAAAAGATTGTATACGTCTCCACAAGGTTATCACGAAACAGATATATGGATTTTACTCAAAAACTAGGAATTTCCAAGGTGTGTTCATGTGTCGCAAATTGAAGTATTTTATGTAAGGGATATTAAGTCTGAATTTCAGCCCAGGAAATTAAATCTGGTAAAAATAGGAGCAGTTTGAAACTACAATTTCAAACTCCAAAATGTTAGTACACGAGAACAAAGAAATGACTCCACAAGGATACGAATTCTAGTATGTGTGAAAAATTCTGTGCATTCGAAAGACAATTGAGAGCTGAAAATTGATTGTTCTAGGTCAGTTTTATTCCAAGTTTTGGGTCTAATTGCAATCTCTGTAACTGGTATATAAGACAATGCATTAAGGCTTTATACTTGGACGTCATAAAAAACTTAGTTACTCCTTGAGCTGTTTGAAGAATAAATGCCAATAAAGTGACTGTAGTGATACATACTCTGATGGCATCATGGGTGGTACGGACCCTCGCTTGAACTTGAACTTGATTTTCTTGACAGGCCCAGGTTGACACTGAAGAAAAGAGAAACCATCATTATTTGAGACGTTGTTGAAACAGTTGGGACGTACAAACTAAATCTCTTCTGTTCGTTTTCCAACTCTTATACAGTTCACTGTTAAAAATTCTTCCTTCCCAGTGTTGCCACAGTAATTTGATATTCTTTCTTAACCCTAACTCCCTAGGAATTTTTGCTAGGATGCAACCACAATCCTGCAAAATCGTCCAACTGCCTCCATGTAAAAATTGCATACAGCCTCAATCCTTCAAAATTCTCCGTTACTTCTTGGATGTGGTCCTTAGAGGGGTGACCACTGCCTCAATCCTGCAAAATCCTCCAGCAATCACTGTCAATATGTTGAGGCAGAGCCAGTGACATTCTGGGGCAGTGTGGAGGATTTCAATTATAATCTAGGCCTAAATTTTGCACGGCTGAGCTTAAACAACACAAGGTTCGGCCTAAGATCTGGACACAGTGCACCCAGCGAATCAGCCACACGTTTGCCATATAGCCTCAATCCTGCAAAATCCTCCATTTTGCAAAGAGGATTTGGAGGATTTGGGAAGATTAGGGTTACAGAATCATATGTTGATATCCCTTTTCAAATCTTAACCTCCCCAGTCTGGTGCCACCACACTTACAGTTCGGCAGATTTCATCAGACACGGTGGCCTCCTGTACGGCCGCAGGGAACCAGACTGCAGCTTTGCATGCTGGGTAGCCGGAACAGCTGACCATCCAGCCTCCTTCCTTCTTCTCTTTGAGAATCATGGAATTATTGCACCTGGGACAGGAGCGGACTGGGGTGACGGTGGCCATTTCATTGACTGTAGGACAATCAAATATACAAATTAACAGTGACAATGGCATGTGACAATGACAGCTAACAATGACAATGCAACGATGTCACTTGCAATGGAAGTAAAAGGGACAAAGTTGATGGAAAGGTGGCTTTTCGTACACAACCCTTAGGAAAGAACTTATTTTATTGAGACCAGCACAAACGGGCAAAGCACTAGATATTTTTTTTTTTTTTAAAGTTGCATACCCTATCCTCTCCAAAAATGGATTTTTTCCGCTAACAATCTTTCAATTTGTATATTTTGTTCTAATGACAAAAAACCTATTTCATTCTGATTTTGGGCATCTGCAACCCTCTGAAAAAGGGCTTTCATTTTGTGCTCAAATGAACCCGCCCTGCGAAGCCGAATTATTGTCTGGCAGCCAATAATTCTAATTTTGTGCAGACGTAATTCAGTAACTAAACGTCGATTGATTTTTTTCATTCGATGTCTCATTCAAAAGTGAATAACTTTTATATTGCAAGGAAAACAATTGGGAAAAAAAATTCGACGTGAAACTCGAAAATAGTTTCTGGAACTGTCTTTAATACAAAATATTTATGTGTACATTTGGTTTTTTTTGTTTTGATCTGCTGCTAAACCTGTACATCTTGTTGATGAGTTCTCATACTACGACTCGTGAGAGTAATTCATCAGAATCTTCATCTTACCATCCGGCACGTATGCTTCAGGTTGCTGACCCAGATATCCTGACAGTGCAACGTCCAACATATTGGCCTGTTGAAAAAAAAACGTGGTTGGTAGAGAATAATTAACAAGCAAAATAAATGAATCTGGAAAATTGCATTGGTTCAAACTAGTCTGATAAGCTGGGGTTGAACAGACATGTGGGTGTCACTTCTTACATTAGCGGCCGCTTCAATGAAGACCTGTCGATACTTCTCTATCTGCTCCCGCAGCACCACTTCTGGGTCTTTGACACCGTCACAGATCCTTAGAAATGAAGAACGAAAGAAATGCATTTCATTTGAAAATCACGTGTTAGAAGGACGAAAGTAACTCATGATAAAGGGCTACAAAATACGATGAGCACAAGGGTCTTTTGCCTTTTTATCCGAGAGCACACCCGAGAGGTGCGGTAAAGGTTACGCTATCAATCAGAAAGCATCTACAATGGACTCATAACAGAGTGTGTCCAATGAAGAACCACCATGTCAAAGGCAGGGTGGCCAGCACAGATGTTGTAATTATACATCCACTATCCCCATTTCTGCTCTGGGCCCTCCGTGGATAATTAAGACACACTGGTGCACATACTGGTTCACACACGTTTAGTTGGGAAGTATTCACAACTTATTTTATTCCCAATGCTTATCTGAATTTGCACAAAGCCGAAGCATCTCCTTGTGAGCGTAATGCGTTGTTGCGTTTGAATGTCTCTCCTAGTGGTGACCCACAACTGACCCCCTTTCTTTCTGTTGAAGAACGCACTTATGTTAGGCCAAAAAAAAAAATAAGTCGGTCTCTGGTCAGCGCGCGCGTCGATTTTAATCATGCGCGTCAATCTTTTTTTTCTCCAAAATGTTCCGTAGTAGCTCCAACAGCGCCCTCTATTGCTGCACCTCCTCAATTTTTTTTACCAAAGAGCACCAAGGAATGGGAAATTGCACCAAGGCAAATGATCGAGAGCACCAAGGCAAATTATGGAGGACACCAATGTACATGAGGACACCAAAAAGGCAAAATAGTACCCCACCTTGTCTGTACAATCCAAGCTTGAAGAGAAAAAAAAAAAGCCCAAAAAAAAAAACAGCCGCGTCCCCGCGTCAATTCCGGAACTTTGGTCTGACCAGAGACCGAATATTTTTTTTTTTTTGCCTTAGTCTGAATTTGCACAAAGCCAAAGCATCTCCTTGTGAGCGTAATGCGTTGTTGCGTTTGAATGTCTCTCCTAGTGGTCACCGCCCAAATCTCCCCTTCCTACTGTTGACACCACCTAAGCTTCAGCAAATTGCACCCTGATGCTGATAGTAACTCACCTTTTCAGGTCAGCCTCTAGTTCAGCTCTCAGGTCTGGCTTGGACAGCTCATAGCCCATGCTGTCGTACCCTTCCACCAGCCCCATACCTAGCTCACCGGGGACAAACTTGCCGTCAGGTCTTACGCCAACGTACAGACGTGACTTGATTGTTTCAATGTGCTCAGCGTGGGTGGCGTCCGTGCCTGTGGCGAAAAATATCAAAGAAGTATTTTGATTAATTCTGTGGACAGTCATGGCATAGTGGTAAGGGGGGTTAAACTAAAGTTATTGCTGGTAGTTTTACAGACTGTGAGTTTGAGTCTAGCCACTAGTCTTTGCTCCTAACTTTGGTTTCCTGTGCTTTAGGAAGGGTGTGTCAGGTTAAAAAGATCACCACAAATTTAACAAAAAAGTATGCCAGAAGGTAGTTGGACCGAATGCCATCTAACCTTGCTCTACTTGACAACAGTTGCACTGGTTTAGTTTCGGGCTGTGTGGAACCAGCTCAGCAGTGTTGGTAACCATACTGGTAACCGAGAGGCATTTGAATTGCAATTTATAGCAGGGAGCCAGGACTGAGTGTTTTTTTTTTGGCAAATTGAGTGACCACAGTTTAATTAGATCTTGACACAGATTGTAGATTATTTGCTCAGTTGCAATTCGCTTAGTACTTCCTGAATCAGTTAACAAGTACCCACTTTTTTTTTTAAGGGATGGAGGATTGTATTGATTGTGCTTTTTTTTTATAAATCCTTCCACAGTCCAGCCAAACTTTTTAAAAAATGCAGTTGTAATATACAGCTCACCGATTCCATGTTTCTCCATGAGTGAGATCAGATCTGCCTCTGTCAGGAGGGGCGGTGGACTGGTCTCTCCCTCAGCCATCTGTCAAAAACAAAAAGACTTTTGATTGTAAAAGGGAATATACAACATTTGCAAACATCGAAAAATAAAACTACCACGTTTTTATGAAATACTATACTAGGATGTTGGTAAGTGACAGTCTAAAGCATCCTGTAAAATTATGGCACCTGGTGTGAAGTCGTTTTCAAGAAAATGGTATTTTTGTATACATTTCCAACTGTGGTCGGCCGACCACCGTTGGAAAAACCTAACTATTTTTCAACTACTGCTCCAAATTTACCATTTTTTTCAGTCCCAATTTTGTTTGCTATTGGTTAGATGTTCATAAACGGGTGCAGGCCAGCTAGACTGGTTTCCTTACTTTACAATTTTCCGGCATCTATAAATTGATACATTTTATATTTAGTGGAGTCAGGGAACCAGACTACTTGAACATTTTTGTTTTTCTTGGTTTTTCCAGCATTTTCGAACACAAAACTTCAAACATGTCAGTGTAACAATATTTGATCTATCATACTAACCCCTCAAATAGTTCATTTCTGAAAATTACTGCAAAATCCAATGATGTACATTCCCTTTAAGTCAAAAGTGGCTATTCAGTGCATGTGTTAACCAGTTGCTCACGAACTCAGTCTGCTAAACTGTGAAGTGGCTTGTCTGTGAATGCGTGGGTCAGTTGTTCAAAGTAGTTATTCCCTCTCGAGCAGAGATGTGGCAATGCTGCCTCTTATATTTAAAAAAAAAGTTACAGCAAAGTAATACACAATTGGTTTCAAAGGGCTTACCTCAATGGATCTGGGTTGGAAAGTTTCGCCCTGTTGGAATACCGGTATGACCTTGGCGTTCCACTTGTCATAGGGGTAAACATCCAGGTAGTTCCTGGCAACAATCATCAGACCCTGAGCTGTGAACTCCTCACTCGCTATCTTGATGAGAACAGTTGTCTCATAGCCTTGGGCATCCTTGTGGAAAGAGGATAAAAGAAAACAATTCACAGGACCAGCTGAGGATTGATGTGGATCACAAGTCAATTACAAGTCAGTCACAAGTCGGTCACAAGTCAATCACAAGTAAGTCACTAGTCAATCACAAGTCAGTCACAAGTCGCTTACAAGCCAGTCACAAGTAAAACACAAGTGAACTGCAAGTCAGTAACAATAAAGTCAATTTCAAGTTAGTCATAAGCCAATCACAGGTCAATCACATGTCAATTACAAGTCAGTCACATGTCAATCACAAGTCAATCATAAGTCAATCACATGTCAGTCACATGTCAATCACAGGCCAATCACTTGTCAATTACATGTCAGTCACATGTCAATCACACGTCAATCACAAGTTAATCACATGTCAATTACAAGTAAGTCACATGTTAATCACAAGTCAATTACAAGTCAATACCAGGTCAGATCATAAATCCATCACAAGCCAATCTCAAGTCATGTACAACTGTTTAGTGTTATCCTCGACACACTTTTTATGGCTTTTCTCCTTGCGATTATCAGCCACAACCATAGCTGTTTTGATACTTGTAGTCATAGCATATGCCAAGACCATTTGGTTAATGTTACATTAATGTTACAATTGCACATGTAGCCAAGAACTTCAGAAGCAACCTATGTACCTTGGAACAACACGCTAGGAAATGCCTCACGATGAGCTCATAGACTTTGAAGTCGTTTCCGTCCAGGGTGTTGGTGTATTTGATGGGGTGGATTGGAGGATGGGCATTGTCGGTCTTGTTGCCCTGACGAGGGGTAGGACCCTCCTGGAGGATCCCTGCAGCAAACGCTGCTCCAAGAAAAAAAATCATTTAGTGTTGTAGTTAAGTTTATCTGAAGTCCATCGCAAGCCCAGTCACAAGTAACAAGGGATGAACAATAAAAAAAAGGAAAAGCTTTTGTCACAGTTCATTTGAATAGTTTGTGGCTTGACGTGATACTGGAGGACTTGTGATCACTTGTGATGACCCAACTACGCCAATGGACTCCGTATCAGATCTGTACACAGCAGACCAGTCTCTGTTATAAGCTTAGAACAATATGGTATTGCATATGGCGTCCAACAATATTTTTGAAGAATACTGAAGTTGACAATTTAATAGATTTCAATAATTGCATGATTTTGCATTGTGCCATATAGCAAAAAGGACCATTTCTGAGTGCTGGTTACAGGATGATGTTGCTATTTGGACAATATGCGAGAAAACAAACCTCCAGTTAAAGGGAAGATACAACATTTGCAAACATCAAACAACAAAAATGATCAAATTATCACGAAATATCTCACTGGATTGTTAGGGAATGACATTCTAAAGCACCCTGTAAAATAGTGGCTCCTGGTGTGCTGACATTTTCAAGAAAACTGGTATGTTTCCAACGCTGGTCAGCCAACCAGCATTGGAGAAAACTGGCTTTTTTCAAAATCTGCTCTTAATTTTTCATTATTGGTTTTTCCGCATTTTCTTTGCAATTGATTACACACCTGTGAAGGGGTACAAGCCTGCTAGACTGATTCTCTGACCTTACAATTCCCCAAAGTCGACAAACTGCTCTGTTTCATCTGAAGTGGGGTCAGGGAACCAGACTACAAGAACATGATGTTTTTCTTGGTTTTTCCAGCATCTTCAAGCCCAAAATGTGAAACAAGTCAGTTTAACAATATTTGCTATAACATTCTAATCCCCCAAATCCACTTACTAATGAAAATTGCAGCAAGACCAAATGTTGTACATTCCCTTTAATGACAACAAATAACAAAGGGTATGTAACGTGGTAAAACGTGCTTAGCAAAAACCTAAGGCTGAGCATAAAATGTATTTTTTTGTGTGCTTATCTGAGAGGAGCTACTTACGTCCCCATCTCTGATCCTGAGTCTGTTCCTGAATCAATTCTGGGAGGTTGAAATCCTTAGGGAACATGTTGGTCTCTGTACGAGGGTAACTGATGAACCTGTAGAAAAGAAAATGAACTTAAATTTTCTGCTTTCAGAAAGTGTGCACCGGATTGCGGTGATAAACTGCCAAACAAACTCCACAACCAAAATGAAAAAGGCTATTATTTCCAAGGAGTATTTCTAAATCTTTGACAAAATGCTCAACTGTACAAGAAACCAAAGACATATCCTTTCCTCAATCCTACAAATTCCTTCACACCTCCTGGCGGAGTTTGAAGGAACATAGGAGCTTTGCATTTTTACTACTAAAAGGCATCAAGATTACTATGAGAGATATCACAAGGAGAGATCACTCACCCTTTGGTATACAGCTTCTCAGCAATTTTCATGGTCTCCTTGGCACCAACTCGCAGCTTGCGAGATGACAACTTCTCCAGTTCCTACAAGTCAGAGGGACAACGCTTTAACCCTAACCACCCCAACTCCATCAAAATCCATCCCCCCATTTTGGTGGATTTTGGGGGATTTGGTCCAGAAGGCCTGGCGTGACTAAATATTGATGGAGTATGATGGACTTGGGCCTAATGGGCTGAAGCAGTGCTAGGGGTATCTGATTGTTTTTGCCTAGCTTTCTGTACTGCTATTGTGATAAAAGCCATGTGTAGCAAGTCCATGAATGTCAACCAGAGCGTCAGTGGTGGATTCCATTATGTCATGTACAGTTTTGTATTGGAAGCACAGTGATTGATGGATTTTGATGGACTTGGTCCAGTTCCTAGTAAAAGACGCTAGGGAGTTAGGGTTACTGTACAGATTTGATCGTATGTCCTTCTCATTGCATGCTGTATTTGTACCAAATCTGGTGAGTAGCCATCTATTTCCCATTTTCCACATAGAACTTTGGATTTTTTGGATTTGGCAGTTCACCAGGGGGTTGGTAAAAATCCCCACTTACAAACTAGACTTGTGGCAAATAAACTACCCAACTTCAGCAGAACCCAATTTCACTATAAAACACTAAGATAATTCATTTACTATGCAAATATCAGCTGAGCACCAGTTAAAAGTAATACAAATAGCATGACATCTTGACTGGTAACCTATTGCTGCTAAGCAAATAGTTATCTACGCTTAGCCAATCTGTATTCAACTCACCACAGTGTCCATGGGTAGAGGTCTCCATTTGCTCTTGCTCCTGCTGCTGACGTCAGTGACTGTTGCCATGGGGTCATCCAGACAGACTTGTAGCAGTACCTCGCAGGCCAGGCGATGGAATAACCGATGTCTCTTCCAGTTGAACTCTACCTTGGTGTCCTCGACCTCGTGAGAGACTGGGACAAGTTGAGGGTTTTACATAACATCCTCCATCACAGTCTAAACAACTTGAAAACTTTGGTTTAGACTGTAAAGGCTGGCATTTTTAGTCAAAGGGTGTGACTAGGTTAAAGAGGTTGTGGACTGCTCGAAGACATTTCCGTCATTTTTTGGGTATATGTAGCCTAAGGTGTGATGAAATAAAAACGACTATTGTTTCTGTCATGAAATGAGTACAAAGGTTACTTTTGAGAGCTATCTTTCAGGTCCTGTTTCGACCCGAACGTGCAATTTGTGTAAAAGTCGTCATTGCGGGCAGCAAACAAAGCACAGCAAATCGTGACGTAATAAACAGGACTCATTTATGCTACTCTGCATCGGGAGTCCTGTTTATTACGTCACGATTTACTGTTTTGTTTGCTGCCCGCAACGACGACTTTTACACAAATTGCACGTTCGGGTCGAAACAGGCATGACAGGACTTGAAAAACAGCTCTCAAAAGTACCTTTTGTACTCATTTTATGACAGAAACAATAGTCGTTTTTATTTCATCACACCTTAGGCTACATATACCCGAAAAATGACGGAAATGTCTTCGAGCATTCCACAACCTCTTTAAAGGGAATATACTAAATTTGCTTTTTCTGAAATGGATGGATTTTTGGGGGTTAATATTTTAAAGCAAATATCATTACACTGACTTGTTTGAAGTTTTGTGTCCGTAGATGTTTGAAAAACCAAGAAAAACAATCATGTTCTTGTAGTCTGGTTCCCTGACCCTCGTTAAATTGAGATGCAACAATTCATAGACGTCAAGAAATTTTAAGGTGAGGGTACCAGTCTAACTGGCTTGTACCCGTTCATAGGTGTGAAATGGATAGCAAACAACGTTCAGACTTACTAAATATGGTAAATTGGGGCAATATTTGAAATAGCCAGTTTTTTTCTAATGCTGGTCAGCCGACCAGCGTTGGAAATTGATACGAAAATGCCACTATTCTTGAAAATGTTAGCACACCAGGTGCCATGATTTTACAGAATACTTTAAACCGTCATTCACTAACAGTACAGAAAGGTTTTTATAATAATTTTGTAGATTTTTTTTTGATGACACTTTTAATGACACTTATAAATTATATGTATTTAGAAAGATACATACCACTATTCTGTCGTAGCAAAAAAAACCTCTCATTTAACTGTAGACAGGGTCATGTTTACTTGAAACTAGCTATTGCTTAGAGCAGTCTATTTCTGTTATGTAAGTCCACACAAACAAATAATCAATAAATAGCTACTGCTTTGCCCATTCATTTAATTTTGGTCAGCACAGTGCAAAAATATGCATTCGATTTAGGACAGACAACACAATTCCGCTTTTACCTTTGATCTTGTAGAACGCCTCCGGTATGAATGCCTCCACCTGTTTATACCTCTCGACCACAAACCCCAGGGTGGGGAACTGACAGCTGCCAAAGCTGATCAACTGGCCGTCTAGGATGCCTGGGAACACCTTGCAGAGACGAAGGGTCTGGAAGCGGGTAAAAGCTGCACCTAGGGTGAGGGATAATAGGGGGATCGAGTCACTATCCTTAATCCTAGAGCAAAACTGTTTTTTTTTTACTTTGTTTTGTAGATGCCACAGAGCAACGTATCAGTCGCCAGCTTTTCGCTCTACGGGCGAGAGAAATCCGGAGCACACGTCCCCTCTCCACATGATGGGTGGAAGACCGATGGAAAAAGGTCCTGGGAATCTAATACAGGCATGCAACTGGGAAATCACAAAAAAAGAGGAAATTCAAATTTTTCCCAGACTTTGTACAGTGTTTTTCTATTTTCAATGGCACACATTGGAAGTGAAAAAAGAGGAAATCAGCTGATCCGAGGAAAAGTTGCATGCCTGCTAATAACAACTCCCGGCTGCATGAGTTTGTAGGTAAGTCGTCTTTGAAGCCGCCGGGATACAACCTCCAACGGAAAGTGTGGTTCGGCCTCAATTGTCTGCGCACCAGCTGGGGCAAGACGGGCAGCTTTCTGCACAAAATAGGGGCTGCAGACTCGAATAGATGTGTGCGCGGCAGCCCGCAAACTGTACACCATATTGCGGCTGACTGCCTGGTATTTGTCCCTCCAAAGTGTACAGGGACTTATGGATCTCGACGATGCCACTCTCAACTGGTTGCAGACAGTGGACTTACCATTGTAACAATCACGCATGTTGATTCATACGAAAGAAGACATTTGTAGACATGTGTAGTCTTGTGATGATTATATTTTATTCCATGTTTATCCAGTCGTTGGTCTTGAAATGATGTAATTCTATGTTTGTTCATATTCGTTGTCTTACCCCTCCCCTCTCATCCTCTCCCCTTCCCACCCTCTCCATGTCATGTTTTTTTTTATTTATTTATTTTTTTATATATACTATTTTAGTCTTTCGCTGCTCTTGTAAAGTAAAGTTTTGTTTTTAATGATTAAACATTGTAAATGTTCTTTACAATTCCGCTGCTGGCGGCGAAAAAAGACATAATAATAAACCAATTAATAATACAAATTTGAATATTATGAGATTCAGCCAGCAGTCTTTTCAATGCAATGGGAGATTTTTGAGACGCTTGCTGGCAGCAAACACAACGGTACTTCTTACACCCGCCTTGTTGAGCTCCCTCTGCAGACTAAAGAGGTTTTCTGCTATAGAGGCTTGATCATAACAGTGTACAGCATGTATCTAGAAAGTTTCAGAACGTGAGAAACTACAATTTTGCAGAACAAAAATGCCTACCTATTCTCAGGTCCAGCTGTTGTCGGACATCCACGGCATTTGACACTCTCTCATCAGGCCGACCAAGGTTCCTACACGCATTGCTGATAGACCTATTCAGAAATATCAAATTTGTAAAATTACTTCATCAAATTATCCACAATAACAAATCAAGGTCATCAGATGTGTAACTGGGTTGTCGATTAAAAAACAAAGGATTAAAAGACAAATGATTACATCATCTAATCTGAGGAGAGTAGCATAACATCTTAAATGTTGAGCTTCATGAAACTCTTTGAAGCACATTTCAGTAAAACCAAGCAATGAGCACTTACTGTGGAGTAATCTCAGAAAATCTAGCTCTGTATACATCCAGACGTGGTTTCACTGAAAAAATAAGAAAACAAATTCAAATTCATTCATCAATAGACGGAATGGTATGTGCATGGGCTCTGTGCACAAGTACCCCTTCAACGGCCAGAAAAGGAGAGTCCAGGGAGACCTAGACTGGTTCCCGGTCCATCCACTGTGTATTTCGAATGATCCAAAGATATTGGGGGCAGGGATTAGTCTGGGAGACCATCACAAGTTAAATTCGAACGTATTTGCGCGCCGACGCCGCCTGACGCTCACGCAAAGATGCTGTGGCTAATAGTTTTGGCACATTCAGGAAGTCGTGCGTACTTCACGCGCGAACCAGAACAGCACAAAATGCACAGGCTGTTAGTCCCGTCCACGGAACTCTCAATAGTGGTGAAAACCCTCTTTTGTTGCCGCACAGAGCCCATAGACAGTTCACGAGCAAACAAACGTCAAGGGGTAATTTCGTGAATTTCAAGGAGCCTATTGTCTTTTTTTTGGGGGGGGGTTTCATTGTTTAGGCCAAGCTGCAACAGTTTTATTGAAAAACAGTAACCTCAGAACACCTTGGTAAAATAGTATAATATATATATATTTATAAAGCAATGTTTTTATTTATAAAATATTTTAATTTTAATATCATGACTGCCCCCAAGCAGACCTTTAACAAATATCAGGTAAGTATGCATTCCAGTGACTACACATACCTGCTTTGCAGACGTCAACAATTTCACAGCCAATATTCTCCCCTTCCCTATCTCCGTCAGTCCAGATGATGAGGACATCATGCTGTCTGGCCTCACGCTCTAAAGTCCTCTGAAAAGAAACACACAAATCTACATAAATGAAGACGATGTCATGTCTGGCCCCTCAACCATTATTCTCTGATTAAATAATTTTAATTTTATTGACAAAACGATATATTTCCAGACCAGAGCCATCGTCTTGAACTATTAAACAGAAAATGTTTCTCCATGTTACACCCAACTATGGCAATGGTATACAAATATTGAGTGGCTCAGATTGAAATGGGAGGAATATTATCGCAAGGTAAAATCTGGACTTTTCCATTTCACGAGGCAAAGCCGAGTGAACTGGAAAAGTCCAGATTTTACCGAGCGATAATATTCCTCCCATTTCACAATTTAAAGCCACTCAATATTTGTTTTATATAACTGACATATAGATCCTTGTCATTTGATATATTTGAACTTTTATTTCAATACAAAATTGGTGAAATATGTATTTCTTTCTTCCTAACCATCCCTTCACAAAAATGTTTAAACCCAACGCTGTAGCGCTGGCTCTTTAGAACAATACGCGCTACCGCAACGCTGAATGCGTACACCAGCACACATTTGCACACAAATACCGCGTCATGGAACAAGAATGATCCTAACTGTTTAATAGTATTTCCCTTTCCCGATGGGCGAATAGGACTTTTTGAGCACCGGCTTGAATGGGAGCAATAACGAATGTCACATGATGTGAGTTCCACCAATCAAATGACAAGGATCTGTATGTCAGTTATATAAACCCAACTATAGTTGAGACAGTCCTAACTGTTGTTGGGCCAACCCTTATCAATAGTTGGGAAATTACTTAGTATAGCTGGGACGATCCTAACTGTAGTTGAGATGCTATGGTGCCATAGCTGACAGTTAGACTATACTTGCAAAGCATATTTTTTTGTGCTAGGCAAGTTTGTGTGCTTTTTGGTTGCTTTCTACAATACCTTGATGTCTTTGAAATTCTCTGGACAACCTTTGAAGACGTCAGCATTAAACAATGCCACTGGGTTGCAACTGTGCCTGCAAGAACAACAACGCAAAGTTCAAACAAGCAATTTAACGTAATTCAATCTGATGTATTAAAACTCCTTTTACTTCATCTCCATGCATATTATATTCTTATGATTAACATTTGACAGTAAAGTGAACATAGCTTCGAAAGATTTTGTTGTACAAATGTTAATTGTCTAAGAGCCATGGCAATGTCGATCACAATCTTAAAGTAGGAGTCTGATATGATCTTTGTAATTTAATAATTCATTTCAACCACAAAAACACAGGTAAGGCTGAGTAAAATTTTTTTTTTTTTTTTTTTAAGTTTCTTCTCTGGGCTTTTTTTTTTTTTAAAGGAGGCAGCCCCTCCCCCCCCCCCCCCCAGATGGTAGATTTTTCAAAATAGCAGATGGATTCTTCCATTTTATCGACTCTTTTGCCGAAACAAAATTGTGTCCAAAGGAGGCATCACCCTTTCTTTCTACATAGCTACAATTTTGTTGGAAACAAAGAAATAGACAGTTTGTGGACAAAATGTGCAAAATATATTGCAAATATATGAATAAAAACACTTGGCGGGCAGAAAGAAAGAGGTGTGCGGATCGACTTACCACTTTTTGAAGGCAGACACAAATTCATAATTGAGCAGATGGCCTGACACTGACGTCATTGTCATACTGCAGTCCTGGTTGAAAAGCTGATAGTCATATTCATAGATCTTGTTGTATTTGGAGTAGCCTTCCCTCTGCAGAATTTGTGTAGATAATTTACATTTCTTCATAAAATATCTGTGTCACATACTTTCCAGCAAGTTTTAATGTTATCATAAAAGAAAAAAAAATTGGGAAAAGCAGCATTACTATTTACTGGAATCACCGGAAATCAACTGGAAATCAACCAAAAATACTGGAAAACAGGACAATAAAAAGACAAAGAACTGTAGAATAAGTAAAGCGTTTGAAGGTAGGCCCACCTTGTCCGAAAAACAGCTTTTCTGGGTGTTTTTCCCCTCAGCTGTTTTCTGCTCAATTCTGGTGTTTTTCTGTTGCTTTCTGATGGGTTTTTTTTTTGGGGGGAGGGGGTGTTTTCCGGTCATGCCAATGATTTCTACTGTTTTCTGGTTATTAACATATTTTACATTGGCTTGACTTAATGTTTCCAGACCCATTTTCTTGAAACTCACTGGTCCTTGAGTCTGGAGTGCAGAATGGTAACACACTGTCGTCTGTCATAGAAACTGATGAAAACACTGTGTGCAAACTGCAAGTGAATTTGTTTCGGAAAGATAGTTGCAACCAGACGCCACTTTTTTCATCATCTCAATGGAGGCCATTCATTGCCAAAATGTTAAAAAGACATGAATCTGGGACTGAGAAACATTTCCAATTTTGTCACTAAATTTTAACAATAGTAGTACTAGCAAAAACAATAACAAAACCCCCAATACCTACCCTTCTGTATCTTCCTCTTGACATCAAGTCTGCCAGTGACTTGGCGGCATCATTCTTCTCTGCAACATTTAACACACGCATCCCTCTGGCCATCATGAAACTTGTTCTAATCTTAGAAAGTCGATCTGACGGTTTGCACAGTTGACAGAAATTTGGGAACGAACTCGACAAACCCTTTCCACAAAAAATTCCAGCTGCCCCAAACAAACATGATCTAGCTTGGCTAGTATAAGTAGTAAAAAGTAGCATTTATGTCGAAGGTGCCTGTTTTAAATAAATGTGGGTATTAGGGCCTACCTGAAAAAGTTTCTAAAACATGACAAAAAATTAATATCAAGAACTTCTGCAACTTTTCGCCTCTCAAGTAAGCCGCCATTTTCCCTCGTGAAAATTGCAACCAAAGAGGGCGCTGTCTACCATGCCGCGAACGGAGAATTCTTTTACTAAAGTTGCGTCAGTCTTTCACATACAGTCATGATACAACATGTATATTTTTGATGTAAATTGTTTAGTATATTGCTAACGTCTTTTTTACATTACATTTAACAAACACTTTGATTATTTTATTAAAAATTCGTGTGGTTTTGAAGCCAAAGAGTCAGTCCAGGTCCGGAGATACACTTGTTGGAGAGGTTAATTATGGAGAAACGATTTATTTAAGTCTACGTATACCAACTGCATGTGCTACAACTACATGCAAGGGTCATGATCTATAAACATGATGTAACTTGTCAGGGTTGCTCCAGTGATTGTTAATGTTATGCAAGAAATAATTTTTTTCTCGGGAATTATTGTAATAGTTGTATATCATAATGACGTTTGTGAATTGTAGCCGTGTTTTAAAGGTAATGAATCTGGCAAGATCTTGGCCTAGTCGAAGGTAGGTTGATTAACAGTCCTGATTCATAATCATTTAATTTACCCTAATTTATTTGTCATCTGGTCATTGAGCAATGTGTTCCTTGCTGTTTATATGAACATTGATCTCCATGGTACTGGTAGACAATCATTTGTGAATTGAATTTATTTTGATCCACACTGCAACTCTTGCCATTTCTCAATGATCTTGCCTATATAGACTTATACATGTATAGTCAGATAGTAAGTTAGCATTAGCAAAGTATCCCAGGGGAGTATCACGTCACATAACTGATCTTAGTCATGTTAGTTTTGAGAGTAGACATAGGCCCTAGTAAAATGTAATTTACTATCGCAAACTCTGATCGTCATCATGGATGGTGAAAAATGTGGTGTCGGTGTCACACTCATGGGTATACTGCACATTCCCTTGAGGGGGAACTGTAACTGCCTTTTGACAAAGTGCTTTGATAAGTTTTGAATAATTGATTGCAGTGGCATGACCGCAGTCCAGAGACGACCCATACTTCCCCCATCCTGCCAACACAGATGTGCCTCCTCTCAGCAGACAAGAAGCAAAACCTCGTCCAAAAGAACAGATGATCAAGATGAAGACAACGAAGATGAACCACTCCCATATTTAAACAGCAAGGCCCGTGACTGGTCGGTTCACAACAGCTACGGGAGGCACAAGAAGCGCCCGTGGTACAAAGTGGCTCCGCTGAGCATCGGACTCGCTGTCTTTATGGCTTGGGTCTTTTTACGCAAGGAGACGGAGATTGATCGACAGTTGGAGGTCCAGCTTCACGAACGCTTGCCCAATCTGTTTGAAGACCCAAGTAAAAAGAATGTGGGAAAGGACCCAATCCTTGTACCAGAAAGTGAAGAGGAAGAAAAGCTGAAGGAGTGACTTTGATAGATTTGAAACGGAATCAGTGTTGTTTTAATTGCCCTGTTTGACAGTTGAATTTTTGCAAGTGTACCCACCTGGAAAACTGTTGAAATTGTCCATATTTGTCAGCTTTTACTGGCTGTATTTGGTACAAATTTGTGTGTCCTGTTAACCCTCCATTGTCAGCTGAAGTCAGCACATGCCGAAATACAAAATTAAGTCAATTCATTGTCAAGTACTCGGGTCGTCAGTAACATTTAATTGGGTAATCTTATCCAATCCATTTTGTTTGTCCACTCCCCATAATTTAAATCAGGTTTACAATGTTCTTGTACATTATGCAGAGGGAAAGAGTTATTTTCTTTTCTTGCTTATTGTCGCCCATTGTGGCTTGTTCTGAGTTTGGAGAGGGGCTTATTCAGGAGATGTTTTCCCCAGATCAGGGGTGTGAGTGACCACTTAAAAAAAATAGCTGAAAATAGCTGGAAAAAGGTGTAAAGAAGCTGAACTTTGGAAATCTCATATACCTTTGTACACAGCAAGTGAGGGAAAAAGCTGACATGCTGAAATCCATAACAAAAAGAAAGCTGAAATCGGCTTTAAAGCTGAGATTTCACACCCCTGCCAGAAAAACAGTTGGTACCAAAATATGCTTTGAACATTTGAGTTCTACAAGATGATGGGTTTTTGCGATAGGGCGAATATGTGTAATGTACATGTACATGTATGTATGAACTTTTGTTTCTACAAGAAACCCAAAACTCGCCTTCACAAGACAAGGCAAGCCTAGTAAAGCTGATCTCAGAGAGCATTCAAAAGTATACAGTCGATTCTCGTTAGTACAAACTCTGTTAATACAAAATTCTGGTTATAACAAACATAAAGCCTTGGTCCCGACTGTGCATTTATGTGCCCAATGAATGGGACTGATGTTCCTCCAAGTCTTAATTCAAAATTCTGATATAACAAACAAATTGGCTAGGTCCGAACGAGTTTGTTATAACCAGAGTGGACTGTACATGTATTCCAGAATGGCTATTCACTGGAAGTTTTTTTAATGCAACTTGGCTTTACAGTGGCCTGGATTTAGCCCATTCATAGGAATTAGATGTTAAACGTAAAAATGTAGAGTCCGTCACGAGCCAATGTGTCCTGTTAGGCCGGTTTTAACAGTGTTTATCTCCAGTTTCAGTAGCATGAAATTCTGTAAACACCTTTATAACAAGGTCCTTGGGATTTAAAAATTTCCTTGTTATAACAAGTACCTTGTTGTAATAACAGTAATGAAAAACAAAGACTTGAGACCTAAAATTATGCTTGTAGTTGTACATGCATGTTGTAAGCAGAATGTTTGTGATAACAGTGCTTTTCTGATCAGGGTTCGACTGCACAACTGTACATGTACAGTTGAATCCTGATAAGACCAGCACTGTTAATGTAACAAGCTGCTTTAACGCGCACAATTTGAGGTCCCAAGTCTTTGTTTTTCTGGGTTTCTTTCCATTAATAAATGTAAATGTACCTGTTATAACAAGATACAGTAATTTGTAAATTCCCAATGAACATTATGTACCTGTAATGTACTTGTAATAAAGATGTTTGACTGTACTGAGAATATTTTTACTCCCCCTGGATGGGATGTTAGTCAATCATTGGTTTCTCCCCAGCTAATGCTGATACCCATTAACACTCCTGGGTTGAGAGAGGCAAGTGGAGATGAAGTGGCTTGCCCAAGGACACAACGTACGGCCAGCAGTTGGATTGTAACCCCTGACCCTCCAAGTCACAAACCCTTTAGCTACACTACATGTGTATGGTAATCCTGTACAATAGCACTGCCTGACACTCTTCACAGTCTGGTCTCCACTCCAGCAAAAGTCATTCTTCAGTCTTATGAACAAATAGAGGACATCACGTACATAGGCAGTTGCTGTGAAAATACAATGATGAATATTGTACAATACACAGGCCACTCTCATTAGTTCAAACACTGATGATAATAATGTACAAATTCTTGGTTCCAACTGTGCATTTATATTACACAAGCTGATTTACCCGATCATAGATCGGGTAGGGCGTAGTGTTGGGGATGAAAATATGGGTTAGTCGAGAAGACGTGCAGAAAGAGGAATTGCGCATAAATGCACAGTCGGGACCAAGGCTTCGTCTATAACCTAAATTTGTATTAACAGTGTTTGTACTAACACAAGTTGACTGTACACGTATGTGCACAATGAATGGGATTGATGTTCCTCTTAATACAAAATTCTGATATGACAAACATTGGCCTGGTCCAGCCGAGTACATTGTATACATGTACATTAACGATAGTCGACTGTACATGTATTCGAGAGTGCCGGTCCCATTCACTGTGCTGGACAAAATGTCAAGTTGGATTTTTGTACATGTATCAGAATTCTGTATCAAGTGGAGTGCCATCCCATTCATTGTGCAGTTGGACCGAGGCTTTGATACACGCGTAACCAGAGATTGCGAACAGCAGTCAGTCCGCAGCGCACGCGATAATGAGGTCAAATGCCGAATTTAAATACAGTCGAGTCTCGGACCTCGCCAGATTGTTTGTTATATTAGAATTTTGTATTAAGAGGAACATCAGTCCCATTCATTTTGCACATAAATGCACAGTCGGGACTAAGGCTTTATGTTTGTTATAACCAGAATTTTGTATTAACAGAGTTTGTACTAACGAGATTCGACTGTACATGTACAGCATTTGTGTATTTACCAAAAACTTAGCACTTTGAACAAGAAATAAAGCAACATTTTATGCAATAAATTGATTAGATGGTGATTCGTTTTATTGGGATTGGTAACAAACACCTAACATCCTGTGGAGATATAAAACACGAGTAATGTTGGCTACCTACTTCAACTTATGTACAGGTGAGGTCCGATTAGAAATACATTGTACATGTATACATGTAGGTCGACAAGATGAAACATCCAAATTATGCATACATATTCAATTCGAATCAGCTGTTTTTTTAAAAAGCCTAGAAAATTTTACTTCAGTTACATACATGTACATGTATTAAGTGTTGAATTTGAAGACAAAATTAATGTCCCAACTGGCTGTACATGTACATGCATTAAAAATGTCAACCTAGTAACTGAAATTTATCTGCAAATTCAGATCCCAATTCAGATGAGAATGGATCATTGAAACACCATCGTTGTGAAAATGAAATACTAAATGTTGAAAACTAAGTGTTTACATATCACTATAGATTCAATAAATTAAGTTTTTAAAATCCCACTTCACTACTGGTGTACATGTTATGAAAATAGCATTTCAAATTCTTGCACCAATACTGGCTATCGTGTAGTGGGGCCCATGTTTTTTTTCAAATTACAATGTAAATGACCTTTTCAACATAGAGCAGACTTTCTTACGCGGTTTACAGTTGATGCAGTGCAATTCAGCGCGCCTTGAGCGTTCACAGTATGTTGCGCAGTGATCGCCACCTTCATTTTCATGTTGCGTTATATCATCGTCACTTGCTCTGAAATTGTCCTAAAAAATTCAAAAACCTGCCCTCTAACACGTCTATTTACTGCATGTTCTAAATTTGTCAGGACAAATAATTTAAAAGTGGATTTTGTTCCCTTATAAATAGGGAACTGGGCCCATAGATACCCCATTGCCCCAATACAGGCAGTTTTCTGTTTTCAATGACGTTTCCCTCAAGTCTTCTGCTCAGTTCTGTGAGGTAGCAATTACTCGTCTTTAAACAGGTAGTGAAGCAAGATTTCCCAACATTCAGACTGGTCTTGAACTAACATTTACAAAACTTAAAAAACAAAATGTTCTGGATATTAAAATGAGGTCATAATACACATGGTCACAATAAACACACAAGTTAAAAACCACACTGATCTGTTGTTTAGTTTTGGGGCGAGTGAACATCGTTTCCGAAATTCAAAAAGGATGAATAGCCAACTTGGCTTCTATCATGGTTAACCTTATAATTATAGTAAAATATGTTCCAAAATATAGTACCAAGATCTTCAGATACAAGTGGGGAATAATACTATTTACAAATAGATTCTGCTTCTCATAGTTGGTTGTCAATCAGCTAGCTAGCAACTGTTTTATCCTCCGAACAACTTTTCTTCAAGAACTGACCAACGATAGCAGTGTTTTTGAACTAAACTACAGGAGTTGAGCACAGAATTGCATTTCTTAAGCACGTTCTCCACGGATTCTTCTGGCCAGCTGGATGTCCTTGGGCATGATTGTCACTCTCTTTGCGTGGATGGCACACAGGTTGGTGTCCTCGAAAAGACCCACCAGATAAGCCTCGCTGGCTTCCTGCAATCAAAGCAACAACATGTTAACTCTCATACTCTGACATAACAAGGGTCATTAGTATTACTGGACAAAAGCCATTTCAATTTAACAGATCTCATACTGTCTCATTGTGCTGTACTTTACACTGGGAAAATCTGGCATTAAGTGGCATAATCCCTGAAGATTTTATTCTTTTAAGAGGTGCGCACCTGGAGGGCACCAATGGCTGCACTCTGGAACCTCAGTTCCGTCTTGAAGTCCTGGGCGATCTCACGAACCAGACGCTGGAATGGGAGTTTGCGGATCAGCAACTCTGTGCTCTTCTGGTACCGCCGAATTTCACGGAGAGCCACTGTACCAGGCCTGTAACGATGGGGCTTCTTCACACCTCCGGTTGAGGGGGCACTCTTACGTGCAGCCTTAGTGGCAAGTTGCTTACGAGGGGCCTTGCCTCCTGTAGACTTTCTGGCGGTCTGCTTGGTACGAGCCATGATTTTTCACTGGATTTAGGTAAAAGAAAACAACCAAACAAACAAGTAAGCAAACTATTTCAGCATATTTGTGACTTCACCGACACAATGTTTTTACAGGAGTGACTCAAGTTTTACACTGCTCCTTTCTGAAGAATGTTGTATTGGGACATCATCATTGTTCATTTGTTGAGTGTTACAATGGTTACCGTTGAGACAAGTCGACTTGGGACAACTTGACCGTTAAACAAGTAGACTTTTACATGGAGGCGACTACGACAGCGGGTATAGCTGTATAGCGGCGCACGTGGTATTTTCCACAAAGACTTGTGCCCGTCGATGCTTAGGCATTTGCTAGACCCGTGAACATGGCGTGTTAACACGGGTCAAGGCATTTGCGTGTGTCGCGTTCCGGGTAAAAAAATCCCATAATCTGGGGACCCAGGCATGCCGGGTGTACAGTGGCACGGCATGCTGTCCGCCCCACCAACATGCCCAAACCACAAATGTCTCGCCTCCAAAAAATTGCAAGTTGAATTGTCTCAACGGACGACTTGTCTTTTCATTTGACAAACAGACATGACAGACAGTCGAGTTGTCTCAACAGTCGAGTTGTCTCAACAGTCGAGTTGTCTCAACGGTCAGCATGGTCAGATGGTCGAGTCGGACGGTTCAGTTGTCCCAAGTCGAGCTGTCTCAACTGTCAACGGTAGAGTTGTCTTGACATGTCTGACCCACCATAAACAATGCTACAGGTACAGCAAGGACATGAAGGAGGAAAAAGAACTTCAAATTTCAAGTAATTTTTTATTACAAATAGGCCCAGCCGCCTGACAATAAGTTTAGTGTTTATACACACCGAAAACCAAGAGGTTTGTTTTGTCAATGTCATGTTTGTCTCTTTAAAACTTTTAAGGCGGCTAAATCGAGTTTAACGCCAAAGTGGTCTAAATATAATTGTATTTGAACGGCAAACCATCAAGCATATCCCAACATGTCGCCCTCCGAGTCCGAGTTAACCCTTTTCTTTTCACACACTTTCCGATTTTGGGACAGTCAAGTCTGCAAGTCATGACAGTCTACCTTCGCAACTGTGGTACCCAGGCCTAGTAAACTTTCTATCAAAACCACCATAAACATGATAAATACACAACCTCAGAATGTTACATGATTTGACACTTTGTTAATAAATAAATGTCACTTCGCAAATAGAGAAAATCCACACGGAAAGCAATGCACATTGTATTTCACCTGTTCCTCACGATGTTCCTGTCTCGGTGCACACGATTCCCTTCCAAACAACAATGTGACATCAGCATGTGGAAATCCCGCACTAGTTATTTTTATCAATGAAGTTCCGAAATCTTATGAGCCAGATATTTCCATTGGTCGGTTTCGTGGAATAAATGAGCTGCATGCAACGGGAACGTTGATTGCTTAACGCAATGCCTTCTCATTGGCCAATTGGGAGAATTTAGCTCACACCGGATTGGTCATTATTCCGTGATTCTGATTGGTTAAGCCTCAACCCTCGGGATCCCGATTTTGTCACAAGCTTGTCTATGGGATTTTATGCGTTAATTTCCTTGTTTGAAATGACACCATTTTAGGCCTTTTTAACTGAAATTTACCTGCAGAGCTGCCCAAGTGTGACCTATCATATAATCTCCGTGTATCATAGACTGTTTGGAATGATATAGCAGGCATAAAAGATGAAAATTATGGGGTTAAAATGACGTTCTACTTCGAAAGAAGTCTCAAATCTAGCATTCATAAAATCGTAACTTTCGTCCAATCAAAAGTGATGTTTCCTGAAGTTTTAGGGTAGCGCGTGCATTCTAAAAAAGGAACAAATTCACAGAGAAAGTCACGTGATATGTATCTTACTTCTAGAAACAAATCGACTCCATATATTTGCAACACGGCATTTCCACAGTAATAACATGATATGCTGCAATGGCACAACCAATATTGTCTTGGCATCACAAATTTTGTTTTAAATTCCCAAATTTTTGGAGGACCTAAACATCCTGAAAACGGCCCATGTGCCATAATGACCATTCATAGTTCGATAACTTCACCCACTGCCGAGAAATATTAACCACACTTGTTAACTTAGTGGATTGATGATGAAGGGTAGAAGGCTCAAACAATGTTTTACAATTCTTACGAACAAGTTTGAAGGGAAACCTAATTGAGACTTTTTTTCACCAAACCCCTAAATTTATCTATTTCTCACATATTGAATTTTATTTGGTATTATTTCTAGGAGGGGGGGGGGGGGGGCGGTGATGGTTTTAAACTGAGAAAAAGACCCATCTTTGACACAAACTTGGAAAGCAGCTAATAACACACATAATAACAGGAGTCTTTCTTTCAAACTGTGTTTTATTAAACCAAATAACAAAGAGACACATTAAAAATATACATATCTTACCTAAAAACATCAAAATTTATAGACATAAAAAAATGCAGCTTCAACTGGGATAAAATAGCCAAATTGTTTCCTTTGATTTATATTGTAACGGGCGCGAAATCACTGGTTCAAGTACTAAATGACTAGAGACTAGACAAGAATTCTGACTGGAGAGATCGTGTTGTTCTTCAAATAATGATAACGGTTTTTATTGTCTTCCAATACTGTTGGCACACACCGTGCCCGATGCGTATAATCTAATGCCTATGTGGATAACGATGAGGCGGAGCGCCAATGTGCATTGCAATCGAACGTTGAGTACGACGCGCTCCTTATTCTGGGTGAACTTCCTCACCGGGCCAGAACCAGTCACGATCTGAACACCGAGCCCCGACTTGGCTCGTCTTTTATAGCGTTTGGGCGCGTACATAACGCAAGGAGCTAGCGCATCATAACAATATGTCTCTTGCAATGCTCTGATTGGCCATAAACCACTGCGCCAAATAATATTCTTATTCATAATAATCATAGCGTTTTGACCTATAAAGCTTCGATGAATTAAACTTGTACAAGTCATTTCATTTAGCATTATTCTACAATTAGTTTATCATAGGCCCTATTATCAATACACAGTCAACTGTATTGGCATCAATTCTTCTCATTAAAATACGAGTTTTTAACTTTAAACTTATCTTCTTATCTTCCGTAAGTCCTATCAATTAAGTTTATGAAAGGAACCTGTATCTTATCAGAGTGAAGAATAAAGTGTGCTAACTGGAAATTAATCATGACTTGCATTTTCGTTACATTCTCCCCAACTTAAGACACAAATGCGCCCTCGCATTTAACTACGAATGAACCAAATAAACGTTAACGAAAATGCATGTGTAATTAAACTACCTATGACTTGACTGCACCAGGCAGTCTTACAATGTTCTCAATAAAAGAATCATATTTGGTTTCTTATGCCAAGCTCACGGCTTAAAAAGTCCTGTCACTTTAAATTAGAATTGTCCGCCACACTGAAAGTAATTTATGCACCCCAAGATATTCCAACAGTCGTCCTCAGCAATGTCCAAAATTATTTCAATACAATAAGTAGTCCGCAACAAATATCCTCAACATTAATAAATGAAACTAGAAATGGTCCGCAACAAGTATCCTCAACAATAATAAATAAAACTAGAGATAGTCCGCAACAAGTGTCCTCAACAATAATAAATAAAACTAGAGATAGTCCGCAACAAGTATCCTCAACAATAATAAATAAAACTAGAGATAGTCCGCAACAAGTATCCTCAACAATAATAAATAAAACTAGAAATAGTCCGCAACAAATATCCTCAACAATAATAAATAAAACTAGAAATGGTCCGCAACAAGTATCCTCAACAATAATAAATAAAACTAGAGATAGTCCGCAACAAGTATCCTCAACAATAATAAATAAAACTAGAGATAGTCCGCAACAAATATCCTCAACAATAATAAATAAAACTAGAAATAGTCCGCAACTCTGAATATCCTCAACAAAACGTTTACTTAATCTAAATAACTTAATCTCTATTTTTGGAAAAACCATTCTGATGTTTAAATCAGCAGCAGCATCACAGTTTTCAAACATCGTCTAGTTTCCGTAGTCTGTACAACTAACACGACAGTCATTATTGAATGCATGTACATGTACATTTATACACACCGTGCAGAACAATTTACAAATTTCGCACAAATATTTATCTTTGTCCTACATACATCAACGATACATGTCTTCTACAAAAACGAACTGTTCCTGCGTCTACCATACTGAACAGACACAGTTTCCGTCTGACGTTATTTTTTTTTACTTCAAACAAAACGGCAAAATTTCTTACCGCAGTTCTACTCGAGCCGTATACACTACACATGCAACACAGGCCGAGCTATAGGGCGCTGCCATTAGGCTATTCGCGCCTCAACGTTTGAGGGCGCTACACACATTATTAAAGAAACATGCGTTTCGGACGCATCACGTCCAAAAGCGGCAGGCTACTTCTATTAAAATTTAAACTCCCCAAATTTGTATTTCAAGACCCATTCTTCACTGTGTTCGTTTTTGTACCAACTCGTATCTTACCAAATCTTCTCTAATGATCACTCGGGAACCTCTGAGGTTGGCTGACCCTGGTACCGGCTAGATAAGATAGCTCCATCGATGAACTCTATGCTGAGGGTGGCTAACCCTGGTGCGCTGGATAGCCGGGCTAGATAGCCCCATCGATGAACACTTGATGATCTTGTGCGGAATAACTCGATTGACTGAACTAGTTGAAGCTAGCTTCATGATGATGGTGACGACATGTCGATCCGTGCAGCTGCATTATTAGACTGGTAGACCCGGCATTGTATTTTACACCCCAAGCGACAAGGTGTGGTGGCTGACTTCAGATTACTCCTCAGTCGATAAAGCCCAAAGGGTTCGGCGATGCAGGTACACCCCCCTGCTACACCTGGCTGGGGCAGTAGAGGGAGCTTAACCCCTCACTGGTGTTAAACTAATAACACCCCCCTCACCTAAGAAGTATAACTCTCCTGAGTTATAGTGAGCTTTACAGGTTACCGGATGTGCCTGTTCACTGGTGCTAATTTCGATATCTTTCTGGTTGGCACCTGCTTCGCTGACTTCTTCGTAGATTAGTTTCTTGGTTTTCTGCCAAAGGTTTATCTTGTCGTCCAGTCCTTCGCCGCTTTGTTACTTGTACTTTCGTCGAACTTCTTTTGTTTCTGTTTTGTTCTGCAGAGTCCATCCTGACTTCTTTTTCTTCCCGGCTACATTTCGTGTCTTGTTTACTGCTTGTTTCTTTCCAAAGCCATTTGACTTGCTTGCTTCCACAATATGGCTTGAGTCGGTTACTATGTACGACCTTTGGTTTCGTCTTCGGCCCTTTCTGAAGCCTGTAAGTGACATCACTCAGCCTCTTGGTAATCAGGTACGGGCCTTCCCAGTATCTCTGCAGTTTGGGACTTATCCCTTTCTTCTTCGTTGGGTTGTACAACCATACAACATCTCCTTTGTTGTAGCCACCTGCATTTGCTTTGTGGTCATAGCTTTTCTTTTGTTTTTCTGTCGCTACTTTCAGATGTTCTCTCGCATACCGTCGTGTGGTTTCCATGTGCTCGAGTAACTTCTCTGCGTTCTCTGTATGCTCACTGTACTTTTCTTCTGGGGGTCGCTCAATTAGCAAGTCCGCAGGTAATTTCCCTCGATCTGAAACTGGCAGAGGACCCATCACATCAATGGCTATTCTTTCCATTGGTATGCCGACATTGTACTTCTTCATAAGGCTGCGACGGTGCTTCAGCGGCTGTTTGCGAGTTGCGCAGATATCGCAACTTTTGCAAAACTTGCTAATGTCACTTCGCCACTCGTACCAGTAGAACCTTTTCTGAACTCTGTCAGACGTCTTAGTCCGTCCCAAGTGTCCGGACGTTGGTTCACAGTGAAGAAGTCTCATCAAGTCTTCACGCATATTCGAAGGAAGGATTAATTGCCGCGTTATTGTATCACCTACAGCTGATTCCCATCGTCTATACAGCACTCCATCACGTACTTCTAGACGCTCCCATTGCGTCCAATATGATTTAACTACTCTGACCTCGGGAGAGACTTCTGCCCAGTCTGGTCGCTCTTCTCTTGACTCTTTCCATCTGAGTATCTGCCCGATGTCTCTGTCATCCAGTTGCGACCCTCTCAAGTCTTTGGCTGTCCATCCGAGGTCTCCTGACCTCCAGCCCTCTTCAGACTTTTCCTCTGGGGTTTCTTCTCCGGCCTCGGTAGTTCCAATCACGGAACAGTACGTTATTGGTACATCTTGCGCCTCAGTATTTGCGTTGGGGTCAGTGCTTACATCTTGTATGTCTTCGTTTTTATCAACTTTATTTGTGCACACGGGTTGGGCTGAGCAACCATGCACTTCATCATCATTGCCATTGCATGGTGATTTTTCTTTGTCGATACACTTTTCTTTGTGGCTCATCACTTCTTCTTTCTCTTTGCAATTAAGCAAGACATCATTTGGTTCTAAGTTAATGATGGCTGTCGGCTTCGGTGTGATGTCATGATCATGCATTTCATGGTCACTGTGCTCAATTCTTTCGCACTGTTGACATTCGTCACATGGCCGGCGAGATAAGCCTTTGTACAGTTTTCCCCGTAGCAATACCTCTCCACCTGGTGGAATGCTCACAGTATTGTCTGCAGTGATGCGGCATGATGATGCTGGTGCCCGTGCAGTGGCTGTGCACGCTATGGGTATGTCGTGCAGTTTCATTTCTGCCTTACCCACATCTAGATTACAGTTGTATTTCATCATGAAATCATAGCCCAGGATACCGTCTATGTCGATCTCAGCCACCCATACATCATGTTGTACCTGAGGGCTCTGCTTGCCGATTTTAAGTTGAAAACTCCCACGCCCAAGGGAAAGTAGGGGCTTGCCATCTGCTGTTACCATGGTGATTTCTTTATTCTCTAGTCGTGGTCGCGTTGATTCTGGTATGGCGTAGTAAATCTCTGGCCTCACTATCGTTATGTTGGCCCCTGTATCTACCAGAAAACTCACACCAACCCCTTCTAGATGTCCGGCCACATACATGCCACCTGCCCCCACTGTCGATCTGATGCGTGGCTTTACTGTTGTGGTTGGGTCTGTGGGCACGGGCCTGGGTGCTGTAGTCGATCTTCGGCCCACAAGCTCGACTGTCCGCCGTTTTCCTGAAGGGAGCTTGTATCATTTCTCCATGAACCGGCTTTTGGGCATTCTCGTCGGAAATGGCCGGTCTCGTGGCAGTTCCAACACTCCACGGTGCCTTTGTCTCCCTGACGAGCCCATCTTCGTTGTGTTGATGATCTGGGGTTAAACTTTTGGCCATTATCCATTTTCCCTTCCCCATTTAGTTGTTTCTGTAGATTGTTGAACCCTTCGGTAATAGCATTACCGATTGTAGAGGTAAATGCAGCCAGCTGTCGTTCCAGGGGTTGTGCGGCTGTTGTATCTGTCGTGTCAGAGGATATCACTCTGGCAGCCGGTGCTGACCGTCTTATTTGGCCCCGTTGTCTCTCTGCCGTATGAAATGCCTCAAGCTCAATGGCAACTCTCACAGCATCATCAATGTTGATCGGCCTGGACTGAAACACTCGCCAACGGATGTCAGCATCATCTAGAGCATCCATGAAATGCTCTCTCGCTAGTGTTTCTTGTAGCTCGTATGGTGCCGTTGGGTATGCCCGTCGTGTCAACCGTCTTATGCTCTGGGCCAACTCGGGAAGTTTCTCATCTCGCCCTCTCGTTTGGTTCTTTAATTGAACACGAAACATCTCCGTCTGGTTGTCAGGGCTAAATCGTCGACCGAGTGCCGTGACGAGGGCGTTATAATCTCGTCGTCTAGTGACATCTAAGTCACCCAGCACGGCCTGTGCTGCGCCCCGTAGATTAGCGGCCAGGTACATCGCCTTCTCCCGTGCACTCCACCCGTTGAGCTCAGCCAATAGCTCAAACTGCACAAGGTAGTCTTCCCAGGGGCTCATACCATCATACGTCGCTGGCCGAACTCTCGGCTTATTGCCAGACAGGGCTGACATGTTGTTCTGTGTCGATCTCTGTTGTTCCATGTTGTACGGTGACGGTTCTTGTCGTTCATTATCGGCAGTGCCCATTGCCGCAAGTTGCCGCCGCAACCTATCGTTTTCTTCCTTCATCAGGTTGATTTCTCGTCGTTCACGTTGAAATGAACCGTCACCATTACCGCCCAATGCCGGTGAACTATGTAAGGTGTCATCTTCTGGCGTACTTGAACGGCCCGCCCCGGCGGTGAGTCCGAACTGGATTTCTTGATCAGAAGTATTCATCTTCTTTTGTCGTTCTGGTAGCGTGTACAATACCTCCGTCGAAGTCCGGCCACCGCTGCCACCAAATGTAACGGGCGCGAAATCACTGGTTCAAGTACTAAATGACTAGAGACTAGACAAGAATTCTGACTGGAGAGATCGTGTTGTTCTTCAAATAATGATAACGGTTTTTATTGTCTTCCAATACTGTTGGCACACACCGTGCCCGATGCGTATAATCTAATGCCTATGTGGATAACGATGAGGCGGAGCGCCAATGTGCATTGCAATCGAACGTTGAGTACGACGCGCTCCTTATTCTGGGTGAACTTCCTCACCGGGCCAGAACCAGTCACGATCTGAACACCGAGCCCCGACTTGGCTCGTCTTTTATAGCGTTTGGGCGCGTACATAACGCAAGGAGCTAGCGCATCATAACAATATGTCTCTTGCAATGCTCTGATTGGCCATAAACCACTGCGCCAAATAATATTCTTATTCATAATAATCATAGCGTTTTGACCTATAAAGCTTCGATGAATTAAACTTGTACAAGTCATTTCATTTAGCATTATTCTACAATTAGTTTATCATAGGCCCTATTATCAATACACAGTCAACTGTATTGGCATCAATTCTTCTCATTAAAATACGAGTTTTTAACTTTAAACTTATCTTCTTATCTTCCGTAAGTCCTATCAATTAAGTTTATGAAAGGAACCTGTATCTTATCAGAGTGAAGAATAAAGTGTGCTAACTGGAAATTAATCATGACTTGCATTTTCGTTACAATATCAAGACGCTTCATGATTTCAATTCAATTTTAAAAGGACTGGTAATTTAAACAGCACACTCACACTTACAATGAAATAAAATGTTACGATATAAAAATACAGAAGTATAAATTACCCTCAGGGTCAGTAATATTTAAAACAAAGAGCACCCCTTCGAAAGATACACAAGTAACTTGACAAAAACTTATTGTTTAGGATTTTATTTTATTTTCATTGCATTTTTACTCATTTCCAAAAACAATTTCACAAACAAATATTGCCATCATTTGATGAGGAGTGAAACGTCAGATCGTTTTAGTAATGGAGAGTTGGGGACAAGTCTACGTCGATTCGCATGAAGAGCACGCCGTCCTTGCAAAACCTTCCCTGGGAGAGGGCATCAGTCTGCATCAGCTTCAGTCGCCCCCTGAACTGGTCCCTAACCTCCCCCGATCTGGCCCGCGACATATTACCGCAGGTGATGGTGGTGGCAAAGTCTGACGAGTTTCTTCGGCCATTCCGCTCGCTCTGGTCAAAAAGAGTCACGTTGCACTTGGTGCTGAAAGGAAAGGGCAAACGGTCATCAAAGTCGCCCTGCTGCAGGACGATGAACAGCGACGTGTAGCTGGTGTTGCCGGTCACGTGACCATCCAGCTCCAGACAGGCGCTCAGCTTGTAGCCGGGCCGGCTGGTGTAGAAGGCAGGACTGAGGATACGCGTGGAGGTGTTGTTGCTTCTCGCGTATGAGTTGAGGTCGATTTTCCAGTGGAGGCAACCGTTGTAGTTGGTGTTCTCTAAGTGGCTGATTCTTTCCACTTGTTGGTTCACGAGTTCATCCTTTTCCTTGAGACACCTGCGAGAATGACAACAAATTTAAAACAAGCTGCGATTTCCTTTAAATGAAAGAAAATATGACGATACAAATTAATTCATCCTAATGGGCATTATGTTGGAGCCTTTTTGAGCAGTTTTGTCCACATTGTACACAGTGACCCAATCAAACATAGCAGTGATATTTGCTACAGCTGCACATTGGCTTGCTTAACCAGTAAATGCCAGAGGACGTGTAAACACGATCTGGCAATGTACATTCGCAGGAGTGGTCGACGGGTTAAATTGTCAAGCTTTCCCCGTTTCAACAGCGACAGACGTGTATACACGTCATTTGTTCCCATTAATTTTGTACACAGTGTGTCTTGAACGTGAACTTGGCCACTGTACACGGCCTGTCATCATAACAAATACCACTCCGTGGTGGGGTCTCATGTATTGCAAAAATATGAATTTGAAGTGGTAAGTATCGTACAAATATTGTACAAATGGCTCTCAAGACTCAGTATTTGTGATGTTCGACTTGATTGTAAAAATAAGGTTGATATATTTTCTCTTTTTCAAAAATTGTGTTTTTCGGCCGTCGAGTGGTTAAGCAAAGACAAGAGTCAAGAATCCTGCACTGAGATGGCCTACACGTCAAACCTCATGAAGCAGAAGAGTTTACAAATAAGTAATTACTTTTTCATTTCTTCCATTGCTGAAATCAGCTGAGAGCAGTTTTGGTTGCGTTCCTCCAGTGAGGCACTCTGGGTTTGCAGCAAGGCCTTCTGGGTAATGACATTAGTCAGAAGAATTTGCATGTGGTCGTTTGTGGCCTCTTGGTAGTGACTGGACAACTCGGAACGCTTTACCTGTCAGAATTTCAAAACCAAAAGTTAAAATGATGAATGTCTGCAACAATTCAATTGGAAGAAATAGCGATAGTTTTTAGAAGTGCTTAAAAATAAGGGAATAAATGTGTGCTCCGGAGGTTTTTATCACTCTGTTTAATACCACTTAGAGTCTGGGTGCTGATAATTACCCGAGCCGGAGGCGAGGGTAATTATCAGCACCCAGACTCTAAGTGGTCTTAAACAGAGTGATAAATACCGACGGAGCACATATTTATTCCCATTTATAAATACCTTTTCGGTAAAAAAAAATCAAATAATTCGTTCAAAACATCCCGATTTTGTTCAACAAATTCACTTCATGCTTTTCGAAACATCCCTCTTGCAAAATAGTGGAGTGTTCAGCTGGCGAGTACAACCCTTTTATGGAGATTGACGCGCGCGTATCATGTTCTGCGCGATGTCGCGCAGAACGCACCTGGCGCGTTGCGTATTGAATTTAGAACTATAAAATTCTGACTCCCTGGTAGTGTTGCGCATGCCTACGTGAGGATTGTGAACGTTCAACCAATGAAACGATAAGAGGCACTGGATTTTTAGGAGTCCACATTTTATTGTGACACTGGAAAAGTGTTTAAGACCAGCTAGCCATGTCTTTATCATCTGTTTAAGACCGGCCACGTGATGGGCTCTCGACCAATAGGAATGTGTAAACTGTCTGAGGTATTTATGAATGATGCTTAAAGGGAAGATACAACATTTGCAGACATCACAAAACGAAATGATAAAATTATCGCGAAATACCTTACTGGATTGTTAGGGAATGACAGTCTAAAGCATCCTGCAAAATCGTTGCTCATGGTGTGCTGTCATTTTCCGGAAAAATGGTATTTCTCCAATGCTTGAGAAAACTGCCTTCTTTTCAAAAACTGCTACTTCTTTTTCATAATTAGTTATTCCACGTTTTCTTTGCAAATTGATTACACACCTGTGAAGGGGTACAAGCCTGCGACTGATTCTCTGACCTTACAATTCCCGAAGGTCTATAAATTGCTCCGTTTTATCTTAAGTGGGGTAAGGGAACGAGACTACAAGAACATGATTGGTTTTCTTGGTTTTTCCAGCATGTACACACCCAAAACCTGAAGCAAGTCAGTTTAACAATATTTGCTATAACATACTAATCCTCCAAATCTATTTATTTCTGAGAATTGCAGCAAAAGCAAATGTTGTACAATCCCTTTAATTATTCAATTGCCAAGAGTAGGCATTTCAACAGAAAATATGTGAAACCTCCTTTATACAGGGCAATATTTTCCAAAATGAAGAGGAACATTTCAAGATGCAAACACGCTATTTGAACCACATAAAATTGTTAGAAATAGAAGGATAGCTAAAATTTGTGCAATTTTTTGAGGAACTGTTTCTGTGGAGATTTAAGTTATCTATTTCATTTTTTTTGTACCTGACACTGGCATCCTAACTCTCGGTAATCACACTGGACCAAAGTGCTGGGACAATCCCCGTCATTGACATCAGTGTGTTTGGACATCTAGAAAGACAATCAAAAACAAGTCAAGAACTCTCTCACAGAAAATAGAAGAGACTGCAGACTTTAAGATGTCTGCAGTTTTCTGAAACCAAAATTTGCGAAGGGTTCATTTTCATGTTTTACACAGATGGCTCCTTGCCAAGTGGTTCCCTCACAAAGCATTCAAAGATTCCCAAAGGACCATCCAACACTTAATGTTCTCAGGATTTTTCTAGAAAGTGATATTAAAACTCTCTTTTAGTGGGAAGTCAATATTCAGAGCAATATGTAAAAAACCCTTTACAACCATGCAGGTCAGTTTCAGGTGAAGGGATATGAAGTGTTAAAGAACTGTGTCACACAAGAGAGTCACTGCACAAAAAAAATAGCACTGCGGAGAGCAGTGGAGCGTGGCCGAATCTGCCTGCTTGCTCTGAGCTTAACCACACAAAAGAACTGTGCAGGGATTTGAAGTGTTATCCATACTCCACAGAAGATTACCTCAAAGGAATTTGAAGCATGGGTGCCAACTCCAGGCACATGTAGTTTTGCAAAACTTGAAGGGTAGTGAAGTGCAGAAGACTAGGAGGATTAACCACTTACCTCTTCCCTGACGATTCCTTCTTGTCCACACTCCTCACACTGGATTGGATATTTGGGACATGCAAGTAACTGATGCCTCTGATTCAGGAAAAAGAAATTGTGTTAACTTGAGAACTTGAGTGGCTTGTCAATTACTTTAAGACTGGATGAATTGAGATTGACTTGTGATTATTTGAGATTGACTTGTGTATCTGGATAGACATTCGCAAGTTTTTTCATTGGATCAAAATGAAACAATTGTTTTAGAACACCTTGTATTATTTGCATGTTTGATTTCTGAGGTTGAGGTTTCAAAGTGTTTCTTGAAACTCATTAAGTAGATCTCAGTATTTGTGTCCATTGGCAAGATAGTTTATCCAAATTGGTATGTTTCTGATAACGGCCAGAGAAGTACATGGTAAAGAGGAAACAAACATACCGATGCATCCTTTCGGATGATTGTCTCTCCACAGTGACTGCAGTCCAGTACTTGCAATGGGCAATCCCTCAAATGTTCTTCGCTCTTTCCTCGCAGGTATTGCTCCTCACAGCCATTGGGGCACACAAGCTTGGTGCAGGGACACGTGTTGCAGTGGGTCTAAAATAAAAATGTGAATTTAAATGACAGAAATTAACATGAGAAATAAGGCAAAAAATATATATTCTGGTTCCGATTACATAGCATTTGATAAAAGGGTAGGTAGGTAGGGAATTTGTAGGTTTTTTTTTTTTTGGCAATTTTTTTTGTGCACGATCATATGGAGGTGTTAGTCTGTGTGTAGTAAAGCGTAAAAGGTACTAATTGATGGTTTTCATTTTTTTTTCCTCGTTTTTTCCTAAAACAAATTAGGGTAGGGGGCTGTCAAAATAGGGTAAGTAGGGTAACCGGAAGCAGAACTATTATTTTGTATGCCTAACTTAACTATGCACTTAGCCTACCCAAGTGTGACAATTACAGAAACCTGAAGCAATTTGGAATTTTTATTAAACAAACTTCTCACTTTGAGAAATTGTAAAGTAATGAAAAGTGGCCTTTCAGTGCTATATCATGCAGCCTCATTATGGGTAATAAATCATTTTATCAGGTTTTTTTTGGTCAAAGGAATAAATATCAGGACAAATTACCACGCTCATCATAAACAACAGAGTTGCGTTCAACGCAGTGAAGGTCCAATACAGTATGACAAGGGATGAGCAATGACCGTGTGACTGAAGGACCCACCTGTAGATGTCTAAGATCTCCACGCCATTCACAGCCACTCCCAGCGTTGCTGCACACAACCGTCATGGACAAGATTTCTCGCTCTACTGCAACATCTTCAAAAATCTGCGACAAGGTCCGACAAAGAAAATGGTCTGATTTCAATCTTTTTTTCGAGCACTCTCCCAGTACATGTAACAGAAGTTAACAACTGTTTCATATTCTGAGATTTTCAAATTTAAATGTGAGAGGCAACACAACGACAGAATATATATAGGCCATCAGCCTGGGGGTTTGGCCAGTATCAAATCAGGGCATAAATGATTATAATGCGCATGCGCAAGGTATACCGCCCCTAGAGTGGTAACAAGCATTTTGATGGACATTTTGATAAAAAGGGTGATAACACCCAAAAAGCTGCCACCGCTGCAATGCTACCGGTATCACATATTTTCCAACTCTGGAGGTGTATACCTTGCCAAAAATCACTATGACGATTATTCCCCTCATTTGATACTGGTGGCCAACATTTTGGACCGAGGCTGATGGCCTAATAGATGTATAATGCAGCTTGATCCAAGGATAAGGTATGAGTGGGTACATTATTCAAAGACAACTCATAATAGACAAAAGATTCACAGTTTAAGAGAAAATAGAAACAGCCTCAGGTAAAGAAATTAGACAACACAACACACAGAATTAAAAATAGAAAATAGACACCTACATCTTTTTTGACATCCAGCCAACTTTTATCCACGGGACATTTGGCATGTGGCCGATTGCTGTCAAATAATCATTGAAAAAGCACAATTCAGCTATGTATTTTCATAAAAATTAATAAATCAATTTGAACCTACACTGCATTATATCTCTTAAGAACCAAAGTCTGGTTCGTTAAAAACCACGCCCACTACACATTAAGTAGCATAGAAACCATTGGAACCGGAAGTTAACACAACTTGAGTGTTTATCAAATGGGCGCTAGTAATCAGTGGTGCGCGCGCGCGTGTATAATGAAGTCACTAACGAACCGGATAGCAGTTTGAACTTTGTAAATTGACCATTCTCACAAGTGGGTGGATAAAAAAATGGACTCTTCCTCCCCTGATCTGTAGTACTTTTCATGTTTTTGAGGGCCCTTTAATCCATCTCTTGCAGTTAGTCTTAAAAATATTGTTTTTATGTTTTACCCAATAATTCTCTGCATACACATCTTGCAGAATCGATGTCCACACTTTGTCTGCAATGGTCCACGCAGTGCAGCCAGACACACCGGGCAGATGTACTTTGTGTCCAGCGGTGGGTGGAATTCAGCATCATAGCCACCAGTGGTAGGGGTGTCCTTGGTTGACTTACCAGCACGGTCATTACTTGATCTGGAATTGTGGGCCATTCTGTGCTGCGAGTATAAAAAAACCAAAATGTCCCTTTGAAGAAGTTGCTTTTCCCCTGAATATAAATTTGCGGTTGGATTTCACCTACTGTAAAAATTATTGTACTTCTCCCCCTAACAAAAACCAACAAATCACAAAAATCACATTAACAATAAAAAAAAAATTGAAAGAATGTTGTATTCAGACACCACTTCAGATCAGTGGTTGTGCACAAAGTCTATGGAGAGTTTTCCATGTTTTTAAAAGTATTTTCTAACAAAATTGGAAATTTCAAAGTTTTTGATATAACTGACATGACTGACCTTCAACATGTTCAATGAGATGATATGATGAAAAAAATGGTGTCAGGATGCAACATTCTATTCTTTCCAAAAAACATTAAACATTGAAACACCAAAAAGAAAATGGTGTTTCATATTCGACGCCACTTCCTTGGTTAGGTACAAGTACAACAAAGTTATTTGAAAGCATTTTCTCAACATGCTCAATCGAAATCAAAATGGACATTTTTATAGCTTCTCATGTGGCTCCATGAACATTTGCAATGTCAACGGAAAGAATGTTGCAACCTGACGCTGCTTTTTCTTCATATATCATCTCAATGAAGGTCAGTTGTTGCAGAAATGATGATATGCCCTGAATCTGGGACTGAGCAACATTTCCAATTTCGTTAGGAAATACATGTACTTCTTAGAAAATTTTCTTGACTCTCCATAGACTTTGTACACAACCGCTGAAGTAGCGTCAGGTTGCAACATTCTTTCCATAAACATACATGTATAGGCCTAAATTTAATCAATTAGAACACATCATATGGTGAGCCTAAGAAAGCTATCTGTCAATCAGCAAACTAGATAAAAGACTTCATCATTCAGTTGTAAGGAAAACTTTGGAAAGGACTTGGGGTTTGTCGTCGGCCATTTTTAAAATGCATACACGTGTAACCCCAGTACACGTGTACGAAAACACGGCAAGTTATATTTTCAGTGCTGCGCCATAAACCCGGACAAACAAAGCCCTCTCAAAATTCATATCACATCAATTAACCATTTAATTAATAACACTAACTGTTAATTAGTAATACCAAATCAATTATGGCAGCTGGATTACTCTGTAACTTGTGCTCGAAAGTCGCAAACGGAAGTCAGAATTTCGACAGTCAAACTACCCGCGCCGTGACTTGAACCGAATTAACCTTGCACGTGTCAGCTCAGCGAGCTTCATCGTTAGGTGGCGCGCTCTCACTGCACCGTGACTAGACGTGACTTTGCCAATCTCAGCTCGTACCCCCCGCCCTGTTTGAGGGGGGGGGGGGGGTACGAGCGAAATCCATTCCCGGTCCCTTTCCCTGCCGGCGGCCCCGCCCCACTTTCTCCATGCTGACAGCTTGATTAAATTATCAAAATAAGTGAATTTGGGTTTTTTACTTAGGAGGTAGTTTTGCTATGTGTTCTAAAAACTTCTATATAGCTCTACCCAACCTCTTTTTCTCTGTAATTTGTCTCTATACGTTGTTATTTTGTGAAAAACGCGGGTGAAAACGTGAAAATGTGATTATCAATTCTCTTCATAATGAAAAAAGATAGGAATTCATTACATTGTACTCCTATTCTTATATGATTAAGTTTTATTAATTGGGAGGCATGGTTATGAGCTTATTCAATAAAACAATTTTATTCAGATAGCCAACATATTTTTTTGGGATTATTTTCGCTAATTGAATTGTTTAATTTTGGTAACCTTGTTTTTATAAGAAAAACAGCAATTCAATGTTTTCATGAAACCTGAATTATTTTTGTCTCGCCCTGCTCTCCCTTTGAAAATGGCACTCAGTATACACATGGAGGACCACAATTGAATACATCAATAAATCATATTTTTAAGACGTCAGTTTCACTTCTTTTATCAAGAACAAAAAAAAAAGCTTGCCACTGCCAGAATTGAAATGTTGTTCCAATTTTAAGAAACATATCAATCGTTTATCACTATCAAGGCTTAAGGTGTAAAAAAACCCAGGAAATCAATAAAAGCACACATGTTTTCAAGGTGCACTCTGTGTCTTTTGGTTTGTTGTGTTGTGTAAAGACGAGACGGGGAATCCCGTGACAAGATTTGATTCATCACAACATAGGCAAATGAGGTATGACGTCAACGCCCGTATGTAATCTGACCGAGCATGCGCAGAGACGCCGCGCGGGCAAAAGGGTAGTTTTCCCCACAACATCCAAAAATGCCGTCCGAACAGCAGAAAAATGGTTCGGGTTCTAACGTGTCTGCACAACCAGAGAAGCCCTTTCATTACACGTAAGTACCTGTACTCGTGTTGTTGTCAATCATAGATTTGGGTTTTGTGTGATTTTAGTTGAATTTCGACAAATTAATGCGGTTTGCGTCCATTGTTTTGAAGGTACTTGAAGGAGTTCCGTACACAGCAATGCCAAGAGTTTCTGCATCACAAGTGTCCCAACCATCGTCCGTTTACATGTTTTCACTGGCATTTTTTGAACCAACGGAGGCGAAGACCCGTTCGAAAACGGGATGGAACTTTTAACTACAGCCCGGATATATACTGTACCAAGTTCGACGAAACCACAGGCCTCTGCCCGGAGGACGAAGAGTAAGTTTAAAAACTTTCTGTCAGCGGGGTCCCTGAATGTTTACATCTTTTTTTCCTCGCACGTATGTACCCGTCGCCATATTGGTTTGAACTTGTTGACAATGTGTCAAAAAACTTGCGCTTTCCCATGCGTTTAATCTGACACTAAACAAGCATGACTGCCGTTGAAAATACAGACAATGTTGTCCTAGGTTTGACAGGTGGTGTGTGTCTATGTTATGTGGGTACCCTTGATTTAGTTTTAGTTTTACAGGGGTAGAAATTAATGAGAGATTAACCGCGAATGATGCACGCGTTTTACCGTGTTTACGGTGTACGTGTAGCCGTGCACGTCCGTATGTGTGTGCACGCACTGGCACTGCATTGGGTACACGGGTTGTCATGTCAGATCGTGGAGTGTATTAAAAAGTGGGCATATTTTGTTGGCGTCTTTGTGGGTATAAAACTGTAATGAGATAAATTCAAATAATTTTCATAAAAGAAGACATTGAATTTGCAAGCAAGTTTTCACTTTACTTATTTGTTAACCCTAACCGCCCTGAATCCTCCAAAATCCTTTTTGCAAATTGGAGGAATTTGCAGGATTGAGGTTACATGGCAAAAGTGCGTTGCTGATTTCGGAGTACGCACTGTGTCAAGGTCTTGGGCCGGACCTTGTGTTGTTTATGCTCAGCCGTGCATAAATTTAGTCCTTGATTATACTTGACATCCTCCCCACTGCTCCAGGATGTCACTGCCTCTGCCTCAGCCTATTGACACATAGCCGGAGGATTTTGCAGGATTCAGGCAGTGGTCATCCCTCCATGAACCATATTCAAGAAATAGCGGAGGAATTTGCAGGATTGAGGCTATATGCTATTTTTCCATGAGGCCAATTGGAGGATTTTGCAGGATTGAGGCTACATCCTAGCAAAAAGGCCTAGGGAGTTTTAATCATTGTTAATGGCAATTTGAAAAAAAAACTGCATAAAAAACATAGGCCTACATTACAAATTAGATGTAATACAGTGTGAAGTTCTGCCTTTGCTTTCAGTATTCATTTCATATTGCTTGGTCTACACACAGGTACAACAAAACTGCATTAACTCATGCTTAGATTTAGGCTACATGTAAAAGAGGAACTAGAGAGGAACTTTGTCTTTGTTCCATGGTTTGGAATGCCGCCTAGGCTAAGATAAACCTTTATTTCATATGCTTCTTAAAACATTTTGTGCATTTGTTTGTATCTCTCCTAGTAACTAAAATGTGTAGAATTTATTCATTTTTGCCCATTTTAGTCTCGACATATTAAACTAAGGAACATTTTACTGATGCCCAACCCCTACCCATTTCCTAAATGAAATTTTAATGGAATTTATGGGAAAACAATCATGCTTTTATTTTAATATACCATTTGTGAACGACAGCAAAAAGGAACGCACATATTACACTTTTTTTACAGCACACTTTATGAGATTAACATCTGTTTGAAGTTAGCAGAAGTGACCTACTCAAGTATCATGATCCAAAAAGTGTATTCAGTCTCAGTGAAATAGCATCAGTACCATATTATTGTCAATGGCTCTGTCTCAGTTTTTGCAGAAGAGCAATTTTAGAGCATACATTTTGTATGTACATGTACTTACATGTACTAGTCAAATCATGAGAAGTTGTTCATAAACTGCTTTGAGAAGTTCAACTGCCACCTTCTCCCTGTTGAAGCAAATTTTTTATTTGCTGTATACATGGCACTCAGTTATAAGAAGACACTAGGTGCTGATATCTGCCATAGGTCAAAAACTACAGTGCACTCCTGTGCTACATGTTGTGCCTTTTTGCTTGTACTGTGCGAAACTTTGAGGTCAAGGTCACTAACCAGAATATTTTTATTCTGGGAAAAATGGAGCTGACTACAAAGTTTGTAGCTCAGGTATTAAAACACACATAATAAATTTTCCTTGACCAGGGTATACAAATTTACATGTACTAAGAAATAACCTGCTTTATCCCAGGGACGAAGTGATGGAAAATATTTTCAGACACCGAAAATATTGAAAATACTGACCTAGTTTTACAATACATGTACATGTAGACCTCTCAATTTTTCACTACAACTTGGAAAAGATTAAGTGAAAAACTTTCATTTTTAGTTTGGAAACAGGTCATGCATTTTATTTCCAAGAAATCGGGTCCTACAGGACACAACTTTCTAAGCACACGTACTTCCCACTTTAATGTACACGTGTACATGTGGTATGCACAAGTACGTACATTTCACACATGGACTATAGCAGAGCAGCATTTAGTCCCATATGGCTTTCATGGGATGTGATATAACTTATTTTGTGTTTACTCATTCGATGTATTTTAATTTTGGAGTTTTCTTGAAATTTCCATTGTCAATTTTGTTTCTTGCTTGAAAGGTAGGCCTATATAATTTTAAACGTAAATTAATTAGATAATCGAAGATACCAAGATGCGTTATTGAAACAGCTATTTTTAAACGAAAATTGTATGTAGTCCATGGTTCATAGACCTTTTACGATGGAAAATTTTACCATACGGATTTTGATGAGCCAGATCTCTAGAGAGAATTTAACCATAATATCTTTGTTGCTTTAATCAAATTTCAATAACAACACTAACATCAAATCAAATGTAGGCTTTATACACTGAAATTCACCAAACATGATGAACATATTCAGCAAATATTGTTTTCTTGGTCATGGTTTCACATTCTCGTCTGATGTACATGTAGATGTACATCAGATGATTGTTTGCATTATGAACTCTTAATGATATGTTGTTGATTGGAGCCCTTTTTCCCCCTGTTGATTTGACATACATTGTACATGTTTTTATTGTGACACTTGTGAGCAGACTACAGTAAATTGATTGATGGTTGCACTTGCAGTGTGAATCTTTTGTTTTAAATAGAATAGACCAACACATTGATATAGTCTGTGGCTTGGTACCCAGTATATAATGGTGTGAAAGACATCAAAATGGAAAAAAAGCTTGTAGAATTAAGATCTGCATGTAAATAGACAAGATTTATCCAATAACAATCATGGTAGTCATTTTTTTGCACTTGGGGATGGCCGGATGGGGTGGTGTGACAGGTTGGTTGCGGGAGGGCCTTAATAAGGGAATAAATGTGTGCTCCGGAGGTTTTTATCACTCTGTTTAATACCACTTAGAGTCTGGGTGCTGATAATTACCCGAGCCGGAGGCGAGGGTAATTATCAGCACCCAGACTCTAAGTGGTATTAAACAGAGTGATAAATACCGACGGAGTACATATTTATTCCCATTCATAAATACCTTTTCGTTAAAATAAAATCATATAATTCGTTCAAAACATCCCGATTTTGTTCAACAAATTCACTTTATGCTTTTTGAATCATCCCTCCTGCAAAATAATGGAGTGTTCAGCTGGCGAGTAAGATGAAAACAACCCTTTTATGGAGATTGACGCGCACGTATCATGTTCTATGCGATGTCGCGCAGAACGCACCTGGCGCGTTGCGTTTTGAATTTAGAACTATAAAATTCGAACTCCCTGGTAGTGTTGCGCATGCCTACGTGAGGATTGTGAACGTTCAACCAATGAAACGATAAGAGGTACTGGATTTTTAGGAGTCCAAATTTTATTGTGACACTGGAAAAGTGTTTAAGACCAGCTAGCCATGTCTTTATCATCCGTTTAATACCGGCCACGTGACGGGCTCTCGACCAATAGGAATGGCTAAACTGTCTGAGGTATTTATGAATACTAATTATAGGGGTTTACAAATTTTTATAAGCCTTTATTTTCAACAATTTATATTCAGATAATATGAACTTGTTTACATTAGGTACACACCATTGCACACAGAACATTGATTGGAATTGTAAGTTAATATTTACACAGCCTACAGCTACCAAAAGTTGACATGTTGAAACCCAGAATGATGGAAATAGACTCTGTACCAATTTATTTCTGGTTTCCCTTCATCACAAAACCCACATACTGTACACATGTACGTAATCTTCATTGATTTCACCGATTGAATCCCAATGTTCTTCGCAAGTAATTCTGGAGTTCTTAACCCTAACAGTCATGATTTTTCTCTTAAGTTTGTAAAGTTACTGCTTGTACACATAAGCATCGTTGGAAGTGATTTTAATTTGCTTGCCATGACTGTTTTCCAGCTGTTACTTTTTAGGGGGGAAAAAAAGAAGATGCAGCTTTTCCTGACCTTGAATTTAGGCAGATGGAAAGGAAGTGCAAGTATGAATGGCAGCAGTGCTGCCAGGGAAAAAAAAAATCTTCACTAAGTAAAATCCATGAAGATTGTGACCCTGAATAGGAATCACAGCAGAATTAGATTACTGCCAGGTGCAGACAATTTACAAATTTTTATCTCAACCTTTAGACATGTCAACACAAACTTTTTTGCCAGACCGAATTGGCTCACTCATAAGACAGGGGATTGTTGGGGTCATTGTGAGGTTATCAGGAGATGATCCTATTTTGTTAAAAATATAATGACAAGATCCTAAATCAAACTTGTCATTAATATTTTTCAAAGGAGAGTAATTTGTTCCTTGTAAGTTTCCTAAAATGAAAGAATGATTGGAAGGCTTTTCCCATGATTTTTTTTTTAAAGCGAAAACCACATGTTTGCAAAGTACATGTATACATTGTAGGTGTATAAATAAGACATGTACGTAAGTAGTTGATTTTAAGTTCCATATCACTTTCAGGAAAGAAATAGGTGACTTTATTTTGTTTTTCAACTTTTGGTAATTAAGTTATCAGTTCTACATGAAAGGAATAACGTGAATGAAACTAAATTGTTTCGACCATGACGTTAACAAATACCATTACAACACATCATGACAGTTACTGTTATTTAACGTTTACATGTATCTTATTTCAGTTTCTGAACAGAGCTACACAAATCAAACAGTTTCCCTTCATTGACCTAAACGAGCATAATTGTGAAACACTTGGGCCAGGCTCTTTCACATCACATGATGATCACAACCAAACGTACGCGTTACATTTACTATGCATGCCTGGCTTTATGGCGTAGCATCCATAATGATAAAAGGGATTTGAGAAGGAAGTGAAATCAAGTTTTGCCTTTCAAGCTCATCATAATGATCAGTTTACTCTTCACCGGTTCAGATTCTTTTATTTATAACCCTCGTGTACATAACTTTGACCATGTACATTTTTGTACTTCCTGAAGTTTCTTGATTAACCAATATCACTGAACTTGCGATAATATTGACCTAAAGCACACTGACCCTGATCAGGCCTGTCATTAGTAAAGCATGAATTCATCGGCAGTGCTAACTCCATTTTTACTTGAGAACTTTTCTGCACTCATGCTTTCATTCGTTGTAGTATTCTTTATATGCACAATTTTTACTCCAGTGGTGATAATGAACTATTTGTCAAGGAATAGCCGTTACATGTTTGCCATCACGCTCAAAAAATTCTGTGTAGCTCCCTTTTTTTTTGGAGGGGGGGGGGGGGGGTGCGATGGATATATCAGTGTTTCCAAAACAGAAGAGTGGCTTTAATTTTCCTATAAAAATCTATAGAAGTCAGAACTTTGCATTGGATTTCACATCAGTTTAATCAAAATGTACTCATCTAGAAAACTATAATACAGCATGTTGTTTAAGTTTAAGGCCTTATTGGGCGAGGTAATACATGAACACATACATTGTGTATACATGTAATGAGCATTTTCAAATTACCATCTGACATGTGAACAATTAACCCAATGTGAGCACACAATTCAGTAATCAAAGAATCGTGTCCAAACAGCACCAAATGTGCACAATCCTTTACAGCTGTTCACTACTGCTCAATTTTTGCACTAAAGAAATATTGTCCACAATATTGGTGAATGTATTCTACGTATGTATACATGTATGTAAGCCTATGCCTATACATGTACATGTACCTTTGTGCCTCATTGTCCAAGACTTTTTGTTGTCAATTGTTCAATATGCTCATCCAAACAATAGCAGAAATCATTTTACAGTAGTCATGGTAGTATTGTACACATCTGGAGAATAAAACTGAACAAGTTGCATACATACATGTAACATGACCGTACCTGTACCGGTACGTCACTCATCAGTGCACTGTGTGGATGCATTGTGCTTTTATCAGCAAACTGATTCAACCATCACTTGGCCAAGTCCCAAACAAATGTTGACCTCACTAGGGCAAGTGAATACTTGCTATTTTGAATGGGGTTGCCCTGACGTTTTGACAACCAATGCATTTTGCGTTCTTACTGTTGTGCTTTGTATTAGCTTGATCAGAATTCGCTTTGGGGTCGACATTTAATTTTATTTTTGGAGATGGGGAGTGTTTATGGCACTGTGTGTATTTGTTTTGGCATCATTTTTTTTTAAACTGAAATCTACACATTATATGTGTACAATGTATGTCTGTTATTTCATTTACATACATACATACATTGTTTTTATAATATTAATACTTTTTCAGTTTTCGTTTTTAGAATATCGCAGATCTCTATTGTTGGTGTGTGTTACTGCCTGTTAAATTGTTTTAAAAATGTACATAAACATGTACATTGTACAAGTTGCATATCGTGACTTTTGTACCTAACCTGTCAAGACATAGTACATGGCGGGACAGGTAGATTGTGCAAATATTTTTGTTGACGGTAGATAGGTAGGATATGCCAAGTATGCTAGTTACATGTACAGGTGTAGGAAAAAAATTAAGCAATGCAGAACGTTTACTAGCAATTTGAAGAGTGGTTTTAGAAAGGCATTTGATAAGCCCTATTATTATTAAAAAACTAATATCAAAAAAGCATTTGCATCTATTTTTTTGTATTTGGACAGGATCTATGCGCCCTATCTATGCTTGTTTGGTCTTTTCTAAATATTTTCATTCCTTTATGTTTGTTTATATTTTGCCCATTTATGCATGGTTGTTGACTGAAATCAGTTCCCTTTAATTCCCACTCAAATGTGCATGTTTACTCAATAATCTTAATTTTTATTGAAATCACTGAATTTCTCATTTTAACTCAAAATTCAAGCCCTGCAATTGTTACACACCGCGTTGTATCCGCCCTTGTCATTCCATTTCCAGATGTCCTTACCTGCATCGCACCACGGGGGACACAGAAAGACGCTACCACCTGCGCTACTACAAGACGGGCACGTGCGTCCACGAAACCGACGCACGCGGCAACTGCGTGAAGAACGGCCCCCACTGTGCGTTTGCCCACGGCCCCCACGACCTACGCCAGCCCGTGTACGACATCCGTGAAGTCATGGCCCAGCAGGATCCCCTGCCAGTGCTGTCGGAGATGTTGAAGCCTTCGAACGGGACAGGGATGGGATTATGTAATATCGCTGCTGTTATATCAGAGAAAGACAAGGCGACGTTTATAGAAGATCCCAGATGGGGAGGTATAAAAAGTTCTTCATTTTAGTCATGTACTTCTATAACTGGGCCTGAATTTACGGAGCTGCCTTGCCAAAAAAAAGTTGCTGACCTCTTATGTCATAGAAGAATTCAGAGATTTCAAAATCTGTTTATCCTGGGGTTTTTTTCAAAAGAATAAAATCTGATTTCAACAGAAGTTTCCAATCAGCTCATACAGTCACGCCAACAAAAATTGATGAGTGATGTGCTGTATGCATTGCCCTCCATGATGACTGGGTATAGTTTGTGAGATTCATTGACTGCCGGGCCTTTACAAAAACACACCAGCGCTTATTATTAATGCTGAAAAAAAATGAATGGGAACTCTCTGATCAGTCGACAGAGCGGGCTATTCTAATTGAACCCAGAAGACCATTAGCAAATGACTACGGTCACAATCAGAGAACATGGAGCACATTGGGGGATGTTCTAGACATTTCCATTGGCTCGTTTCACATTTCTCATTTTTTAAAAGTTGGTTTCGAATATCCGGTTTCCAAAATCCAATCAAATAGTGGAATGCGAACCAAATATTAAAAAAAAACCATATGTAACAAAGATTGTGCATTAACCATGTTTGGTGCATTGGTTATTACCTCTGCCAAGAAGGTTATGTTTCCATCAGATTTTGTTGGTTGGTTGGTTTGTTGGTTTGTCTGTTAACAAGATAACTCAAAAGTTATGGACAGATTAGCATGAACAAAATGTTAAGGGTTGTCCTTGGCACAAGTACAAATCGATTAGATTTTGGAAGGGATCTGGGTCTGGATCCAGGATTTGTTTTAAGGATTCTTCACCATTTATGCGAGTATTTTTTTGGGTTGTACTGACAATATGGCGGGGAAATTGTTTAACCTTGGCAGAGGTTTGAGCTCTCTGAGTGCTTTCTAGTTAAAATTTGATTACATTTTATGGAAACTTTCAGGCCTGCATGCCCCATTTTTTTTTCATGTCTTCAAAGTCTTGATTTTTAAACCAGTCTACAATTTTGTGGCCGTTAAAAGTCACCTCCCCTTCTCCAACTCTAGACACCAATTTTGTCCTGACCAACTACAAGACGGACCCGTGCAAGAAGCCCCCGCGTCTCTGTCGCCAAGGTTACGCCTGCCCACATTACCACAATACCAGGGACAGGAGAAGAAGTCCCCGCAAATTTCGTTACAGGTTTGTTATTAACCTTAACTCCCTCGCATCTCATACAAGGAACTGGACCAAGCCCATCAAAATCCATCAATCACTGTGCGTCCAATACAAAACTGTACATGACATAATGGAATCCACCACTGACCCACTGGTTGACATCCGTGCACTTGCTACACATGGCTTTTATCACAATAGCAGTACAGGAAGCTAGGTAAAATCAATCGGATACCCCTAGCACTGCTTCAGGCCATTAGGCCCAAGTCCATCATACTCCATCAATATTTAGTCACGCCAGGCCTCCTGAACCAAGTCCCCCAAAATCTACCAAAATGGGGGGGGGGGGGGTGGATTTTGATGGAGTTGGGGTGGTTAAGGTTGAGGTTCTGCTACTTTTACTTGATTCCCAGCATTCTGATTGCAAAAACCTTCGCTCTTTCACATACTTTTGTAGTGTAAGTACATGTACCATTTCCTTGCATACATTTTTGTCACTGGTTTTACATACCGGTACATGGCATGATAATTTCCCTATTAAATAGGATTTTTTATTTATTTCCTCCATTTTCAGCATTCTGTTTTGTAGACATTACACTGACTTTTTTTTTTTGAACGTCAGATTTCATGCCATCATAGATCCTTAGGTACATCCAATTTAGAGCTACGCAAAGCCATCAGTTAGTGATGCTTCTGCCAAAAAACACACTGGTTCACAATGCGCTGATCTACTAATTTACGGTAATTGGTTGGCACAGTATTAATTTGGAGCCGGATCGGGAAAGGTTTTTTTGCGGGTTTTTTTCCCATGCCCGTGATCAGTAATTCGTGACTTCATGCCTTATTAACTTGTCTGGTGAATATAGCTTTATTTCTGTAATATTTCTGAAATTTTTGTATTTGTAAATTATATTTATGTTTGTTGTATGTTTCAGAAATGTACTTTTCCTTTTGAGATTAGTTTTACTTAACATTATTCAATAATTTGTTATGCATGCAGGGCCCCAATGGAAACCAGTTTTTAAACTGTTTGGGCATACCCTGGGTAAAGAAATGGAATAAATGAATGCAGATATCGTGCTGGTCTTTTAGACTGCAGTATCAGGCATGCAACTTCTCCTTAGATCCGCTGATTGCCTTGTTTTTTACTTCTCATGAATGCCATTACAAATTGAAAAACAGTGTACAAAGTGTATGTGTGGTTTGGAATTTTCTCGTTTTTTTCTAAATTCCCAGTTGCATGCCTGCAGTTTGAAGTACAACTTCGCAGAAAAAAGTAGAAAAAAATGCACTCCTTTCTAGCATCGTGTGTAATTAATGTCTTACTTTAAACCCATATTTCCTCATCATTAATATGCAAATGGTTGAAACACCTGTACCTATTAAGCTCTCATGCACTGTATGGTAAAAGTATCTGTCATTTTGATTCAATCAGAAAATTCAGCAAGTGTTGAAGAATATGAGAAACCTGTTCGTCCAAATTTCAAAGAAATTGTTTTAGTCATTCCTTAAGACTTTTTCTCCCAACAGATCAACCCCCTGCCCTAACGTCAAACTGACCGACGAGTGGGGTGAGCCAGAGAACTGTGAGCAGGGGGACCAGTGCCCCTATTGCCACACACGGACGGAACAGCAGTTCCACCCCGAGATCTACAAATCCACAAAGTGCAACGACATGCAGCAGACGGGCAACTGCCCCAGGGGACCCTTCTGCGCATTTGCGCACGTAGACCGTGAGTGGGCCGATTTCTCCTTCAATCCCCTGCCAAGGATGTTTGCCTCTTTTGGAGGGCTCAAATGTAATGACAATGCTAAATCTGTTTGTTTTGATGGAATCAGCTCATTCGAAGAGGAATTCTGTACGCATTTGCACTGGAAATGGGTATTGGTGCGTAATTGTGACGTCATTTCAACATAAAGCACGCCCACTAGGCATGGAGTAGCATTAGAACCAGAAGAAGCAAACAAGTGGTGTGTTCTCTTGGAGCCATATGCGTGTTCTGGCAAAGCGCGGGCAAATAACGCCAGTGGGGCACACAAGATATGGCTTTTGGGGGGGGCCTCACAATTTTAGAAGTTAAATTTTTTTTTTTAAAATGATGCCCAAATTTTTTGGCCGCAGAAGCAAAATTGGCATTGTTTTTGCCGGGGGGGTGGGGACACTATTTTGATGTTGGTTGAGCCACGTACACCCCTATTATACTACTCGGCAATCTACTGTGGTAATCAAATCAAATGTAATGACAATGCTAAATCTGTTTGTTTTGAGGGAATCAGCTCAATCAAAGAGGAATTGTATACACATTTGCACTGGAAATGGGGTATCGGTGCGTAATTGTGACGTCATTTCAACATAAAGCACGCCCACTACACACAGAGTAGCATTAGAACCAGAAGTAGCAAACAAGTGGTATGTTCTCTTGGAGCCATAGGCCTATGTGTGTTCTGCCAGAGCGCAGGCGAATCACGCATACACTTACAATGAGATAGAGTGTTCATCTTTGAACAAATGGCTTTTCCTTACAAACGCTTTTATTCCACGATCTGTATGCTGTTGCTTTTAAAACATGTGTAGTACACATATCAAGTATTACAAATATCAGTAAATCTGAAAATCAAAGAAAAAAATCACCCCAATTCAGGTTTTTTTTGCGTTTTCTTTCCACTACGGCCTGTGTCCAGTTCTGTCTCGTTTTGCTGGAACGCCTCACAATCCAAACAATTTTTCAGTGAATTCAAAACCTGTATACAAAATGTACTTGCATGTACCGGTAGATTATGGCTTGACCTGCTGAATCTCACAAGATCCAGTTTTGATTGATCTAGTTGATTCGGGAATAGCATAAAGGAATTTGAATGTTTGTCCCAGCTGTTTGCAGTAAACAGGATGATCATTTTACCATTGTGAACGGTCGAGTTTGTTGCTGGATCAAGATGGCATCATGTCAGTCAAATTTGAAATAAAATCAGTATAGTAAAACAAAATGGGGAAAGTATCAGAGAAATCATATTGGTGATTTTGTACAATTACGCATGCGAATGCTAAAATTTTGGTCCCTTGATTAAGTAATAATGTTGAATCTTGCTGCACACTTAGCAATTTTTGTACACTTGTTTTTTTTTCAAAGTTCACCAAATGGAAAACAAAAGTGATTCGTTGTAAACCTTGGAGCAATTTAGAGCCTTTACTTCTTACGAGGGACACTTTCAGTCAGTTTCAATTTGCAGTGATAAGTTGTTCTTTACATGTAGATCTATTGGTGGTTGGTTGATTTTCCAGTCTCTCCTAACTCCTCATCACTCCCAGAGATGATGATTTTTGTGTAATCTGATCTTTCTCAATTTAAAGCTGATATTCCTCAAGAAGTAATGATGTTAATAACCGTACGATGTGATGTATTTTTTAAACAGAGGAGATGACAACACATCGAGAATTCAGCGAGGAGCTGAGTATTATTCCACAGTTTACATCAACAAGCACCTCGGCAATTATTGGAAGTCCCCTGGGTACATCATTACATCAACAGGTAGGAGTACATTCTTAGCACAGTGTATTTTTTTATGTATGTTTGAATTCACACAGGGGTATTCCCACAAGTACTGCTTCGTCTCTTGCTTTGGCTGTGCCTCCTGCACCAGAATAACTTGACATTTATAAATACCTGAGAAGGTTTACCAAATGTTTTCCTTACACCTCAGCTGTCTTGAATACTGTATTTTCATGGCTTAGAATGACCAAGTATTAAGTTTATAAAAAGTCATGGCACCCTGTCACATTATGTGATATCCCACAGGGAGTGTGCTATGACTTTGTACGTACGGTACGTAGGGTGTGAAACGCTTGTATCATTGGTACCCGCGCTATTTTCACCATGTGTTCACACATGAGTGGGAGCAGTGAACTAGCGACATGCATGCAAGTTAACGTTCGATTGTCATGATTGTTGTGTTTACTGCTGTTTGTTTTCGTGAATTTTACATCAAAATCCAAAGAATCCAAGACAGAGGTATAACAAAACAATTGTTGACTGCTGTGATGTGGGATATTTCAAAATGTTATATCCCACATCACAGCAGTCAACAATTGTTTAAGACCGGTCTTAAACAGTGTCCTATGGCTGCACTCCATGCCATATGCGCGCACGTACCGCGCACTCCGGCTACAACTGAGTGCTTGAGAACCACTGATATGATCTTCATTATTATAAGACACTGTGCTCGTGATGCTCAGCATAGAGGCGGCCTGAACATAGAGTAAAATGGTTGAACAAAATCGTTGGAAGTTTGGTGAACGTTTTGAATTTTTATGGCTTTTAATCGAAAATGTATTTATGAATGTGGATAATAGTATGATGGAGCAGTTGTGGACCATGTTACGTTTGTTTACAAATTGGATGTGGTCATGTGATGCCAGCATACAATGAACTGTTCTCTTCTGCACTGCCTATGTATTATGTATCTCTTGAAATGGGATTGGTGTAAAAGTGGTGACATAAACTGTTTAATGTGAGCAAAATAACATGCAAAATATGCATAAATATTTGGGTCACCTGTTCTTTACCCTTTGGTATGTCATTACAAGTAAGGTAAAGGTAAAGGTATCCTATGGCCATTACTTGCCGTACGGGCAGTGGGATGTTAGAGGCCCACTGTGTTTTGGGCGCAGTATGTGAGTGGCAGTGCCCATCTCCTCTCCTCTCGCCGTCTTACCTTCCCTGAACGATTCAGGTACCCATTTTTTTCACTGTTTGGTCATCAGAGCGAGTGAGAGAGTTTTCCTGCCTTCCACTCCGAAGCCCCACGCTCTAACAGCTCAGCTCCGAGGCCTCTACTCGGCTATGAGGCCTCTACTCATTTCAAATACAAGTAACATGGTCTATAAACATGATGTTTAAAACCGGGTAGGGGCCTGGTCGCCGGTAATGGCCCTTGCCCTCAGTTTGGGCCATTGTCGGCGGCCAGGCCCTCGACTGGTTTTGAATCACCAAATCAGAGGAAGGTCGTGCTCAAATTTACTTCTGGATTCTTCGGCCGCGTCTGTATTTCTGTGCCAAGACTTGCAGTTACACGTGCGCCAATGGAAGCCGTAGGGTAGTAATGTGGGCAGCCTCGACTCCATGGGCGCGTGCTCGTTCCTTACACTAAGCCCTGGCTGTGATGATGACGTAAATGACGCTGAATGGCTACTCACAGCGTACTGCGGGCGCATTTCGGAGATTGCACGCCGGGCGCCCCCATAATGCGCTCGCGTGCTTTGCACGTAACGTCACGTACGAAAAAAAAATAGGATTCAAAAGTCGCGATGCCTGTACGATATGGATTATGTCAGCCGCGTTTTTCGCTAAAAAAAACTTCTGTATCTGTGGTTGTAAAGGCACGAAAGGGGTACGTACATTTAATACAAATCTTTGCTAATTAACACAACGTCCAAATGTTGTGTTTGAAAGGATTGATTCTTCAAAATCACAACTTTTAACATTTTAAAGATGGCGTCGGCACGTAAAACGGATAAACTGCAGCCCTAATTATAATGTACCGTATTTTGGCACATTTAAATTACACAATTCCAGGGGTTACGATCGCGCAAGGCATGATGGGAAACAACATGGCGCTGCAAGATCATACCCACGGGGCACGAGGTTGTAATGTGGGTGGCTTTATTAGATAGTCAGTTAGGAAGTCAAGGTAGCACAGGTGTGGTCTCCTGACTCCCTGCCTCTCTCTTATGCAGATGACAAGTGGGGATTTGGCATTTTCTGTTGCAACCAGCAACACACCGGGACCAATTGCCAAGCCACGCTCCAACAGCACTTCCAGTAACTACTCATCGGATAGTCTGCATCACAACATGTATCCTAGGGCACCAGGGTCAGAAAGAGAAGAGGCATTCGTAAGTACTCCGGGGCAATTTGCAAATATGGACTGCCTGTCAGTGCAATAGTTACACAATATGGGGATAGTGAAATACAATTATTGGGCATCCAGTACTGTGCTCACCACGAGATAAAGCATTCAATATTTGTTTTATAACACTTCACCCACCCACAGATTCTGCTTGGTTTTAATATTTTAGATTATTTAAATCTGAACACAGTTGAAATAAACTTCAATTTCAATATAAAATGGGTGGAAAATGTATTTCTCTCTTCCAAACTACCCCTTCACGAAATGTTTGAACCCAACTCTGCGGCGCACTCTCTTTGGAACAATACGCGCTACGTGCAACGCGCACACCAGCATGCATTTGCACACAAATACCGCGCCGTGGATATAGTACTTTGGTTGCTACTGGTATAGTACTTTGGTTGCTACGGGTAAAGTACTTTTGGCCGTGCACAGAAAGATAGCAAAAATAGAAAGTAACATGTGACTCGCTCTCGGCCAGTCAAGACACAGAATCTGTGGGTGAGGCGTTATAATATCAACTATCCACCTGAAATAAACCATGTTATATTTGTTTTACTATACCTCATACATATGAAAGTAACATGTGACTCGCTCTCGGCCAGTCAAGACACAGAATCTGTGGGTGAGGCGTTATAATATCAACTATCCACCTGAAATAAACCATGTTATATTTGTTTTACTATACCTCATACATATTCAGTTGCCGAATATTCTCGGTAACCCGTGCGTCTGTCTACTACGCATGTGTATTTACCCTGTGCATAAATACTCGCAAGCGCGCTTGGTAAGCATGGTAAGCAGCAAAAATAGCATCTGGCACATGATGGCGAATGGACCAGTGAGAATTTGGCTCTCGGTCATGAATATGTATGAGGCATACATGTAGTAATATAATATGGTCTTGTTCAAATAGGGTATTTTGTGACTACAGCTTTGATTTCTGCCATTGGAAGGCTACAGTGAATAGCCGTAGCCATTGACAACAATGCCCATTTTGGACGCAGCCAACTATTAACTGATGAAACAATACACATTAGCTTATACAGGGTGAGTAAAAAAAAATGAAACCCAAAATGTCAGGACTATTGTTTTATTGAAGTTCTGCATGAAGCACTTTCAAAATCTAGGATATGATAGCCCAATTCATAAGCTTTCTTTTAGTAAAAGAATCATTCAAATCACTCCTGCACTTTTCAAGTTACAGAATTTTAAACACAACCACCGTTTTAAGGTTCTGATCATATTTCATATCATATCCTAGATTATGAAAGTGCTACATGCAGAACTTCAATAAAACAATTGTCCCAACATTTGGGTTTCATTTTTTTTGACTCACCCTGTATGGACTTTTTGTTTTATTCCTTGTCAAGAGTGAAAAGCTTGTGGTGTCTCCACAGTCTCCAACTGTTTTTATACTCAATTTTAAACGTTTGTAATGTGTGTTTCTTTTCAGAGCTCATTATTACCAACTAGTCATTTACCGTCGATGGTTCATCCAATGACGATATCTAGCTCCAGTCCCACAGCTTCTAGTACAATGTCTGCGACAGCAACACCATTCTATCCACCCAGTGACACAGTAGAATCAGTTTTAGGTAAAGCATAATGATAACAGTCTTAACCCTAACAACCCTGAGCCCGTCAAGCTCCAACAGCGGGTTTTGCTTGATTTTGGCAGGGTTGGTACCGAACACTGGCCAGCTGGTGTTGGACTTTGATTGACTGGGTACCAAAGGCCCAGGGAGACCCTGTTGAATTTTGTGAGGTTCGGGGCAGAAGGGCATGAGATTTGCGAACACGTTGGAGTTCACTGGCATTTCTTCGTGGGTATGCTCACCCACGGTCCTCAGCACAGCTTGTGGTCAAATGTGCATGTACATATTGCTTTATTTTGTTAGGTTTGGTACCATCCCTATCCAATCACTCGACAATGCATAGGCCCATCCATACCAAGTCAATCAAACTCCAACAGTTGGAGTTTGGCAGGTTTAGTACTGTTCCCCGTACAAGGCCTGTTGGAGTTTGGCAGTTTTGGTACCAGTGCTTACAGACCTGTATGCAGCTGTTGAAATTTGTTAGGTTTGGTATACTTTCTAGTGCAAGAGCCTAGGGGGTTAGGGTTAAAGATATTGTGTTGTCAGTGAAATAGACTTCATGAAGTACGTGTTCACATCAACTTCAGTGGAAAACTTTTAGATCACGTAGTTTATGTGAAATTCAATATTAGGTTTTGCCCTTCACCGAGGTATAATATAATGTGGAATTGTTTCGATCGTTTACATCGTCCTATGATTTTGCTCACAACTTCCTAGAGTGTCATGAACAATAGAAGTGGTAGAAGTGGGAAAGGATTCTTCAAAAGTGAGACAGATTATTTAGGATTTGAACTATAGAGTGATGTCTTTGTGACATGTTTTGTGCTGATCCTTATCAACTTGTGCACTTATTGACTTCAGCCCGGTTCATACTCTGCGCGAAAGCGAAAGTGAACGCGAATTTGTGACATCGTGGCAAGTATTCGCGCTGCGAATTCGTAAAAGTTAAACATATTTCAACTCGGGCGAATTTCGCAGCGAATGTTTTATGACGTCAAATTCGCTTCGCATTCGCTTTCGCATGAAGTATGAACCGGGCTTAACAGGCAATTAAGCATGTTCTGGGTGATTTCAAGGAACATACATGTATATTAGCTATGACATTTGAAGAAACAAGTAAATAGTTGACGTGATCTTTGACGCTTGAAGTAAAGTGTCCTGCAGACCCAGAAAAGTGTAACGTCTACAGTGCAGAATAGGCCTGGGCGAGTAGTGGATTTCTCTATGATATAATGATATATTGTGTTTTGAATGTTCTTCTTCAGGAAATGCTCTGGACGACATGCATCTAGAGGACATTGATGTAGCAGCATTGGAGAAAGAATTAGACAACGAGACGTCCTCTATATCAAGCTCAGTAGCTAGTATAGGTCATTTATCAATGAGTGAGTGTTTGGCGTGTTCCAGAGCTTTAAATTGAACCTGTTTCATACGTCATACATATATGAAAGCCAATGCCAAGCAAATTTGACTTCAAGAAACACTTGTCGAAATGAAAATTACAGAATGTTCTGCCTATTTTCCGATGACATATAGAGATCTCTCATAGGACGCCATTTTTGAAAAATTACAACTGAGTGTTCAACGCCATCATGGCCATCAGGTGCATTGTGCTTACAGTGTGCAAAATGTTCTAAATACGTGTGCGTGTTGCTCGAAATTTCTTGAAACACGGCGCAGCTGATGCGCGCCATGAAAACTTGATGCCCAAAATGCCAATGCACGTGGTAATCCATAGGAAGTGACGTCATTTGAAAGAGACCTATTGCTGCCAATATGCTTTCCTTCTACTTCAGATATCGTGGACAAAATATTTGAGCCCACTGGCATTCCTGAAATAAGGTTGTTAGAATATAGAGCTCTACTTACCATTAACGAAAAATCCTTACGGTAAACGTATTTCACGGGTTAGCAAGGATTTGGCTTCTGCGCATGCGTACATCTCGTAACTGAGGATTCTGTGCTTACAGGGTTACCACAGGATTTTTCTGCTAGTGTTGTTATCACAAAATGGTGATCGTAAGCTCGGAATTTTGTGGTTAGCAGAGCCATGACATTGGGCCCAGGTCTCTACACCTTTTCACACAAAAAATTTGTTATGCAACATGACAGTTGAAAACTAGGAGCTAACAAATCCAAAAATGAAGAGTTTATTTTCAAAATGTGAGAGATTTATTTGAAAAAGTGGAAAAGGTTCACGGTTATGAAGTTTGTAGAACATACACTGTATAACTACATTATTCGCTTGATTGTATTTAGCCATCGAAAGTGACTATGAGCAACCAGGAGAGGGCGGGATTCCAAATGGCAATTTATCGCGTTTTGGAAACAAAGTCTTCAAATGAACATTGGGTCGAATGAGACAACATCCAAATGGACAAGTAACCTGCTGGCGTTCTTTTTATTTCTAGGTTTAGGGTATGGAAGTTCAGCACCAGTCAGCATACCGGGCAGTGCCAGCAGCATATGCAGCAGCGGCCCCAATCACAAATCCTCAGTTACAGATAGTCCCAGCTCGCCTATGTCACAGCTGTCATTTCTACCACACCACCTGCAGCAACAGCAACAACAACAGCAACAACAACAACAACAACAACAACAACAGCAACAACAACAGCAGCAGTTTGAACAGGTAACAGTAGAAACAGTTATAACAACATGTACCTTGAATCAACAAGTAAGCACGCCTTCCACATGAACACATAACCCCCTAACAGTCACACACAAATAATGTCCCAAAGAACTCATTGCAGACAAGCTGATTGTGGACAAGTGCACACGAGAAACCAGAAAGAACACAAGGAATGTGGGTTGAGAGGAGGAATTGTGGCAAAGTGTCTTGCTCAAGGACTTAAGTATAGCAAATCCTCAAAAAGGCCTCCATGACACAAAATTCTGACTGTGTCACTACCACATCTTTAAAAAAAAAGTTTCTCAACCGAATTTTCGAGATAAAAAGAAGAAAGGGGCGGCCTTTTTTTACCAAGATGGCGGATGGATTCTTTCAATTTCTCGACTCTTTTGCTTATACAAAATTATGTCAGAAGGAGCTGTCACCGTATCTACATAGCTACAATTTTCTTGCAACAAATAAAAAGACCATATATTGACAAAATTTGCAAAATATATTGCAAATGTATGAATTAAAAAAAAAAAGAAGAAAAGGACAGGGGAAAACGGAAGTGGGCGGGGATGAGACACTGGCTTATTTTTTTGATGTGGCCATACCAAATGCAACTCTTTTCAGTAGTTTGCTCCATTATGCCCCCTCCCTAGATGTGCTGATTAATCTGAGCCGGGATTTAAAAACCAAATATTTGACAAAATTTAGACACTATATGGTTACTTACATGTACGTATGACACGCACATCTGAATCATGTTGTGTGGCATTGGAGAAGCACACGTGTTGTTGACCCAAGTGCCCATTGGACGGGGGCCTAATGGTTTTGTATATGTTGTAACCTCTTCCCTGCTAATCTTTCCCTTCCTCAGGCTGCGGCAGCCTTCATGAGCCAACCCAACACTCTCCCGCAACACATGCGGCAGCATGGCCAGCTGGGCCTGGGCCGGATACTGGACAACCCCGGCCACTCTGGACGGGGGCCACAGTCACCTCTCTCGTCATCGGTGGTCGGTAACCCTGGTACCGGTGACGATGTGTCTAAGATGCACGAGGAGATTGGCGCCCTGAAGAACAAGCTGCACACGTGGGAGGAGTCTTGGAACCAGGCCAAGCAGGTCAGGCATTTGCTAACACTTGGCTCAAAATGTGACATTCGGAAACGGCAAGCCAATATATTGGCTTTACATTAATTTGCACATTGCTTAAATTTATACAGGTAATAAGAGTAGGTTTGCGGTTGCACCATGTGAGTTTGAATGGCTCTGACTAAAACGTCGAGTCTTTCTCAGGTTCTTCCTTGGTTGTGTTTTTGGGTAGTCACAGAGACAGGCCTGTATCCTTTTCATGCATGGCTGAATATTAGTGAAACTTGTACTGGCTGTGGTCAATACCCAGACCAAATGATGGCTGAATGGAAAAAAAACTGGTAACCTTTCCCGTTTTTGTGGGATACAAGGACTTAACAAAATGGACATTCTTTTTACTCACCCTGTACAATGAAAAACTTACTCTTACTGTTGACTTCACCTTGCAACAATCCAGTAACGTCTTTTTCCTCCTTTTCTTTAAGGCATGTGATGCATGGAAGAAGGAGGCCACAGAATCCAGTGAGAAAGCTAGAATTGCAGAACAGGAGAAGCATCTAGCAATGCAGTATAAAGAAGAGGTGAGAGGAAGGCAAGAATTCATCTGGAAATTTAACAGTTTTGCATCTCTTGAAGCCGTCCTTTTTTGCAATTAGGGTAGGAATTATAGATGGTGGCCATAGAAAAGGCAAAACATTAAAACAACCTTGCAGTATGTGGCTGTGAATGCAATTTTTAAACATCCCCTGGCATAGCAGCATCAATGTTGAATTCCCTGCCACTGGACCCTGCTGCTTGTGTCCCTAAGCAAGACACTTTATCACAACTTGAACGTATCTCTTTTTGTTATCTTTGCTCCCAGGCACTCAATGAAGCCAAGTCATTAAAGCACGACATGGAGGGGCTGACAGGTGGGCCCCACCTACATATACTCAGCAAACTGGCAGACTTAAATAGTTTACCCCTTAGCAGTCTAAAACAAATGCAGTTCCAACTACGGCAAGACCTAGAGAGGTTAGATAGGGTGAGTATCCAGCTTCTTGCCTTTCACATGCTAGCACATAACAGTGCTCCATGACCACTCACAACAGGTCCATGGTGCGGAACATGATACATGTGCTCACTGGCAGCTGCAGAGTATGCATGACTTCATATATTTTAAATGTGCATAAACCGTGCACAAACGTGTAGATTTTCTTCTCTCCGAATCGATTTGACCACACTGAATTTTAGCACAGTTGAAAGTCAGAATGCATATTGCTTCAATTCTAAACAGTGCAGATAGTAAAAATGTAGCACAGAATCCGAACTCATTTTGTGTATGCGTAACCCTGCCAGACGCAACACAGGGCATCTGGTGTAAAAGTCTGTGGGACCTAGTTGCTGCATTGAGCCGTGCATAAAGTGCCAATTCTGAAACAGTGACAGCTAAATGCTACAGTTGCATCCTGCTGCAGTTGGTGACCACAGACTCTGAGGCAGTTAGGCCTCGAGAGTTTTTTTACCAGATTGATCTTGCTGCACTGAACAGGCTTGTCATTTTGACACATCGCTGCATTTTGCAGAGTGTCTAGCCAGAATACCCTAAGGGGTAAGGGGTGTAGTATGAAGGGGTATAGTATGAAGCTACTTCCGTGTACACTCTCAAATGTGAATTGGGTAAAACTCCCACTCACTCCCTATGAATAATCAGCCCACCCCTGAAAAGTGTATAACATATTCAAGTAGGGCTGTGCATCGGAACCGGGTACCTGAGTACCCAACCGCTGATGTCAGGAACCGGTTCCAGATTATAGAATCAAGTACCCGTAGTTAACTTTACATACTTAGTAACTTCTCAGACAATGAAAATGAAAGGTTTTGAATGTGATTTATGGGGAATTTTCCAAATGAAAACCAGGCTACATGGAAAGACAAAACAGATTCGCGTTTAATTGGCACTTGCAAAAATGCAATTTACACTGTAAAACTAAACAGCTCACTGTACACACTTGTGCAAACCTTTATGAACAATGTGAACAGCAAACTTTTCAGATGTAAATAATTTTTTTTTTTAAAGGGTACCTGGATTCCCAGGTTTTTTTTTTTTCAATTCGGGCGATTCACAATGCAGTGCGCCACCAAGAGTTTGCCATGGAGAGTCCATTTTTCAAGTCGGTCCATTTGAATGAGTGTCAGTAGACAACTTGAGCTAATTTTGTTATAGATTGGGGCATAGCGTTCTGCTGGCTCATGAAAAAACACTAAAAGAAAAAAAAGGGCGAACACATATTCGAATCATACGCTTACGAAACTACTGACCGGAAAACTAACAATTTCAAATGTTCCGCACTGCAAATTTGTCGACCATCTCCCACAATGCACTGGGAAAATGAACTCTCCTTGGCAAACTCTTGGTGGCGCACTGACTTGTGAATCGCCCGAATTGTGTACTCAATTCCCAAACTACCCGTAAATGCACACCCCTATATTCAAGCCCTCTTTTTGTTTTTCCCATCAGGTAATACACACCAAAGAGGCCTTGCGATGTTGCATCTGCCAGGACCGGGAACGTAGTATAACCACATCCCCCTGCCACCATCTGGTACTCTGTGACACCTGCGCTTCCAACAAGCTCAACTGTCCCGTCTGCCACATGCAGATCACCAATAAAATCACGGTGGCGCTCCCCTTGTGATCATAGCTTGACGGTCATACCCCAAGGAGCTTTTTTGTTGCATTTGGCAATGCATGAAATGACGGACTGATCTTATTGCCAGGCTAGGCAGCCAATTGGTAAATCTCAAGGGCATTTTTTTTAATGGGAAAGAGGAGGTTATTGGAAGTGGTCTTATCCTTCAAGTTCTACTGATTCTCGTAGTCGGTTTTGTTCATAGGCAGTAAGGCTGTTGAGATTGTGTACGTCTAAACATTTTTACACCCATCACAGACTGGAGACCCAGAGTCACGTCAAACCAAATGTTTCCTTAGATTTAAAGTCTTGTCATTGGAAAAGTAGTACACAAATTTGAAGGATTGAGATTTGTCAAGATTTTTCCTGATTTCCAGATATTTGTCAGGATTTTTTTCAATTTTGCAGATTTGTTGTCAGGATTTTTCCTGATTTCAGGATTTTTTGTCGCAATTTTCCCAGATTTCAGTAAAGGTGTTCTACCTATAAGTAAAGGTGTTCTACCTATAAGTTTATATAGGACAAAAGAAATGGGTATTTGAAGGGATGCCCTTAGGCAAATACAAACATACATGTATACCATAGACCCTATGTTGATCTGGTTTCCCTGCGACCATCAAATCCTCGGTTGATTATTTTTGGTCTGAATTTTTTCATTTTGCCACAATTTCACCCCTGCAATTTGGTTTTATGTGATGCTGGAAAATCAGTCTGAAATGGATGTTAAGTTGTTAACCAACTCATATATAGCAGTATTGGAAACTATTTTGTCTCTTCTTTGAAAAGTGTTTCCAGATAATTTCATCTGTTTAAACAATACAGCATGTTTGTGTAAAATTATGTAAAGTTGTTACATTGCAAATCAGGAGGTTAGGGTTAATATTGCCAAATCCTGTAAAACTTTTCTGTGGATTTGAAGGATCTAGGAATATATTTAGGTTGCTTGTTCTATTAATCACAAACCTTGTCTTGTTATATTAATCACAAGCCTAATGTCGAACAAGGAAATTGATTTGAACAAAGAAATTGACTGGAGTGGGGTTTGAACCTGCGACATTCAAACAGCAGTGTATCAGTGCCCCGTTGTGCTTCACCTCAATCACATACGTCGTCAATATACATACCATATTCTATTCTGTTCATCACAACCGCATTTCAAAAATTCATGCGATTCTTCTGTCTACACTGGCGTGCACATAATATTTGGATGAAAGACAAGTTCCATTCTAGTCTGCATCAAGTTTGTGCACCATTTTTATTCATTTGTGTCTGTAACTCGTGCTTAAACACAGTTGCTGTATCGGTGATGTAAATCTAATATATTATGAGAAATTATACAACTTTAGTCTATGCCTAAAGTGGAGTATGTCGAATATTGACTTGACATGATAAAAAAATTTGTGGTGTTAAGAATTATTAAGTTTTTGTTTTGTTTTGATTCAGTTGCATTAATCTCATTTCCTTTTTTTCTTTTCTATTTATAGCCTTTGATTATAGTAGAATGTATCGAAATACATGTATATGATGTAAAATCAAGAGAGTATAAAAACGGTTTTAGTTGGTAACAACCGAATTTACATTGCTAAAAAAGTGGGTCCAAAGTTTACAAATCTGCTTTTCCATTGAGTTTCGGGTATTGATGTAAGCAATAAAATCTTTTTTTTTTTCCTGGCCCTGTTACATCCGACATCCAAGGATGCACTCCTTAATGGCAGGCGTCCTCCAAGATTGATTATCAATAGCAACCAACCTACTCAAGAAATAAAAATTCGTTTGAAGTCATTCTTATTGAATGGTAAATTACAAAGTTCTGGGGTAACAGGTACAGGAAGAATGTCACACCTTAGAATCTACAGGGTGCCCCTCCAAAAAGATTACACTTTTGCAGATGCAGATTTCTCAAAATTGGGGAGACATATTGAAATTGTGTTAAGATATTCCTAAGGTACAATGTCTTGGTGGCATTTGGTGAAAATGGCATTGAAAATAAAGCCTAACTTAAGAAATGATGGCCATTTACAGAGACATGGTCAAAAACCAGTTTGTTTATGAAACGTGGTCAAAACAGTAGCACTGCGTGCACAAGGAACTGCCATAACAATGACAACACTTGTATCTCACACATGCGTGTGGACAAACTGGTTTTTGACCATTTGTATGTAAAATGGACGTCATTTCTTAATTTAGGCATTATTTTCAGCGTCATTTTCACCATATGCCACCAAGACCGCGTAGTTTAGGATTATTTTACAAGCAATTTCAATATGTCTCCCCAATTTTGAGAAATCTGCGTCTGAAAAAGTGTAAACTTTTTTGGGGGGCCACCCTGTATATAGAATGACCCATATGTGAAGGTGTTGGACTTCTGTGTCATAGTGATTGAAGAAAATCTTTTCCTAGTAATTGTGTTAGAACAGTGTGCCCAAAGAATGAAAGTAAACCTATTTTAATGGGGTTCCAATCCACATCTCCATGTAGCTTTCTGCATTTCACGACCCCTTTACATAGCAACTTGTGTTGGTCAAGGTCTATATTGGGGGGGGGGGGGACCTGCATACTACATTAGTAGGGTTCGAGCCCACAACTATAAGTGAAGCAGTCTTCATTGTAGAACTCTATTAGTCAAAATTGTTTCTTAAGTTCTAGGCACATTTGTTTTCCTTTGAGAATAAAGACACCTCTGGTATTGTGATGTTTTCCTAACTGTTTCATACTTTAGGGTCCAGGTGGCACCAGTATGAGTTTGTCAAAAGCGCGTTCCTTGAAATGACTTCTCAGTAATATGTCAAGGTTATTTTCCATCTCTTTGGTGAAGATGTTTCACAGTATATGTTTTCTAATCATTTTAAATGTACTTTTCTCATAGATTTTAGTTTTATTTTTACAAGGACATTTATTTAGCATGATTCAGTGATATTAATTTTCTTTTAGACTTATTTGAATTGGCTTAATTTACCATGGAAGTGGAAAATCTTCAAATGTCTTACATTTTAAGGCAGTCCGGAAAAAAAATAATTTAAACAAAATTCTCCTCTTTTGGTCGGGTTTATAGTCGAACATTTCCAAATTTGTCAATGAACTCAAAGTAAAAGCAACCAATTTATTATCCGTAAATGTTTAAGTATCCCTTGAAATTTCATGGTTCAAACTGAAATATTGAAGAAAATGACTTCGTTATGATTCATGTGGAAAAAAGTATTACTTTCCCGTTGTTTTACGTACTTACGTTCGAAAAAAACTGTTGCTCATGAAGGAGAAATTTTGTAATTATATGGGGGCGAAATTCAAACAGTTCCCTGAAAACTAATATTGTATAAACAAGAATCCGAATTGAATATTTCCAAGATGTCAAAGTAATAGTTGTAAGTCACCGGACAGTAATCTATGTTCATTCAGCTACTTCTTATTTAGTTCAGTAGAACATAAGAATAACTAAAATAGTCATCTTTCATTAATGGATATGTATTTAGAGTTTGTGTTTTGTTTTAAAGGTAAATTTGTCAGTAGCTTCATTGAGTTCAATGGAAATGGATTGTGCGTATTGATTGTTCTTCCACTAAGAGATTGATGTTTTCCAGGAACGCAGATATAACCACAGATTGTAATTGTGAAGCAGGAGAATTTGTGATCTTAAAATATTAGAAAAATAACTCCTTACATACTGAACGTGTAGACTTACAATTCGCTCAATCTAGCGTAGAAAATACCAGGACATTTGTCATGTAATGTGTAAATTATTCTTTCTGTAACACTCGTGTATCTTCTGTAGAGATATTACGATTGAAGTCTTTTTAAGTTACAACTTATAGCAGCTGTTTAATGTAGCATTTTAAAATGTCACTGTGGCGTCTTCGTTAGGTGATGTCTACAGCAAAATAATCCCCAGCCAGCGAAAGGAGCGAAGGGAGATATAATGACTAATTATACAAGTCTACTGTTATTCAAATCCAATTAATTGTATACAACATTAAGAGCTATGCGGTTAAACAAAATGTACATTTATATTTTCAACGTTTTTCTTCTAAATCTTTGAGAGAAAAATGAAGTTATTTTTGAATTGAAAAGAAAAAAATGCAAGTGGAGTGGATGTGGTGGAACTCGAACCGCGGAAGAAAAAAAAATACTATTAAAATTGCATTTGTCGTGGTTGTTTGACCTTTTGTGTAATTATGGTACACATGATATAAAGGGACTGCTAATGTCTTCAGGGAAACTTTTTTTCCTTTGAATAAAACGTCATCTGGAAAAAACCAGATTTGCTCAACATTTGAAACTTACACGTCTGTGACTTGTCTTGTGTGTTGTATTGTGTCACCTTTAACTTTTAGAATTAAAGAGGCTTAGGTAGAGTTGCTTAATTGATAATTGTTTGAAGGAAATACAACCCTCGTTCTAACAAAGTGACCCCCACGTTGCTATGGGCTTTTAGATCCACAAAAAAGTTCGACTGCTGCAAATGAATAGACTTATTCACCAGGAAGCCATTTTCAATCGTGTTCCCTGAATCTATTTTATAAATTGTAAACTGTTGAATGGGACGGTGCCAGACTATTTTATGATCGGAGGGCGTGCCAAGACTCACTTCCATTTTATTTTAAATGTGGCTCAAAACATTTAATTTAAATGTGGTTCAGAACATTAGGGTATGTTTAATCACACATTTTAAACTCTTCGTCAGAGCAAAACGGTACTAACTTGTAATGAACTTTTATTTCGTTGCTTTCATTTCTACTAGCAAGTTTTTAAATTAAAATGAAGAGTTAACATCGCTTTCAAATAATATGGCCAACTGGTTATTGAAAATAGTTACATTAAACCTGAAGAAACTCGGAGTCCGTTTCTTCGCAAAAACGGGAAAGAAAAATATTCCAAATCTACTAGAACTATCTTATTTATTGGGCCAACATTTTTAATAGCGAAATGTGTCATCACAATATTGCACGGTAGAGGCCTGCGCTAGTGCTACAGGTAGGTGTACGCTTTGATGGTATAAAGGTTTTTCAAACCTCGATCTCATTGGTGGTTGGGCTTCACTCCAGCTGCACAATTACTTTGAAGCAATTTAAGTCCAAACCATATCAAACTACTCAAAAGTTTTGACATAAGATTTGACGTTCTCTAGAAGACCAAGAGTGTGGAGTCTTTCAAGATCGAGAACAGTGTGGAGTCCCCCGAGCCAGGGGCCCAAAAAACTTCCTAACCCCCAGCTGGGGAGGAAGCCGTAGATTGAAAATACAAATGGAAAATTCCACGCGTCACATTCCTCACCTGTCAATCAAAACAATGCCACCACTTTCAGCCAATAGCAAGCACTCTCCGGCGTGACCCGCGCGCAGTGTTGTGACCAACTCAGCCGCTCTTATTTCGATATCTCTCCCCGTTGAAGAAAATAGGTCGCACTATTGTATTGAAATACAAAGATGTTTTAGTCGAAAGCAACAAAAACTGTTCGCCTTTTTTTGAATGGAATATACAGGAGTTGCGTTGAGCTTAAATGGTGAGTAAATTACTCGTTTCAGGTCCAACTAGGTGGAAAAATCTAGCCGCGTATGAACACATGTGCAAGACAAGTCGTCTTCGTTTAAAATGCACACTTGGCCTAATCACTCACCTATACCAGCTGCTTTCTGTGAAAACGCACATTCAAGAAGGATTAATGTGCTCACAAAATCAGAACGAATTGTTGACGTTCACCTTTTGTCCTCAAAATGTTTCCATATTTCAGCGGTTTCTTTGAGTGTATAAAGTGAAAACACCGCTGACTTGATATGGACAACATTAGTAATTCCTCATCATTTGTCCGTGGACTTCCGTGAAATTGGCTTCTTCGGGAGAGACGAGCTTCAATGTACGGAGTACGGGAGAGACTAGCCCTGGTGGACTCCCTTTCCTCCCTACGTTACGTTAGTCGTATTGCAATGAAGACTTCGTCCAACCTGGGCTAGGGAGAGACGAATGGCAGACGACCCCGGGTCGCTGTTGGCGAAGGCTGGGTTTCAACGCGTTCGTAGCTCGTTTGGAATTCATTTCAACGTTGGCTCCAAGCTACATCAGCCCACCGACCTCAAGCTTTCAGAGGAATCGTCATGAATGGAAGTACATGTATGCCCCAAAGAGATAATTTGCCTGAACTGTCAGTGACTTTTGTGAACCAAACTGCTATGAACATTAGCCCCGAACATTAGAGCCAAAACACTTGGAGAACTGAATTATCATTTTGCCCGAGAATTGGCACGAAAACGTGAGTTGAGCTAGTGTGAACTGAAACTCCTAAACTGCGAGTAAATAGTCATGGATTTTCTGCAAGCTGCCTGTGTGGAATTAATTTGTGCGTGGAATTTATCGAATGACCGGACCGGTGATGAGGTTTGTGCCTTTCAAGTTACATAATAAGAAGTCGATATTGGTAAGTCAAAAACAATTACGAGGTAAGTGAAACATTCAGACAAAGTTCTAAAAAAAAAAGGATTTTTTTTTTTCAGGAAATAATAATTGTGTGACATTTTCATATACTGGCTCTCGTTGTGTAACAAGTCCCACCTTGTTTATTTTAAATATTTTGCCAAGATTTCGAGTATATACATACCTATTTTCAGAGTGCACAAAAATCAGGGTTTGTTTTCAAAAAAAATGTAAGGCTTGTAATTTGTTTGTGTGCTGTAAGTTAAAAACTTGCAGGCTTAGGGGTGTGAAAGCTCTTTTCTTGAGGCAAGTGTATCCTGCTGGTGTCGTTGACAACATTCATATTATTTCTCCCTGTGGTATTGTTTAAAATAAATTGAAGGTGTATTTGGATGTGAAACAAATTTAACACCTGTGAATTCTTAGACATAGAATGTCTTTGGATGTGACTAATGTAGACCCGGGCCCCATAGTAGTACACAACTTTCCACTTCTAATTATTTTCAATTTTTTGTGCCCATGTTTCAATTTTCTACATACTATTTCTTGCGAGTACACAAATATCAGGTTTTACTTGGAAAATAATCCCGTTCTATTTCGTATAAGAGTCTTTTTAAATGTTGGCTTTGGATTGTAAAAGCTGTTTTCTTTATCCAACGGTGTACCATTTAGTATTTTTGTAGAAGACTTAGTCATTGTTTTCTCTCCCTGTTGTATAGTTGAAGTGAATTGAATGCATATTTGGATGTGAAACAAATTAGAAATATGTGAATCCTTTAATAAGAATGTCAGAACCCCCGCCCAGTTACAACATTCCAACTTACAATATGTTCAATATTTTGTGCCCATGGTGTCAAGTGTCTGCCTATTTTTTGTTAATACACAAATATCAGGTTTGACTTGAAAAAAAAAATACTCCCACAGTATATAAGCTTACAAGAAAATGCATGCCTTTGGATTGTAAAAGCTGTTTTATTTATCCAAGTGTACAACTTAGTGTTTCTGCACAAGACTCTGCCATTGATTTTTCTCCCTGTGACATTGTTTTAAAGTGAATTGAAGGTATATTTGGTTTGGAGTCAAATTAACACATGTGATTTCTTTTATAAGAATGTCTTTGAAAGTGAACCATGCAGACCCGGGCCAAATAGTAGTATACAACTTTCCACTCATAATTGTTTTCAATGTTTTGTGCCCAGGTTCCATGTGTCTATTCCATTTTTTTTGTAAGTGTACACAAATATCAGCTTTTACTTGAACAAAAAAAACAATCCCGTATTATTTCGTATAGGCCTATTAAGCCATGAGTTAAAAGTGCTGGCTTTAGATTTTAAAAGCTGGTGTTTGCATCATTTTTTTCATTAGCCAAGTGTATCAAAAGACTCCGTCATTGATTTTCTCCCTGCTGTATTGTTTGAAGCGGATTGGATGTATTGTTGGATGTGTAACAAGTTAACACCTGTGATTCTTTGACAAGAATGCGTCTGAAAAGTGAACAAAAAAGTAGACCAGTAGCTGTTTGAACTTTGACCTCCGAGACGGCACGTGGAGGAGCTGTCAATCTTCTTCGTCTGAATGAAAAGTCATGTGACAGGCACGCTTATTGTCTCCAAACAGGTTCTCCGTGCATTGTTCGTATTTGGCAGACGTCCATAGTGAAGTGCAAACAATTTAAAGGTTGTCTTCGGGACTATTTTCAAGTGAGAAACCGCAGATTACAAACAAAATTAATGCGAAACAATTTTGTAACTGATACACGCAGGAATATTTTTCTCCATGCTGATATCCTTGTAAGTGGATACATTTCTTCAAATTCATCTTTGAAGCTAAAAGTTTAATCATCGTTCAAAGAAGAAAATATGGAAGACCAAATCCAGGCCTTGCACGTGTGTGACATATTTTCAGCGGTGAAAATGCTTACTGTACCTCCTTCAAGACAGCAATGGCTCTGTTTTCACCACAATATAAACATTTGCTTTACACAAGAAAAACGATAAATCTCATTCAGGTTTGCAGTAAGTAAGTTCCTCATCATATAGGAATCTATGTAGCCTCGAAACTTTACTCGTGGAAAATCATCATCAGGATTGTTCTTTTTCGTCAAACAAAGATCATGTGAACAAAATGACTGGAATCTCCTTCAAAAGTGTGCACCATGACGTGTGATGGTCTTCATCTGAATATGAAGTGATGAGCAACACAAACCGCGGTCTTACCGTGGTGTTTTGTGCCAATGTCGGTGTGATGGAGTCTGGGTTGCTTGTCATGGAGGGGGAGGGGATCAGGAAGATCGGTTTATCGAAAATCTGGAAAGCCTCAGAACCACACCCACGACCACATTATGACCTCTAATACTTGCCAGTGTATATTTTCCTTCGCATTCATCTTCGGAAGCTGAAATCGTCATCATCGTTCAAAGAGAAAAGTACAGACCAATGTCAGGGCTGCTGGATGTATTTTCAAAGGTGAAAATGGTCAGTCTATCTCCTTCAAGAAACTGGTTCTTCTTCACAAGATAAACACTCTGCTTGCAAGAAAAGGGCAAATATCGTTGCAGTTAGTTTTCCTCATCAAATGGAAATGTGTAGCCTCGAAATCGTACTCGTGAAAAAATTATCAGAAGAATTCTTCTCTTCGTTAAACAAAGATCATGTGGGCAATAATGACAGGAATCTCCTTCAAACTTTTGCATCATGTCTTCCTTGTCTTGAATTTGAAGTGATGAGCCAAACACACTGCGGTCTACACAGTTATATTGAATTTTGATGGCGATTTTGTGTCAGTGTCGGTAATGGAGTCTGAGTTGGTTGTCTTGTATGGAGGGGGGTGTTTCACAAAGATATGTCTATATTTTTTAATGTTGACTATATAACGG